TGATAAAATAAATATTTGATTAAACACAGTGCAAGCTCAATATTTATCCAGACTATTATGAATTTCATTTGATTGATTAAAATTTGTTTCTTCCCTTCACCTTATCAATTTCTTATTTACTTTGACGAAAATCTCTATTCTTCTTTTCTCAATTCAATCAATCTTGATTATCTAATTTGATAGAAAAATGATTTAAAATTGAAATGATTTTGAAGCCAAGTTTCGAGCAAGTTGCAACCAGTAAAAGTAAAGCGCATCAAGTAAAAAAAGGTTCAACAACAAAAGCATTTTAAATATATTAATGGTAAATTCATTTCAACTTTAAAGTCAACTCTTTTCATCCAATTCCATCCCAGTCTTGCCTCCCTGAGAAGAAGGGAAAAAAACTAATAATAATTCGCTATTTTCCAGGATTGTAAGCTTTTGTTGCCAAATGAATCAAGAGTTGTTTACAGTTTGAGTAAATATTTGATGAGAAATAAGATGATAAACATTTGACTGGAAAAAAGTTGTATTGAATAACCGATTGAGAATCCGAGAAACAAATGATAAAAGAAGAAGAAAACATTTTCCTTTTTTCCAACTCCCAGTCATCGTCTTATCATTAAAATCTGTTGCGTGTAAAGTTTCATCCAAACTCGTTAAACTACTTTTTGTTTTATTATTTTTTCTTGTTCAGTGTTTCATGTTTTCGCTTGATGAACATAAAGTTTGTTGAAAAGTTGAAGAGACAATCCTTGACCTATTAAAAGAGCATTCATTATGATGGACAAATGAAAGTTAACATTAGTTTCCATGGGAATTAGGAAACCTTCAAGATGTTCATTCAATGATTATTGATGTTGGGCACATTTTTGTGGTTCAATGGGAAGAGCAATGAGAATTAAAATGAATATTTGAAGGTTTTCAATTTGTTATTGGATTATCTGATTTCAATGTAAAGCTAATGATGATATTAAAGAGTCATCAGTGAACAGCCAAAAGAGGGACTTTTTTGTTGTACAATTTTGTATAAAGGGAAAAATGAAATTTTGTTGAGCTTTAGACTGGAATCAGCTTTAGACAATATGCTTCTGTGTAATCAGTGAACCATTTAACTCATTGTTACATTTTTTGTGTTCATCATTATTGAGATTTAACTGAGTCTGTGAATGCTCAAGGTTAGATTTAAATGTTTGTAGGAAGAGGGAATGAGCGACATGGAGAGAAAAAAAATTAATGTTATTCTGACTTTTTTCTTCTTCTCTTCTTCCTCTTCTCACCATGTTTGTTCGCAATGATGATCATGATGCTGGCGCGGTTGCAGTTGCTTAATGGTGATAGTTAGCCAAGCTTGTAAAAATGATATCAATTATGGTGAGAAGGAAAAAGAGACACAAAAGAGTTGAGCGAATAGACAATGAATTGAATCATCATGAGTTAAATGGTTTCAGTTTGGGTTCATACCAAAGGAATGAAAAAGTGAACATTTAAAGCGACATCGAGTTGAAACTTTTCAGGTTTTTGTTGTTCATTTGGACGGAAACTAGGAATAAGAGATGAAATTGAATTTCGTTCTCTTTTTGTTCGCCTTTTCATAACGATTTTTCATTTTTTTCATTCTTTTCACCTTTCTTTTGTTCACAATTGAAACAGTTTTAAAATGGAATTGAACAAAACTCGAAAGTAAACAGTTCAACTCCCAGGTAAAGAGCAACTTGTTTATGGAAGTAAATTAAATCAAACATTAAACTTTGATATCGAGTTTTGTTGCTATTTTTGCTTCTCTAGTTTCCATTTTATCCATATTTTCATCTCAAATGATGATCAGTCACGATAGATTATTAGTTTCCAATGAAGCTCAAAAAATTTCACAGGAAATTGGAGCAAGATAAATTACAGAATACTCAATAAAAGTACAATTAAGGTTGCTCAAGATGATGACAATAATGAATCCAAATGTGAAAGGAAAGGTTAATTTTGTACCATTTTCAATGATCGAAGGCAAAGAGATTTATGAAAGTTGTTGCTTTAAATAGATGAACCTTTTTTAATATCATTTCATGGGTAAATTGCAGTTGAATTTTGCAAAAATGACGAACTTTGCAGAAACTTTTTTTCTCTATTTTCCATTTACTTTTTGTTTCTCATTTGTGATCACTTTTCATGCTCACCTAGAGTCAATCACATCGGATATCCGCTTCCATCAGAAGAGATTGACTTGAATTTTTTTCATAATTTTTCTCTTTTCTGTTGTTCGACATTTTACTTTTTTCCTGCTTTTCGTTCGAACTCTTTTTTGCTGCATCAAAATTACACTTGAATGAGTTTATTCAAGTTTACCTTACACTTTCTTTACACAGCCTCAAGCTTCAAACCAAAAGTTGCTTTCTTTGCTTTTTTTCATACAACACCATGAATAAGATGAATATTGGCTAGGGAAAAATTGAAGGTAACGATGGTGAGAATACTTGTATGGAAACTCTTTGATTGATGATTCTCATCATGATATTCAAGCAAATTGTCTTTACTTTTTTTCGCTTTTCGCTTTCAACATTTCTGAACAGTTGATCCATCAAGTTCAGTCATTGATATTTTCATTTGATTATTTCAAAGTCTGACAGCAATTGATCTTGATTGAACAGCAAAAGCTAATGTTGCAAGTCAACAGTCGTTCCCTCAATACTTTGCATTGTTGTTCAACAGTTGCAATCCAGTAATAAACTTGTGTCGACCAAGTGCAGCATTTTCACCATCAGAAATCAAAGCGATCGTTAGACTTTTGCCTTTCCAAGAACTCTGCAAACATTGAGTTTTGTGGTTTGCTTTGCCTTTTTGGTTCGATTGTTTTTCTCTAGTTTATTGAGTGAGAATTGATTTAAAGGTTTTCATATTCGAAACGATTCAGAATTAGAAGTTTTACTAATTTGAATGTTGAAAGTTTGGGCTTTTGCATGCAAAGAATCCACTTTGAATGTTCGCCAATTTTGAAACTCTTCAAATTGATTGAACATTAAGGTAAAGACAAAAGAAATGTTCATGTTCATGTTTAATGAGAGCTGAATAATGGCGATGAAGGAAATTGATAAAACTGTTTACTTTGAATTTATCGTTTGCCATAAAAGTAAGTTCATCTAAACTGCAACAAAAACATTGTTCTCAAGCATATTGTTACATTAATTTCCTTGTTTACTTTGCTCTTATTAATAGTTGAACGAAACACTATTTTTGTCATTTTTTACGTAATTTTCAGATTCTCTTTCAGAGTGTCAACCATTCATCAATAATATTGCTGTTACACTTTCATTTCCACTCTCAATGTCTTTCCAGAATCCAAAGCTAACCATTGAACATTGCATCGACTAATGGTTATGATTGATTTCAACCATCAAAACTGACGCTTAAAATAACAGTTTACAAATTTATCCATCATTTGTCAAAATAATGCAAAATAAACCAAACACTTGAAGCAATTTTCCTGATAAAACGGAGATTCCAAATGAAGACTGAGAACTGAGGCTGACTTTAAGATAAGTCTTAGAGACTTATTAAGACTGAGAAAACATTATTAATAGCTACCGACAAACCAGGCCGATGGAATCAATTAAAAGCCGAACAACTGATCACTTGAGCTTTAAACTGTCAAGTTGCCGAAGTTGTTGAAGCAAATGTTTATTGGAATCAAATTGCAACGATTAAATGACCATTTTATGAATGAATCCATCAAATGTTTTGAGTTGAATAATAAACGATTATGATTTGTATGAAACTTTTGCCATCAATTTAAAGCCATTTAACCGTTCAACTTTAGATTGAAAAGATATTGAACTTTGAATGTATCTTGAACACGAATATTTAAACCGTCAATTCGATGATGAGAAAAAAATGGAAAATAAATTTTCCTCTGCACAAATTGACTTCTATTATTCCATTCTGATCATGATTATTATTAATGTTACAAATAACACATGGAATTCATTTTTTGCTCTTCAAAGAGAAAGAGAAATTCATTGAACCAGAATCTCATTTCTTTCTCTCTTTGCTTTTCACCATCAAAAAAACAAAACCAAAGTGAGACTCAAGCAAGAAAACAAATGATGAAGATGAAAATTGGCGAGAAAAGCTTTTGCAAAATTTTAACCCAAAATAGCAAAAATATGCTGCAAGAGAAGGAAAAGAACCCCAAAAATCTCGAGTTTCACAAATTATGCTAATGCATTGCTGGTTCAAGATTACAGTTCATTTTTAAAGCTATCTTGACTCTCACTATTCATCATCATTTATGGTCTGTTTTGGCCTGTAAACTTTTCCTTTTCAACCTTGAACTTTTCAGATGAGATGATTATGTAAAGAAAAGGAAATTTTGAAGAGACGAAAAGAGAAGCAAAAGAAAAGGTTTACACTCGAATATCTAAATATACTTTTTAACGGTGTTTTTTCTTGCACAGATGAGGATAACTTTAAGGTTAGGCAAGTTTAAATTGACCGTAGGCCATGAAAATTGTTCAAATTCCTGACGCTTTGGTAAGAAAATGAGAATTGAAGGAATAAGTTGAGCATTTGCTGAATATTGCCTTCTCATCTTATTTTCCCTTCTCAATGTTAAACTATTTTTTCGTTTTTCATCACAATCTATTTTTCTTTGCCCATTACTTTTGGGTTCCTCTTTTTGTTATCCTGAACTTGTTCACTGTGACAGATAAACAAACAAGCTTGAAGCTGAATAAGGTCGAGTTGAACGACTAGATGAATGAGTAAAGGTAAAGTGATAAATTTGACAAGAATGGTAAAAAGAAGGAAAACTTTTCTTCTTTTTTCCTCGTCTTTTCCACTTTAAATACATTGACAAATGATGAATGTTTAGCTGTTGGAATTTTTTAGCTCATTCATATTGAACCATTCATGGTAAATGTTATCAACTTTACTCGCTCTACAGTTGGTAAAGTTGATAAATTTGCTGATGTAAAGGAGAAGAATATAATTTTGGAGAAAAACTTCTTTTGCAAAATTCGTTTACTCACGTATTCTTCAAGATCAAATGCTGCAAAGATTATGGTACTTTTCAAGTGACACTGATGAGCTGTCAGCATTCGAGCCACTTCGAGAAGGGCAACCACACCTGAACCATTGTCATTGACTCCAGGCGAAAGTAAAACAGTGTCATAATGAGCTCCAATCAAGATCAAAGATTCCTGGTCAGTTGCTCGTGATGAGCCGGGAAGAAGAGCAATAATGTTCATTCCTTCGATAACTGGAAGATTCTGAAAGGCAAAAGATTCGATTCACTAACATTAGTAAGCAAAGCAAAGCGAAATAACGAATAGAACAAGATGCAGAAAAGTTTCGTTCTTTGCTTCTCTTTTGCTTTTTGGATAAAGAAAAGGTCGAAACTCACGAGAAACTTCATTTCTGTTGCATTAAACTTGTGTGTCCAAGTTTCAAGGCGAAGCTTGACAAACTTGTCGATGATGAACTTCCTGACAATTTGTTTTGCCGTTTCATTGGCAAACGAGTTTCTTGGCGAAGAAAAATGATTCACTAAATTGGATCGAAGAGATCGAACATCAGCTTCGAGGAAATTTTCACTAATTAAATTGTCACTTTCCTCTGGAACAACATTTTCCGTTGTCGTTGTAAAGCTTGCCGAGGTTGAGGTTGAAGTTGTATCAGGTAAAAGCAATTCTCGTTTTATCCTCGAAACTTTGAATTGTGAATCGACTCTATTTGTCGATAGCAATGAAGTCAAATGAGCACAATAATCTTTGGATAAACTTGGATTAATCAATTGAATGGAAATGATCAACACTGAAAAGGTGAACATGATGAAGAACTAAGGAAACCTCTAAATGAATTTAATGAGAAACATTAATTTGCATCGATTCATAATGAAGAGACAACAAAAAGTGTCGATGATTTTGTTGTTGCTCAAGTAAACATTGATATTGTACTAATCAAATTAATCTTGTTAAGCCCAAACAACGGGAGGGTTAAAGAAGTGCTTAAGATGATGAAAAAAACGATAATCATCTTCTTCTTCATCAGAACCTTTTTCAGAACATTTGCTGAAAGAAGACGAACAAAAAGGTTGTTGATGAAGTTTTGATAATCAAAAAGAGGTTGTCTGTTCGCATAACCATCAAATTGATAGTTTTCAAAATTAAATCAACCTCATCGATTCGCAACATTGAAGGGCAACTTTTTTCTTCTCTCAATCGCTCGATTACTAACATTATGATTATTGCCATCATCATCATCATGATCGTTATAAGTTCAACTTTTACTTCTCATCATTTCTTAAGTGTAATTGAGATGAAACAAAATCTCATTCAAGTGTCAACCATTTTCAGTGTTTATTGTAAATTGAATGTAAATTGAATGTAAATTGAAACAAAACCACTTTTCTTGATCAACTTTTTGTTTTGTTAAATTAATTTTCAATTTCATTTTTCAATTTGCATTGAAAGTTGAAACGTGATAATTATGCTTCAATGAATTGAAAATTGTCAACATTTTGAGCCACTTTTTGAATATTCACTTTATTCCTTCAACTCAATTTGGTTCATTTAACAATCCATTAAATCTTAGCAACGTTTCCGATTTGGTTCAACATCTTTTCTGGTGTTTCCAAGCAAAATCAATATTTTCATTTGAAATGTTTCTTTTTTTTTGTTTTCTCATCAAAGTGTTCAGTTCCTGTTTGACATGACATCAACGTTTTCATGTTTTCGCCATCATTAGCTGTCAATGGGCCAAGCTGACAAAGTTTATTAAAAGGTTAATCACTTCAACTGGTCAACATGTAAATGCAACGAGAAAAGTTCATTTCTTTGGCAATAATTTTTCCATTTTTTCTTTTTTCTCTTTTCGAAAAGAAATCATTTTCGGAATTTTTCATTACTCAATGATAACTGTAAATTGATGGGAAACCTTGCAGTTGATTAGCTGTAAAAAGTTCATTACAATTGAGAAAACCTTTTCTTCTCCTTTTAATGTTAAGTTATGTTTAGAATTGAATTGTTCAAAGATTGAAGAGTTGATTAACTTTCAGTTTCACTGAAAATTTGAAGATGAGTTTAACTAATTGCAGTTTACCAAATTGAATTACATGTTGATTAGTGAAACGAAACTGCGTTAACAAGTGATAATTGTGTTAATCAGTTGAATGCAGTTTCAAACAAAATTAACCCTGAAAAATGGAGAAACTCTCTAATTTATGGTTTCATATTTTGTTCAACTTTGTGCTCCATTTATGATTCTTATGTCTTGCTTCACTTGTTCATCTTAACCTTTACTTGTTTCAATTGAATTAGTTGAACAAGTTTTACAATGAGATAATAAACAGTTGCTCATATCAATGAATCAACATGAAACTTGGTGAGAAAAGAACCAGAAGCCAAGTTCCTTAATCAATATAATTTCAGATTGAACCAGTTTCAATGATTAGACTGATGGAAAGACAAAGAATGACAAAAAAACTGAAAACATGAACAAGACATCAGTTCAGTTATCTATCAATTTTCCAGCTTCCATTCCGATTCTCATGAGATGAATTTGCATTTTATTATCTCAATCTGGCAAAACTGGTGAAACGTGAAGAGTCAAAAATCAATCAGAAAATAGTGTTAATGAGAAAATTTAATTTTCTTTCTAAAATGTTCATTACATTGAAAAGATATCGATCGCTGTTTAATATTCATTCACCTTGTTATGGACAATCAAAGGTTCATTCATTTGTTGTTTCAAATTCATGAATAGATTCATAAAGAAATTGAAACATCGATAAATCAAGAGGTTCAGATGACAGTGATCAACAATTGAATAAACAGTAAGATAGATGAAGGAAGGAATATCATTAACCGATGAAACATTTATCATTGTGTGATCATCATGATAATTCAAGTTATCATTTGCTTTCATCTTTACCTTTCAACATTCGAAATCTGATTTCGGAAGAAACTGAGAGAATCACTGTTACATGGAAAGGAATAGAATGAAAAATTATCGGAGAGAATTAGATTATCAGAGATTTCATGATAATTATTTTATTGTTTCATTATTTTTCGTGAAATTACAATTTTCTAGACAAATTTAGATTCTCTCAATTGCTCGAGTCAAGTGATGGAAATGAATGAAATTTTGATGACTTTTTAAAGTCTCTTTCTGATGAAGATGACTTGAGATTCAATTTTGATAGAAACTCGGTGAAACTTCATTTGCAACTTTAATGATTAAAGGTTGAACATTCGCATCCAAGAGTTATCTTGAAATCTGCTGAAGAAACAGTTTGATAAACATTTATAAAAGTCATCAAGAGCAGGCAACTCTGATCGGAAACTGTTGTCATGTTGATGTTGCCATTCCTTGAAATGAACATCTTACATTTTATTATCGCAACTCAGTTTACTTAACTCATGATAAATATTATTTTTATGGTTAATTTCTGCTTTACTGGACAAAAATATTTACTTTTTTATGAACATTTCTTCTTCTTTTTCCCTCTCACCAGCAACTTTAACATCATTTTTTATTCTCTCTCTCTCTCTCTTCCATCATTATCATGAAACTTTTATTGAACAGTAAAAAGCACATGAAAGGAAAATTGTTAAACAGATTTATGGGAAAGAATTAAAGTTTACAAAATTAACTGATAACTTTGACTCCCAGTTGCACGGAAAGTCGCAATTTTTTATCACCAAATTTTCTTGTACTTTTTACTTTATCAAGTGAACATTAAAGAAGCATTTTCAATCAAAAATTGAATGTAAATTTTGATCAGTTTCAACAATAAAAGTGTTTCCCTTTCAAAGATTTTCAATGAAAATGAAAAGTTGAAAAGTCAATCAATCGATTGGACAATAAAAATCAAAAATTGACGAGAAATTGAAAAATAACAAAAAAACCATTTTCTCATTTTGTATCTTTTCCCCTGAAAAAGTGCATAAAAAAAGCATTAATGACCAAAGATTGAAAATGCATTTCAACTCCCAGTTGAAGAAGCAAAACAAAACATGGAGTTCAATGAAACAATAACAAATGTCTAATAGCATTAACATTTAAATGAAATAATCTGAAGACCAAAAAAAAATGATTACCTGCTAATGAAGGGAAGGCAAAGAGAAAACAAAAATTGAATAAAAGATAAGTTTACCTTGAGCTCTTAATGATCTTGAAAAAGTTTACACTGGCAATTATCATTCTCATCACTATCATCATTATCTTGCTAATCATCCTGAAAGCCTGAGGGCCTACAAGTGCTACACTCTTCATCATCATCATCATCCACATCATCATTGGATCGACAACACACATTGGAGTGATTCATGCTTTTTGTGTGTCTTTTCCTTCGAGTGTTGCTGATCGTGTGTAACAGGGACACAAAGAGACAAAAATAATGCAGATCAATGAACCATTTTGGGTTGAGAGAGAGAGAGGCTGACAGGGAGGCACAAAGAGTGTTAAAAATAATATCAAAAGGTAAGGGTAAAGAGGGAGGAATAAACTCCCAGTCTAGAGATGAAAATAAATATCCAAACAATGATTCATGCCTCTCCAGTTACTATGGTTATTGTATTGCTCCTTTTTGTGTCTCTGTCTCATATGCTGTTGCCTTTTCTGACTCAAGACTTGCAACTGATGACTGACAAACTAATCGATATAAGACGAGTCATGCAAGCACACAACACAGATATGATATTACGCTTAACCATTTTTTTTCACTCTCACAGCAAATGCTCTTTGTCTCTTTTATTATCATTATTATTATCATTTTTAATACTTTTGCTATTAAGTAAGTTGACATTTCTTTTTTCATCATCCTCTCTCTCTTCCTCTGTGACCTGAATTTGATGATAAAAAAACATCATTTAAAAAAGAACCAGATAATGATGAATGTTTTCTAAGGTTTCCAACATTTTCCTTTCAACTTTCACCTCTTCCTTTTCCTCAACTGTTGAATTTGCATCCTTTTTCATGCTCATTATCTGAAAATTCATTTCAATATCTTTTCAATCTTTTCCAATCGATTCTGTTTACTCTTTTCTGCGAAAATTTCGATCACTTCAACAATTGATTTCATTTTTTCTCAGCTTTTCATTTTCCCATTAAATTGGAATCATCTTTTGCCTAAAGGATGAAAGATGAAGATGAAAGTTTGTCATCATTTTAAAATTCCAATAAGATGGGCGAAGATGAAAAAACTTCCTTCCTTGTGTTGTTGTTGAACGCGTGTTTTATGATGGGCGATGCTTTGTTAACCCACAATCATAATCGTTTAATTGGACGATAATTGCAGTTGAATGATGGATTGTTGTGATAATGATCGAGAGATGATGAGAAGGGAAAGTTTGCTCAATTGGCACAACAATTTAAGCGAATGCTTTCAGCAAGGAATAAGAATGGGCAAGAAAATGATTCTTATCTGCATTTTTCGCCTTTTCAACTACTTGTGTATTCATCTCATCGTTTATCATTCATCCTTTATTCTCATCCTTTTATCATTAAACTCATCATCATGCTTTCATCTAATTGATCAGCTTCCAACCAATTGTACAAACAATGAAAAGTAATCGCAAGATGATTCAAGATCCAAACAATTGTTATCGCAATTCAATTAGTTGAATAATTGCTGTTGAAACAACAAAATGATTGAGATCAAAGTCAACCTTTTGCTGATGAAAATAGTTGATGACGAAAAATGGCTTCTCATGTTTGTCTTGAAATTCAATTTTTACACTTTGACTTGGAAAAGTTCAATTTCGAAATTCATTTTTTTTGTCCTTTTCACTTTTCCAAGTTTACATTTTCAACTTGGAATCATGAGTTGCTGAGTTAATCAAGGTTGAAAGGTTATCAGTATACTGACACTTGCAAATAATAGTGAATAAATGTTTGAAATGAATTTGCTTCTCAAGTTGGAAACAGAAAAAAAAACATATTTTTGTTCATATTCAGTTGCTCATCATGGATCATTAGTCTTTTAGTTTATTCTGAGCTATTCAAGATTCCACTTTTTTGTGACTTTTTTTTTCTTTTTCCTTATCTCATGACATTTAGAGTTATTGGGTGAAAATGGTAGACTGAACCAGAAGCCTTGGAGCTTCCAATGATTCAGGACTTGTAACTTATCAATTAGATTTCAAGTAAATGAATCTAACTGTTGACTAAATGGTTAACAATAATTATCATAATGGGAGCGATAAATTGTGAAAATGATGAGAGTTAAAGATGATAATGACTTTTAATGTTAATGGAAAAGATTAAAAAGGTTTCGAAGAAAAGAAGAAAAGAAGATGAAAAGATATTCAGACAGCATAATGAGTTTTTGTTCATGGCAAGGTTAATGATGTTAATGGTGTGCTTATGAAGATGATGAAGATAAAGTGATAAAATGTTTTCACTCATTAACATGATGCTCGAGTCCAACTCGTAGACAAATTGTTCATCATTGGTTAACTTTATTGTCTCAAGATGTTTGAATTTCAAAGAAGGTTTCATTTCACTTTGGAAAGAGAAAAGTTTTAGAATTTCAGATTTCAGATTTTTCTCTCAATGTTTTTCTTTTCTATGGAAACAAAATGTTTATGAAACTCGATTGATTCTGATTTTCAGCACTTTTCTTTCGTTCCATTAATTGTTTGATTAGTCTTTGTTACTTTATGAGAAGTTGAAGAATTTTCTTTTTTCATCTTTTCCATTGTTATTGGTAATATAAATGGTTTGCCAATCCATGAGAGAAAAGAAAATGAGATGAAAAGAATGAGTCAGAAATGGTTCAGAAGATGATGAAGATGAGGGCCAAATGAATCATGAAAAGAAGGAAAGAATGAAAGAGATTGGAAAAGATTATGTAAAGATTTTTGATTAGAGTTCACTGAGGTTTTATTCAATGTGAACCGAATAATGAAAGGAAATAATCTTTTACCATTGATTTATTAAATAAAATATGATTTCAGGTGAAAGAGAATCATGAAAATGATGAGAAGAGTTGTGATGAAAATTAAGTAAACTGATACAGAAAATTATGAAAGGTTTCATTTGTATGCTTGAGCAGCAATGGTTTAAAAAGAAAACTTGAAAAAGAAACTTTTTCTTCTTCTAAAACAAGTTCTGGGAGTTTTCACTCCCAGTGTTATCTCGAGTTTTGTGCTTCTTCTACTTTTGGTTTTACAGTTGAAACAATCTGAAGTTTCATTTCTTAATTCAAATTGTCATTAACTAGTGATCATTGAGAGAATGAGAATTTCCACGAATTTTCACTCAACTTTTTTCCATTCGATTCATTTCTTTGTTCAGACATTTGCATGGAATGTTGGCAATAAAAAGAATTTTCTGCTTTTATTGAAATATTTGTATCTTTCATTTCCTGTATTTACATGGAAAAAAACAAGAGAATTTCTCAAGAAGATAATTTCCATTCTATTGTTTCAATAGGAACATTTGTCTGGAAGCATTTTTCACCATTCATTCCCCTGAAATGTTATATTCTTTGTTAAACTTTATTCTTGTTCATTTTTATTCAGTTTAAAAATATTTACAATAAAGAAGATTGAAATGAGAGAAAAGGGTTAAAAAGAAAATTTTATTTAATTCCATTGTTTTCTCGGGAATTCATTTTTTCTACTCTTTACTAGAATAATAATCATGGTGCACAAGTTGAATGAACAGTTAGAGGTTAATGTTCTGAAGGAATAAAGAAATTGTATTATAACCATTATTATTCAATGTAAATTAATAGCATTTATCAGAACATTCTCCTCCTGTCAACAATATTTATCTTACAATTCCAATTGTTTTCAGTATCATATTATCACAAGTGGAAACATAAAAATGTTTTTGCTACATTATCAACTTGAAAACTAAATTGCATCTCAACATTTTTACCCTCCAATACTGAGCATATTTTAATCCAACAATTAAAATAAATCACTTGATCTGTCGCAAGTTGTTACTAAAAAGGTCATTTCATAGAAAAAATTTCAGTCGAGTTCCAAGTCGAAATTTGGAAAGTTCATTCTCAAAATAAGTCAATAGTTGTCCTAATGGCCAATGATATAAAAATGCAGACTAACGGTTAGTCTCTTCGGACAGTCTGCATAGGCTTAATGGTTCGATCGGGTGAAGATACGCCTCACCAAATGACACTGCATGCTATGGTTCCTGGTCCACCAACTGCTCCCAATCATTTCACATTTTCACTTCACTAAAGATACACTGAAGCGCGTGCATATCATACTTCGTATCGGTAGTCTTGAGGGTTGACATCAACCGGTCCCAATCAAATGTTCAATGTCATGTTCCCCATCTGAGGCTTGAGCAACTGGAGTGAGGGTCCGGACCCTTCCTCTGTAGACTCAAGACTCTCGGGTTAAAATTTAGTTTGTTACTGGCCTGGCTTTTTGGCAGTACATTGCAATTCAGTTTGTCAATGTCCATGTAATGGATAAAATCTTTTACCAGACGTTGAGATCAACCTTTAGTTTTCAACATCATCTTCAGAAAACTGTGAATACATGATAATAAGCTTATTAAGACTACATCCAGAAGTAGCAAAGCTTGAAACAATTTAAAAACATGAAAATAGCGATTTAGAGATGCGGTTTTCAGATAATTGAACGCTAAGGTATGAATGTAATACAAATAGTCTCAGAATATTTCTTCCATGAAAATTTCAATTCTTCCCTAAAACTGCGAGAGCGAGTCGGCCAATCTCTCAATAAGACTGGTTAAAAGCATACCATCAGCCATATTGACCCCTTCGAGAAGCACAATTTTTCTCACATTTGTTTTGTTCTCGCCATAAAATGAGTGAAAAATCCTTCACAACTGGTCCAATGGTCTAAATCCCTTACTTGCCAAACTTGTGACCTTTGAGTGCAACGGTCTATTGAAGCTAATTCAATGAGATTTACAAGCGTGAATAGAAATGTGATTTTTTCCCTATTTTTGAATTAAGCTTTTAATTTGAAAACTTTCTCCACTCTCTCAGCCATTCAACAAAGTACATCATCACTTGTTCAAGTTGTCATGAGACTCATTTGATTACCATGTTGTTCAATTTTGTGTCACTCTACCAGTCTTAATCCACTAGTTTAACCGCATCTTCAAATATACGAGAAGAAAAGATTAGAAATTGTTTCTTCTCTTTTTTTCTCTATTTTTCCTTGCATCCTTGCATCCTCCACTTTACCCAAACTGCAACCACTTGGGAATCCGTTTCCATGTCTAAGCCTCATTTCTCATCATCATCATCTTCCTCTTCATCTCACAAGTTTACTGAACACTGTTTGCAAACTAAAACAAGCCAGTTACTTTCATTTCCTCATCTCATCATCTTCATTTACCCTTTCCTTTCCCTTCTCCATTGCTCATCTAATATTCTTATTGATATTTTCTTATTCAATATTTTATATTCCCACTTCATATCAATGTCTCAATCTCTTTCAAATGATATTTATCATAATATTATTTCATTCTTGTGCTTTTTTTTATCTTCACCTTTTCTCTTTTCTCCAAATTCATATTATTATCATAATGAATACATGAAACTGCAGGACAAAAAAAAAGTTTCATCTCAATTTTTCTTCATCTCAACTTGATTCAGAAAATAAGAAGAAAACCTGTCAATTCTCAAGAGAATCTCAACTTTTTCCATGTTCAAGAACAATCCCAGGAAAAAGAGGTTACACAGAGAAGATGGCAAAACAATTAAAGCTGCAATCAAAATGAACAAAATGAATGGAATGGGAAAACAGAAAAAAAACTTTCACCGTTTTGTCAAACTCGGCAGTTACAGCATTTGAAGAATGAAAGAAATGAAAAAAAGATTGAAATTTATATTGACTTTTCATCATGACTAGTGAATAATATTTCACCAGTTTTACATGAAATTCATGAAAAGATATCCATTGAATTCCAATGAGATCATGTCCAGGGTCAGATTATTCAATAGTTGCAGGTTGATCCATTAGCACTTTTTTGTATCATTTTTCTTTCCACCAAACAAACTGTTTACAGAATAATGATGACAATATTTTTTCTCCAATTCAGATATTCGACTTTGAATATTCGATTTTTCATATTCGAGTTACTTTTGTACAAAAACGAGTGGAAAAGTTTATCAGAATTTGTGGAAAAAAGAGAAGAGAACAAAATTCGCCAATCTTTTTACACTTTTATCTTTTCATATCAACATTTTTCACTCCCAGTTGCATCATTATCAACATGCATTATCGACTTTTCATCATGAAATGCTGCTATAGTTTTGCATTTGGTTAAGCTTTTGCGTGAATAAAATTGAATGAATTTAATTCATATTTTTCTGCTTCTTTTCCATTGTTTCTTCTGAATTAATGAGAAATGAAATATTGAATCATTCAACTGAATAAAATCACTTTTAAACTTGAATAATTGTGTCAGCTAATTAAATTATGAAGATGCACTTTGATTAGTTGAGCTTAAATAAAGTTTTCACTTTTTTCCACCTCAACTGAATAAAACTGAAAGAAAACTGTTTTTCACTTTAAAAATGAAATGTTTATCGATTGAAAGTTCAACGACTTTTATCAATAATATCAATGTTATCAATATTATTGGATAATATTGTTTTTCAAGCAAATAAATTGCTTTATTGTTGTCGTAAGTGATAAAGTTAATGACAAGATGATAAAAAGAAGCTTATTTTTTCGAGTCTTTTTTTTGAACTAAACTCTTCAGAGTGAAATTGCTTTAAGTTATTTTATTATTTTGCTTATCAAATGACGAGTTTTGTTATGACGTTGGGCGAGTTCGAGTTTACAAAGGCAATTTGATTGAAAGACCATCAAATTGGCAGGAAAATTGGAAAATTATTTTCAGCCAAAAGTTCATCTTGATTGACCTGCATTTTGACTCTTGAATCAACTTGAATAATCCTGCAACCAAATAGAGTATCAATTTGTTGTTTCATGTTTTCTGTCTTTCTTTGTTTGTTCATTTTGCTGGAACATTGTTGGTAATAATGGGATGATAATGATGATGAAAAAGAATCCATTAACTGGAATGATTTTGGTGTAAAAAAGTGATGAAAAGAAGAGCAAGTTTGAAGATAAACAAAGGAAAAGTGAGAATTGATTGGTTGCTGGGAATGATAGTAAAAAGTGAGACAAGACGAAGATGAAGTTTCTTTAGTTTCCATTTGAAATGTGATAATTTTAGCCTCCTTTTGTTCACGCTAAATCAAAGGCTCCAGGATAATGTACCTTGGTGTATCTGTATGAGTTTGGAAATATTGGGTGAAATGATTTCAATTGAACAGCTCCTGGTTCTTCACGAGGATAAGAATTGGGCAAAACGCCTAAACGCTGAGCATCTGTATATTCACTGGTACCAATGCGAAATACTCTGCCAGAAAAAAAGCAAAGAATGAAAATCGTTAGTACAAATATTTTCAATAAAAGTAATAAAATTGCTTGACAGTTGAAAGAATTGGGAAAAAATTTGGATTCTTGCGAACAGTTTTCACGAATTTATTGAAAATAAAAACTCTTGGTGAGCTTTTCTTTCTAGAGTCAATCAAGAACTTAGATTATTTATAATAGTAGAAGAGGGATATTTTCATGCAACAAATGAAAAACATTAAGACTTGTATTTCAATTTTCTTGAAAAAAGATTAAATAATTCAATGATATTGCAAATAAGCTTCAAACAAGCGGACTCTACTAACAGTTCACCCTTTAGTGGCGTTTAGTTTAGTTTCGTTAAAAGCAGAATCAAGTCCATAAAAATTTCCATTTGAAAATCCTATTGATTATCAACATATATCGATGTTTAGAATTATTGAATAAGGTGCGAATTGAAGGACAAATTTTGATTAATTATTGAAGAGTAAATTGACTATAAACGATTGACTAAAATTTACTATATTAATTAATCATGTGAAAAGACCAATATTTAAATGAATATTATTAATATTGATGATTGTTTTGCAAACGGCGAGGTTTCACATTGAAAAGGATCGACCACGCTTTAGGCTAGGTTATGTTAGGTTAGGATGAGCCACATAAGAAGCTCTTAAGGCACTTGCAATCCCTATGACTGGGTCTCGACCCAATCGAGTATTATTTCAAGTCAAGCTGGCAATACCACTTGGCCATGATTATTTTAGCAATCATTTGATATTATTATGTTACTGATGAAAGATAATTATTGTTTTGCAAGTGAATATTATTGATATTTGTGTTGTGTTTATTGTATAAAAGCAATTTAGTGGTTATATCAAAGCTATATTTTGATGGATAAAAGGTTATAATTTAATTTTTATTGATAACTGTAACTGGAGAGTGCCATTGCTTATGGCAATCTTATTGCCTTCCAGTCTCTAGCTTTGAATTTTTCATGAAACTTTTTTCTCCCCACTTATTTGACATGATAAAATGCGCCTGAAATTTGTTGCCTTCATTTTCAAGTTTCATGGTGAAACTGTATCATGGTTGGATCATTATTCATCTCTCTCATTTGAAACAATGAAATGTAATTCAAAATTTTCTCTTCACTTGTAAAATGCTTAAAAATATAATAAAATGATTCCCATCAAGATCCGACCCAAAAATAATGACTTTTTCACTCTCTCAATCTTGTCTACATCATCTTATTCAACTCTCCTTACTCAGCATCAAAATCACATTTTAACCTTTTATTTTCCTTCTCTCAGCCATGGAAGAAGAAGAAGAAAAATATATTCTCTCAGCCTTTTCTTTCTCTTTATTACACTGACAAGCTCATTCCATGCTGTTGCTACTGAATTTTCCTTTCGAAACTTGATTTCTTTTTTATGATGTTGCACCATGAAAAAACACTGAAAAAACAGGGGAAAAAGGGACAACTCGAGGAGTAAAGAAACACACAAATGATCGATAAACTGACTCATGATGATGCTGTGTTTGGGTATCAAAAGGATGAGTTGAAGAGAATGATGTTGATGGATAAAAGGACTGAGCAAGACACTTGGAATTTCCCTTTGACTTCCCCTGGTTATCAATCCCAGTTATCATTCCCTGTCTGTTCAACTGTCTGGATGTTAACCCTTAACGCACCTAATCAACCATCAGTTCAATCACAAGTTTCTTTGTTTTTCTCAAAATTAACTTTTCTTTTCTATTTTCCTTTTTTTCAACCCTTTTCTTTCTCACCAACTATAATCATTCTTCTTCATCCAAACTCATTAATAAAAACTTTGTGTTCCATTTCATCCTTTCTTCTTCATCTTACAATTTTCCTGCCAATTCTTTACTCTCATTCATTTCCATCCAACATTTTATCAACCTCATGAACCTTATGGATAACACAGAATACAGAATTTATCTTTTCTTTTCATCATTATCTGAAAACCTTTCTTCCATCCCTGATCTGGAAGAATAAATAGAGAAGAAAATGAACAAAAACTGAAACCAATAAACAATTCTGAGCACAAGAAGAAGAAAAAAAATGAGTCAAAAAACGTGAAAAGCAATGGTCAACATTACAATCAACATTTCATTTGCCATTAACTTTTCATCTTTTCATTACTTGGAACCTTTCCAATTCACTGTTCATGGGTTCATCAGAAATCAGGTAAATAATGAACTAAAGCAAAACATTTGCAAAATGCTGAACAAAAAAAAGACTGAAAAGATGAAAAAAGCAACAAAAATTGTCTTCACTCGTGAAAGAAAAGGCGGCAATTTCGAAGACAATTTTGATTTGATAAAAGTTATTGACAAAGAGAATCGTCTTTTCCATTGAATCAATTTCATGATTTCAAGATGGTTATTGGAATGGACATGAAAATAAAGGAAAAGGAAAAGTTGATGGAAACAATTGATAACTTTTGATGTCCTTTTGCTGTTGTTGTTTGCTTGGAAAATAACATTTTTAATGTTCAATCGAGTTTCATTTTGAAAGTTGTCCCTTCATCTTATCCATGATCAAGTTAATCGTAAGTAATCTTGGATGAGTCCAATTGATTCACTCCCAAAGGTGACCAGAACAAGTGAATCAAGTAGCAAGGCGTAACAGCATGAGGTTTCAAGCAACAGCAAAGAGTCGACTAAACATGAGGCAAAATTAAATGTCAATTGTATCATTTATTTACTCTTTCCTGTTCAATTTGATTTCAAGTTGAATCAATAAACTGGTGAAAAAAAGTAAAAGTTGAATGGCGATGAAAAGATGAGCAAAAATGGTTAAAGGCAAGAAACGGATTGTCAAGCATTGAACAAGAGAAACCTCAACATTTCTAATCAAATGTTTGTTATTTTTATGCTAATGTTTTCCCATTCCTGATTGCAAGCTCATTTACCGCTCATTCAGCTTTAATCTGACGGTGAAAATCATGATAAGAATGATAACCATTTCAATCGTAACATTTGATCTTTAGATACTTTTCATTTTTGTGATTCCCTGTTGAACATTTGTCAGTCTCATAAAAGCGATTCTCGCCATTTCCAAGACATTTTATCATTTTGATTACAGATTAAGATCAGATAATCAAGGCTATCAATCAAGTTTCAGGGTTAGTTAAAGCTCTATTCATTTTGATCAGTTTGACCACATTCACCATTCTCAGAGGAAATGAATTTCGAACCAATTTCTTTTCATTTTTTTTCTGGTTAAATTTATTCTCATTTTGGGTTGAAAAGTTAACTCATTTTTTGCTCTGGAAATGGTTTTATTAATGATTTTAAGGTTTGATTTTTTATTCCTTTTTTTGGTTCAACATGGAAAGTTCATTGTCTTTTGATTGATTGGCATCCAATCGATAGTAAATGTTTGCTGAAACTATTAATAGATAATTAAATGAGAATCAATGATTTGCTTTTAAAACGAATCATTTGCTTTTCCTTTTTTTTGTCTTCTTCCCAAAGACTCTTGTCTAGACTTGGTTTTGAATTGTAAGTGAATTGTGAGTGAATTGTTCAATTGGATAAAATATTGAATCAATATTTTGAGAAAAATGTACTTCTAAAGACTTTGAGTATTGACAAGGAATGATTATTGTAATGTTATCATGGAAATGGTTGAGAGACAAAATTGGTAAATTGAACTCTCAGTTCATTGTGAAAATCAAAGGTTTCTCCTTTTCTCTTTGATAATGTCAACTTGAATGAGTGAAATTGCATTATCATGAGATTTGATTATTGGTTAAAAAAAATGTAGCTTTTGGGTCAAGAATAGGCTGAGTCAGTCGATGAATTATTTAACTTTAATATCGATTGATATCATGGTAATGATTATGGTTAAGAGCATGGATTGACCCAGCTTCTGGTGAGCCAAAGGAAAAGATAAAATGAAGAAGATGAGGAAGATGAAGAGGACTGGATGAAGGAAGGAAAAATTGAACCTAAAATGGATTCTTACTTAAGCTTTCAATACAGTTGATGGTCTGTTGGTTTTATATTAGCCAATGAAGTTACAAGAATAAGATAACTTTGAGAATATTTTATTTCTTCTTCTTCTTTATTCAGCATTGAAGGTGAAACCTTTTTCTCCCTTTTCCGATTCCGATAACTTTTCTTTTTGTCAATTCATTAAGAATCTCATGATGAATGAAGTGAAACAAGCTTAAGATTAGTTTGATCACTTTATTTTCATTTCTTGCTCTGCATTACCTTTTTTTCCCATTTTCATGACTTTTCCATTGGCTTTTTATTCGAAGCCCTTCTTTTGGCCTCTTTCAAATCAAATGATATTTGTTTCAAGTTGAACCTAAAAGTGAACGGAAGTTTACGCTAATTTATTTCCGGATATTTAAGGTGAATTAATGATGGAAATGTTTAATCTGATAAAAAGCTAAGTGAATTAACATTAATATCATCTTGGACACTTTTCTGCTTCTTCTTTAAGCCTCATTATAAGAATGCTTTTTATTTTAATGCTTCTTAATGTCACTTTCAATTTAACTGTTTTATTGTTCAATAAGTCATTTCAGCCTTTTCTTGTATAATTTTATCACTTTTCATGGAATTAGAAATTAAATGAAAGATAATTTCATGAAAAATCTTAAAATTTAAACGATTTTGAATCAACCGCGTCTTATGTAAGCTTAGGTTAAAACCTTTTGTTTCCCCTTTTTTAATCACATGTTTCCCTCTCATTTTTGGGTTAAGGCGAGAAACCAGATTTTATTTTAGCAATTAAAAAATCTAAATATTTTATTGATTCTTTATTTAATATTAATCTAGTTTTTAATTTTATTGATTTGTGTATTTCTAATTAATCTTCGACACTTTGATTTTCGCTGGTCTCAACCCTGGTTCAAACGGTTATGTGCCAAGTAAGTTATGATAATTCCTTGACCTTTGCTTGTCTTTGCTTTTAGTGCGATTGCCAAGATTGACAATTTACTGATCATTTGGTGGTCAATGAAGCTTACAAAAGTTGATTTGACAATATGACTGATCTGGATATTAAAGCAGCTTCTGGTGGTAAAGTTACAATTTTAATGTGACTTGTTTCTATCGTCCAACATGTATTGCATATAATATGAGGTTAGTTATCAAAAATAGTAATTGATAATTTATTATTCTGATCTTTGATTTTATTATTGTTTTCTGTTATCAAATAAAAAAGATTGCTTCTCTTTTGGTTCATAAGGTTATCAACAATATGAACAATTCCAATGGAATGAGAAAAGAAAAAGAAAACTGTTTTTGTTTTGTTCTTTCTCATCATTACGTTATAAATCATTGTGAATGTTTTGAATCACAAGAATAACAATTTAAATGATATATTGTACAACTTTGGTCTTAACTGTTGTTTTGATCAAGAGTCAAGTATTAATATTGTTTGGAAAGGGAAAACAAATTGTAGAGAATCAAATGTCTATGCTTTTTAGCTGGTTCATGAGTTATTCATAAATGTGTCTATCATTTAGATTATATTGAAATTATTGGCATTTCTCATTGCCATTAAAGCCATAAAGTTTACTCAGTTTACTCTTTAGTTAAGGTAACTCTGTAATAATCAAATTAATCAACTGATAAACTGATTTACCAAGAAAGAAATTGAAACCGTTTCAATGATAGCTTCAAAATAAAGTTAGAAATAAAAAATGGTGCTTCATTTTTCAAACTGTGAGTTGCTGCTCAAATAACAATGAACAGCCATTCTGGTTAAAAGATAATCTTTAATAATATTAAGGGTTCTTAAACCTTAAGAAAAATGCTTGAAAACAGATTATAATTCATCAATTATAAAGGGTGTAACACTTAAAAACTGGTAGATTGAGTGGGTAACAAGAAAGCGCATCTTACCTTAATCACAAAATTTGACGATATTGATTCGGTTAATTATGAAGCAACAGAGACAATGAAACCAAAATCAAATCTGTTGCTTCATGATCTTCATTATTATCTCAAGCAATATCGCCAAAATTTTGATTCAGGTAAGATACGGTTTCTTGTGACTTGCTTCATCTGTAAGTTTTGAACCCTTTATGTTGAGGATTATGTAGCAAAAGATATCAACAATCGTCTCAATTTTCCCTGCACAAGTATAATTAAGAGATGATCCCTTGTCATATTTAGTTGCAACAGGAATCTTCTAGAATCCAGACTATCAAACCGTTACTTTAACCCATCTAATTATTGTCACTATAATTCACTAATTATGTCTTCTAGGGTTAACCTCAAGCTCCACATCAATAATTAGACATCTATGTCTCTAACCTATTTTGGATCTTGTAAGTTGGTGTCTTGTTTATGTTTCAATCAAAATGTTCACTGTCTCAACTAACGTTTTTTTTGTTTTTTTTTCAGAAAGACGATCCTGGATAGTCAATTGTGGTTCCTAGCAACTCTAAAGCTGTAATTAATGAGTGAAACATCGGACAATATTAGTGGTTTGACATGGAATGGCAAAGAAACAATGAAAATTGAATTCCAACCTTCATATTGAACCTTCTTGAACCCAATTTTTCTGTCTGCGGTTTTAATTAAATTCTAACCCTGATGTGATTCTGAATAATTGATGACTTTCACCGATTTCCAGATATTACATTGTCAGACAGGACCCAGTCTGTCCAGTTGTTGATCTTGATGATTACCAAGCGACCATCGACTTAAACATAGATTCAAAGTAGTAAAGTTTCAAGTGATTTGATTAACGTAAGTAAATTGGTGTAATGAAATTTGATTGATTTGATTGATTGTGTACAAGTTAGCGTATTAACTTTCCCCAAATGTATAAACTGTTACCTTAAGTGTGTAAATGTTTTAGCCTTTTCAACTTGAATCTACTATTACTGGTTAAAATGAGTAATATAAACAGAAACTAATTTAACTAATAAAAAGTGCAATCTTCAATCTTGAACCATTGGAGTACTTATTGGTTGACTCAGGATAAAGTGAAACTTTGATGTTATAATGAAAGGATCCTTAAATCAGTTTGCCTTTAATCAATTTGATTAATGATCATTGATATTATATCATATATGCATTTGCCATTCAACCATTCTTATGAGGCCACTTATTAATAGTTATATTATTTTTATTATTGTGATTGAAAATCATCCTTTACGATGAAAAAAAAGAGTACACTTGACAAAACAAGTGAAAAAATTAAACCTTTACCAATTGATATTAACTTTGAACCACTTACATATTGTCATTATGATTGAGTTGGTTTATTCAGTTGATTCCCATTTACTAGACAGCGTAATTAACACAATTATAAAAGAAGAGGTTGAATGTAATTTACAAATCAATGAACATTATGCAGTGAAAACATGAATAAAGTCAAGTCTCAATAGAAAACTACTTTTCATTATTTACTTTACATTTTTTTCCTGTAACAACCTTTGCAACCTAGAAAACTTAATTAAATGACGCCAATTATAATTATTATGTTCAAGCAATAATAATTGTTTCACTGCTTTGATTAAGGGTTAATCAACTGAATACTGATTTCGTTGCTTTTCATGTCTTTTTCAAATTAATTTTTTATCGAACGTTCGTCAAGAGTTTTAACTTCATTTTTCTTCTTTTACAGATTCAATCATTTTTGCCATTGAAAAGGGATTCGAGTCTGGAAATGCATCAATGTACTCATTATGGACCAGGATAGTCCAATTGTATCTTCAAGGGTTATCGATTCTTAGAGATGAAGGCTTCATCATCGTGTTTGTAGGCTGATTCTGGATTCCTAACTTGTTATTAATAGTTACATTGATTGACCGGGTTGACACTAAATTTGTCCAGTTAAAGACAGTTTGCTGTGTGATTTTATTATGATATTTGATTGGCTCAATTTGGATGAATTGAATTCACTCTATTTTTGCCTGCAAGATTGGATTCAAATGCGTCTTACATCTCAACCTTTGGACAATGTAACAACATGGTTAACCTTTAATTGGAAAAGTTTATTTTTCGTTTCATCTTCTCTTCTCTTTAATCATTCAAGTTTTCACTGGGCCTCTGAGTTTCATTTAGTTGGTTAATTTTGACTGATTAAGTTGAAATGCCAAGAATCTAAACCATTTAAGCTGTTACTTAATTACAATCTCTAAATTGGCCTAGTTGATTAACTTGAAATGGAAGCTCATTGTTTTTACTATTGCTTGCCATTTTTAAATTGAAATGTCAAGACATTAATTTGTAGACGTAATCAGTGAGACTGTTTAGGTTATCAAAGGTTTTACTTGTTAACGGAATGAAAATGAAATGATGAAAGATAGGTAATTGTAACTGATTAGTTTGTTAATTAAAAGTGAAACAAATATCAGATGAAACAATTAAGAAGGCAAGTAAAGAATTGAATAGACGCATGAAAGGGCAAAGTGTAGTTGAATGGTAAAAGTATGGATTTAATTATCTTGTTAATTAAAACATAGACAATTTAAATTGAACTTTAAATAATTAAATTTATTAATCTAATTAGATTGATTAATGGATAAATGTTGCAGAAATGTGAAATTATGATTGATGAATGAAATTGTTTGCTTGTAAAGTATCAACAATTTTAAATCAATTGATTGAAAAGGCAGACAAAGAGCAAGAAAGATGAAACTAATTGTTAATAAAGTGAAAAGCATCAATTAGAGCAGATGAATAGCTTTCTTTAATAATAGTAATATGATAAATTGAGACAATTTGACCATCTCTTGATTGTTGGTGTTCATTGAAGCTTTCTGTTTGTTTTAACATACAAATCAGTTGATCCATGATAACACCAATAATTAACAAACTAACTAACTTTACATGTTTCATACTTAATTCACTTTCTTTCCTCTCTCCTCTCCTTGGATGGTTAACCAAGGATTCCGTCTTGTCCACTCTAGATCTTTTGCTTATCTCTTACCCAGGACATTGACCATCTACTTTTTTTTCAGTGTAAATAATATTAAGCAAAAAGGCAAACTTTATCCTCCATCATCCTCCTTCATCATCATCCTTGATCATCACCATGAACCAGCCTTTTCAAGTATACTTTAAGCTAATTAGCTTGTCTTTGCTGGCTAACATAAACAGTGAGAAGCTGAATGATCAATTTATTATTAGGATTGGCCTTTAAATTTAACTATTGGATGGTGTTGATGGAACCAAGGAAATACAAGGAAATGCAAGGAAAATGATGGTTAAAGTCATGTTGAAAAGGCAAACCTTTTGCCCATTAACTCGGATCACTCAACAGCCAAAAGTAACATGACAAAGTTAAATTAAACAGAAAGCTCAGACAGTTTAATGATCCTGATGATGTTGATGGTTAACAATTAATCAAGGAAAATGTCTCTACTCTCAATAACACACAGACTCGCAAGATTGTCAATTGTTTTAAATCATCTTCTAAAAGAGTATCACCTCATTTACTCGGCATCAATGATGAATTTGGATTGGTGAAAGTCTCCAGTAAATCACAAACACTTTTTCATGATTCTTGAATTGATTTGTTTATGATTAGTAGATTGTTAATTGAATCTAAGGCAAATAAGTATGAAAAGAGATGTGTTTACTTACGGAAAATGAGGTTTACCAAATGAAGCAATTCTAATTGCATAATTAGGGAAAATATCCTTTGCAATTGAATGGGGTAATTTAATTGTATACGGAATTGGTTTAGGTAAATAACTTGAATAAAATGTTGGTAATTTAAGATTTGCATGCATTCCATTGGGGAGAGATAATTTGTATGAACTTGCGTTAATCAATTCAATTGAAGGTAAACAGAGGAAGATGATCACAAATGAAATTAACAAGTAAACTCTATCTACTAGGCAAACCATGATTGATGCACAATTTAAATTTCAACGATTTGAATTTGATTGACTGGAAATCTGAGAAAGCAATGGAAAAGTCGACTTTTCAAATTTAAAGTTGGTCTTAAACTGGCTTCAAATGGATCAAAAATGCCCTTCAAAAATGAAAGGACTAAAAATTGGGTTAAATTGTATCAAAACCCGATTAACCTGAAACAAAATGTAACCCAAACAAGTATTGATGGTCGAGTTTTTAGTTTTTTAATTTTAAATCAATTGGTTAACTTGATTTACATTGACCTGGTTGAGGGCAAAAGATGTAATGAAGTAAAACACTGAATCTGAAAATAGACTTAATCGTTATTTATTATTATTTTCAATTAAATGTCATGTGGATTGTTTACATGAACAAATAGGAAAGAACCTTTAAGGTCTTGAATTGACCAGAAAAAAGTAATCACAAGCTTTGGCTTCTCAATTTAATGCTCTGTTGACCGTTAATAGCTTTAGGCAATTGAAGTTACTGTTAACATATTAACGGTTTCCTCTTACCAAATATACAACAATAATGGTTATTAATAATGGCTGATTATAATGGCTAATAATGGTTAAGCTCAGTGAATTGCTTTTGATCAAGTTTCGAGGTTCTATTTGGGTTTTGCCATAGATTTTCAATGTTCGTGATTTTCAACAATCAATCAGATACAATTTCAAGGTTTTACAGTTTTAATGTTTGATGAGGATAAGCATGTTGACCATAGAAGATGAACTCTTTCAATGGACTATTGATTTGATTTGTCAAGTAAAACCCCTTTTCTCAGACTCTGTTTTGTCCACTATCATGAATAGACAATTTATACTAATGTAAATACCATATTAAAAGGCTTGACCAACTCAAAATGTTTTCCCATTTTGACTCTCTTCTGGTCATTTTCAATGGGATTTACTTAATTATTAATCCTATTCAATTTTCCCTCTCTTTCCATTGGGTTGTCTAGTAACCCAGTCTCAAGGGTTTGTTAATCAAGATAACCATTTTTGTTATCCTTTTATGTCTTGTTTGTGTTTTTGTAAATTTTTATTTTCGGGTTAATACTGTTAGGCCTAATAATTTAACTTACAATTTCATTCTCATCCATCATCGTTATCACTATCATCTTCATCTTCATTAATAAATGGGAATAATCATTTCCTTCATCAATTTTTATCCAACGTTGTTTGGTGTCTCTTCAAAGTGGTGTTTCTTTTTTTTCTGTTTTAACACTTAATGACAAATCTTTTTGTTTCCAATTAATAAGCTTTCTTTAATCATTATTTAACCCATTATTTTGGTTATCAAATTTGTTATTTTGTTTCATTCTTCTTTTCATCAACTTTCAGATCATCCAAGCTTGAGCTGTAATCACTTGAAAACTGAAGCCACTTTGACTCTCTGGAGGGACGATTAACCAAAGCTATATTAGTTTCCATTGCTTTCATATTAATAATTATATATGCGTACATTTTGGATACCTCATGGCCTGGACCCTGGTTAAATAACATTTGAATCAATTTACAAGGAATTTGAGTTTAACCATAATTTTGACAACTTGATGAGGATAATGATTAAGCCGAGAAGCCCTTTGTTTTACCCGATTCATTGGGTCATTTTCATTCTTGAAATGTTCATCTTCTCGTATTACCCAAACATACAAAAGATGAGCAACCAACCATGATATTTATCATTAGTTTAATTGTCTCTATTTCTCTCTCTCTCTCTCCAATTTTTCATCATATTTATCATTCATTGTTTCATCCTCCTTCATCTCACCATCATCATCTTCATCAATTCACTCCTCATCCAATGTAAAAATAATCACTTTCGATTAGGCTCTTGAAAAGCTAACCTTTTTTACATTCTAACCCAAGCTCATCAGTATTGTCTAACAAAGGAGAAACTAATTTATCAACAAACATTTTCCCTTCTCGCTCTTGATTACAATCCTTTAAAGCTTTGTTTACTATTCAAATTGTTGCAAATCTAAACCTTGAGCTTTCCCATTTTAACATGAATCAACATTAATTTGGTCAACACAATTATATACTTATATATTTACCATGATATAAGCTGATTTAGATATATCAATGTATTTAGATAACAACATCTACCAACACCAACAGCAAAACAAACAATTACACAAGAGTTGTAACATTAATATCTCATTGAATCAACCTTTAATGGTTAATGATGACCTTTTTTCATCCCATTCAACATGATTATCATTCATTTACTTGTTAATTCATTTAACATTGAAAAAAAATCAGCTGAAAAAAGGATTACATTGGATTAGAAGCACCTTAATAGGCCAAAAGTAAAGGCAAGAGTTGAACAGTACCTAAAATGAGTGTTCATAGTTTTCTGGTTCTTCCTTTTTTTATAATTGTTTTATTTTCATATTAATTATTAATTATTCATTGTTTTACCCCATCATTTTAATACTGTCTGCTTTATTTGCCATCTAATTGTCTCATGGTAGGTATAACCATCAACATTAGTTATTATTATCGTCCTAAACTTGAACATTATTTCATTCTGTAGACAGAATTATTACTGCCATTATATTTTACTCTTTTTATTTGTATTATAATGATGATTGTCATCGTCATTATTATTATTATTATCAGTGTCTCAAGGCCTGACCCTAAATGGATCATAGAGCTTTCATTGTGGTAATCACCTCATGGATGGTTAAATATTGAACAGATTATCTGGGTGGGGTTCCAATGAGAAGGAACAATCAACTTGATCATGTTTTTCATAATGATAATGATGACCTGATTTCGTGCAAATTATCATCCTAGATCAACTTTTAACCTCCTCTGATAATATCATGTTAAGTCTTGAGCTTTTTTCACTTTTAGTATCACATCAGACATTACATTTTGGGTTATAAAATATTTTAATGGGACAACTCGAGTTTTCTCATGATTATAATGATGACATTGATTGTTCATTTGATGATATCATTTCCAGTCTGTGTGCCTTTCCCCTTGTCTCTACTTGAGTCTTTGGTTAATCAAGATTGATGAATGTAAATTGAATGATGGACAATTGTCCCAGTCTTTATCCATTTCATGGTAAAATATTGGTCAATATATTTTCCGTTTCCAACCATCACTGACTTTTCATATTGTCTGCGATCTTTGCTTTTAATTAAAATTAATCAACCGGCCAATTTTAAAGCTTGATATAAGACGATGGTGAATATGGATCATCATTAGGAGTGAAAATAATGCGGTGATTGATGATGGAAATGATAACAATCCTTGTTATGATTTAAATGGTCAATAGTGACATAGATGAATGAATTGAAGCAAGAAAATTGATGAGCTTCTTCTCCCATGATTATGCAGATAACGAGAATCTGAAATTAATTGTATTCCTCCATTGATTTGATTTCTTATCCTTGCCTTTCCAATCCATTTAATGAACCATTTGACTTCCAAGTGTTTGTCTTGCCATTTATTATCAAAAAGATGATTTCCTTGTAGATTCCAACACTTGGTGATTCCAATTGAAAACATACAACATGATTAATTGTTAGAGTTGAGTTGAAACGGTTCAAGAAAAAATTACAAAACAAAGAGTAATTGAACGTCTGCTGTCATCTTGTGGTGGAAATTGATACTGATTGAATGTTGGTGAATTTGGTTAATCACTGTTTACCAAGGAATACCAGGACCATGAATAAGATGATGAATACCAGGTTTGTTGAATATTTGTCCTCGACTAATGAGATCTAGAACTGGGAACCGGACAACACTAAATAATTGAGAAAGTATTAGTCGAGTATATCTTGGTTGGTTCACAATTAGACTTGGTTGGTGGATTAAAATTGGACAATCTTATTTTAAATTTTAAGTTTAGGGACTTGATTGTTATTCTACTTACGGGTGATGTTTGGCTCCATCAGTGACGAGTCTTATATGGATTGGTGAAAGTAAATCAATTATGTTTCCCAACTGGTGTGGCATCGGCACTCGAAACAGAGACACATCATTACTTGCAACCAAAGAAATGTAAGATGTGAAGATAATAATCAAGATCATTGCTGTCGGAGATTTAAACATTTTTAAGTTTATCGTGAGCCTTGGCTGTAATTAACAAGTAAAAATTGAGAAAAATTATCAACTTACACACCACTACTCTCTTAAGGAAACACAATCTTCTAAGTCGCCATCTATCGCATAGATCTAACTTATTGTGTCAGAGGATATCGATAACATGAGTCGTCTAACGTTATGTAATTAAGTAACTAGATGGCGACTATGAAAATTTCCTCAAGAGAGAGTGAAAAAAGTTTCCTTAAGAGGGTAGTGGTGTGTATTATGTAAATGACAAAAGGAAACGAGACAAAATAACTTGTTCAATTTGCGAGTTTGAAGTAACTGAAAGACTTCAAGATGGACAATACATTTTATAAGATTGTTTAACGCTTCAGTGAAAAGGTTGTCCATTTGTCCAGAAATGGAATTGTGTTTAGTGAAAGGGAATTTAAGGTGAGATAAAAAAATCTTAAAGTATTAATACAAATACAAAGTATATCCAAATTGGCGTTGGTCTGTTAATTAAGACAGTGAAAGCGGGAGGAGGTTAGTGAAGGAAAATGTCTAATATGCATTCTGACATATCCAACAGATCTAACATTAGACGATCAGATGAGCTAAATTTAGATGATCAGTGATGGTTACTGTCCGTTTGCATGAAAAATAGATCAAGAGTAATTTCGACTTCAATTGTTACACTTATACAAAAATTGATAATTGTTATGTTAAAAGTATACTTTTTTGGTATTCAATCAAGCTCGATAGTAAATTGAAGATGAAGAAGAAAGGAAATAAGAAAATTAAAATTGTTTCATTTCCTGAGCATGGTGAAGCTTGCAAGAATTTAAACATGTGATGAACATGATTTAAATTGATTGAATAACTCTATAACTCTATAACGATTAAAATATTTTCCTTACAAGAATTGTAATCATTAGTGATAATGTTAGTAATGGTCTTTAGCTTTCCACTTGTTTCTCACAAATCAACTGCTAACATTAATTCAAGGTACCAATCTAAAGTAGTGTCTAAATACTGATGTAGTGGATGTATTTGAAGATGTTATTAATAAACAGTTTTGATTAGAGTTTTGCTCTACTTTCGGCATTAGTAAGGGTTAACCTCTAATTTGTTGATTACCATAATACAATTTAGTTTAGTAGCCATAATGTCATTAAATTTTGATAAATTAACTCTTCTTTAATCATATTTAACGGCCGATAACAGGTCCAAACTTTAACCATGAATGGTATCAATAATTTAAGCATTGAAACTGGAGAAACAAATTGTAACAAATTTGTACAAATAAGCTTTCAACTCACGAATCTCGATTAGTATTGAAATGGGTCTTGATGTAAACTAAAGCCAAACTAACAACCAGTAGTATGATAATCAAGGCAGCATAAATAAAAATTAGAGTGACAAACCAATAAGAGAATTTGTAAACAACTGGATTACAATAATGGCTACCGTCAACACTGTTGGCTGATGGTTTTGAAGTGAATCCAATGATAAATCCTAAAATGATGGTTAGAATGGTGTCACAGGTATTTATTGCTATGTTGGTGACAATTACAATGCGAGTCCAATCACCATTCTGTCGGTTAAAGCCTAAAATTGTTTTCCAACCGATAAAGGAATCTACAATGTTGACCAGATTTCCCAAACAGGTGATTAAACCTATGATGATCAAGAGAGGGGGCAAAGATGGATGGCTTGGACATTGATTGAATAGGACACTACCTAAAGGAGAAACAATTTGATGGAGATTAATACTTGGAAAATAAACTGATCGACTTGAAATGTAAAAAGAGTAGATTACTAACCAATAAGAAGCATCAACAGTGGAGCAATTAATGTGGTAACCAAACAAAAAGCCCAAAAACCTTTTTAATAACATCAGGTTGTTAATATTCTGATCATGGTGAACTCAAAATGAATCAGGATTGATCCAATAATAGAAATAATTGTAAGCATCTTACATGGGCCACAAGTAACACGTAAAAAAGTAATTAAGAAACTCCATTCATTGGACGATTTGCTCCGAGCTTCTCTGATTTTATCGAAAAAACTTTGCTTCAAAGATGTAATACCCAGAGGAGAGAAATCACCTAAAATTAAATAAATAGGTTTATTTAAAATCAGATGGAAATTATTGGTGGATTAGGAATAGGTGTAGATGAGGAATAAATTATAAGCAGAAAAAACACAAAAATCTGTCTTGAATTATAAACAAAATGACTTACCTTCAACAATGGAAGGTAGCTTTTTCCTTCTTGATCTAGGCATTTCTTCATCTCTATCCAAATCGTTGAGTTCACTTTCTTGAAGTCCATTTTCAGATGATGATATTGGTTGAGTTGATTGTTTACCTTTAATCCAACAATCAGAGATCTAAAAGAAACCATTAAAACAATTGAAACATAAAGGTAAAGGAAGAGCACGAAGTTTTAGCAAAACATATTGAATCTTTATAAGTTACAAGATAATGGCAAAGATAAAGATGGCGTCTCTAAAACGGTTCACCTTGCTCTATGTAATGATGATCTCATGGTACAAACCTTTAACTCCTCATTGTCAACCAAATCTAAAGTACTGTTAAACTCTGACATTATCAACCCTGGCGAGCTATTTCAATTAAAATTGGCTGATAATTAAACAACTGTTAAAAACTTGATATTCAACAATAATTGACAAACAATTTTTGTACCAATAAATAAATGTAAACTCAACCTATTTCTATCTCTTGCTGTTCTGTAATTCAGCTGTGTTACATTTATTTTATTGTCATTAACATCAAATCAATATGCGGCAACGGTAATGATGTTTTTAACAGTATACAATAGCTTAATTGTCAGATAAACCTGTTTGTTGACATTTTTGAAAACAAATGTGATCGCTTTTCGTATTTTTAACCTTGTCATAACAAACTTTTTACATCAATCATTCAAGTTTCAAGTTGATATATTTTTATTTTGGTATAGTTGACAAAAAATACAAATAACGTTGAATATGTAGTGACCAACAATCTGCTTTGACCGAGTCTGACTTTGGTAAAAATTAGTTGACAATTGACTAGTAAAATAGTTCAAAAATTATAAAATAATAAGTTTGGTAAAAGAGACGAAAATTCAACGTAAAACTATTAACGAGAGAATAGAGCAGGTGATTGTATCACAACGATTATTTAAAAAAAGAGATTAAGCTCGATGTTTAGTGGCTCTTTTTCATTCGTTAAAAAAAGCTTGAAAATGAAATCGTTTGAGGTCAGTCCATAGTTTCACACCGATGGGAAATAAACCAATAATTGTTATGTTTCTCCTTAAATCGAGTGATTTACCAGAGCTTGAGTTTGTTCCAGTAATCTTGATTTTAAGTTTTTTCCTCCATATTCAACAGGTAATCATGGTCCAAGCTTTTAGCTTTTTATCATTTTATATGGACCCGTCTCACCTGTGAACCAGATAAATATGCTCAAAAGTTGTAGCACCATGGCAAGAATGTTAAGGCCTCCCAGAATACCACTTTTAACGTCCAATGAATTTTGTAAACTAACAGCACATCCCTTGATAATGAAATGAAAACATTGATTAGTTCAGAATTGATTTTTCAGTGTAAGTGTTGCTTGATTTACTTACTTGAGGTTGAGTTATCGTTTCAATTGGACATGGAACCCATTCTCTGTCACCATAATCTCGCTCAGACTCTGCTCCACAGCAGATCAGCTGGATAGGAAAAAATTAATGTAAAATCAACAGCCTCATTCATGGTAGTCAGTCAACTTACCTTATTCTGAAGTATTTCTAGGAACCGGTAAGATAGATCAGTGTCATAACGTCTCTGAATGTGTTCCATTATTTCCAAACGAAGTGCATTAACTGACTATAAGGTTAGTAAAAGAGGCAAAGAAAAGTTGATTAGAAAATTGAAATGGAAACTGTTTGAAAAATGAAAATAAATTGATTTACCTGTTCATTGCTCGTCAATTTCCAGACTAAAGAGCAAACAGCAATACCAAAAGATACACAAACGCCAGCCAAAACACAATACTGTTGAGTAAAAAATGGAATACAGGGTTGATTAGTAAATTCAGTTGCATGTTGAATCACATAATAGAACCAGCAAATACATTCGCAACAGATAACCACTCACAAAGACTTATCAGTTTAACCTTGAAGGATAAGAAAAGAGAAAACAAAAACACCAATCTTTGTTGGTGAACAAAAGTTGAAGATTGTTAACATAAACAAAAATTAGAAGATAACTGAAGAAGATAATGAATATTTGAAGATAGTTGCCTGACAACGAGCACATTAATCGGTCATCAGCTTGGTTAAAAAAGAGAGAGAAAAAAGTTTACTTTCAATGTCAACCAGCAAAAAAAACTTCATTGCTCTTTGAAAGGAAAATTTTTCATCAATAGAACAAAAAATGTTTCAATTTGATTGCAAGCAAAAAATTAATTCACTAACAGGGTAAAACTCCATGGGATAATCAACTAAGTTGAAACAACTTTCAAGGTAATGCTGTAATCATAACATAATGATGCAAACAACAACAAAACCTTGAAAATGAAAAACTCATGAAATGAAATGAGAAAAAAGAGTTTATACCGAACCCAAAATGAAAGTAAAAATGTAGGTTTGGTGAGTAATAATACTTGAATAGTGATAATGAAGATAATAGCAATTTACAGATTTTTTGAATTTTGCTATTTAAAAAACTCGCCTCACTTTAGAGTAAGGTTAAGAGCCACTCATTCAGCCAACATGTTGTGTTCAATTTAGTGAACATCAATCAGAACGAAGCCAGAATAAAGATGATTTATACAATAGAGAATACTGTTCAATTGAATACATGATTCATTGTGAAATTACAATGAACATGATATAAGAAAGTAAAATGAAAACATGAAAATGATCACAATGAAGTTTCCATGTTAGTTTCACTCAATCATTGATTGGCATGACAATGATATTAATTTTATATCATGAAACAATTGAGATAAAAAAGAAAGTGTTTCACTGAAAATTACATTTTTTCAGTGACTTTGTTTCCCTCCATCTCAATCCTATTCATGTGGCGCATCATTTCATTTAAGGTCAAGATTGAAAAGCGAAATCAAGAAAATAATTGAAAGACCTTCTAATTTTTTCTCTTGTTCAATTACAATCTCGATTATAATTTACTTAAATCACTTTCTTTTTTGATAAATCCTTCAATATTGTTTTGTTGTAGCTGTTGTTGACGATGATGATAATGTTGAGAATAAGTGACCTAAATATAACTGAATTTCGAAAGGTTTAACAAAAAAAAGTAAACCGCTCAAAAAACGTCATATTTTTCAACAATCATCAATAAAGATGACTGTAATCAATTTAAACTCGCTATAATCAATTTGATATCCTTTCAATAATAAGTCTCTTCAGTCTGTAAGCTGATCATTTAGCTGCTTCTTTTATCCTTTTCAAGTCCTGGTCCATCAAATTTTCAATCTTTATCATTGTTTCGTTTCCAATCGTTCCCAATGATGGTGATGATGATCGACGATACAATGCTTGGTAATCAATTCATTTGGTCAAAGGTCATTTGATTGGTGAGTTAAGGACCGGTCAAAATCCTGTTGCTTCAAGTTGATTAAATATTCGCAATATTTAGAAGATTGGGGAAAAAGAGAATCCATTTAACCATATTTTATCCAAGTCCATAATTTAATTTTAAATGCCATCATCTATTAAAATAGATTCAATTGTATGAAGTCGATTGATTAAGCTTTTCAGCGTTTTACCTTTCAATCAGTGAAACTAAAAATATAAACTTTATATCCAAGTTGAAAACTGATTATCCATTTTTGTTCAATTCAATCACTCAAATTGTTGCATACACAATATCATTCATTGTTCAGTCTACAGAAGCTAAATTGAATGATATTATCATTCAATGGTGTTAATCAAATTACAATAGATAATTGATATCAACCAGAATAACTTTAACAGATGATCAAAAACTACTACATTTAACGAGCTACTTGAAAGATCGGACCAAATTGATGAAGCTCAACTTTTGACTAAAATAATACGATTGATTCTTCAATTACATGAATCAGAACTAAATTGATCAATGAGTTAATTTTCACGTTTAGATTCATGATCATCAATCTGTTGGTTAATTAAAAATTGACGTAGAGATACGGTTTAGCACCTGATCTTGAAGAAAGGCGTAAATAGCTGTTTCACAATGAGTGGCTCAGAAAACAGTCAACGGGTTAATTGTAATACTTGATGCGCCTTATGGAAGGTTTAACACTTGATTAAGATCAGTGGGGCAGGTAATGCTTGGGTGATAATAATGTTTGCATGCTTGGTCACAATAAGGGTATGAAATGATGCTCACCAAGAGGAAGAAATGATGTTTTTGAAGAGATACACCAAAACAACCGATGAATGAAATGAAAATAAGGATTATTCCTGACGCGATCGACAGGTAACAGGCAACATAATATCGACCCAAGTCAAGGTGAAGATTAAACTGATAAAAGACTGGATCCGCACGAATCATGATACTTGTAGTAATTAAGAAGACGCCAAGACACTTTAAGAGAAGAGAAGAGATTTTCATGAAAAAAAACTGATAAAAAACAATGGATTTTCAAGATAGCATGATGCTGATACTTACGAAAATTGCCGAGTTGATCGAGTATAGAGTACATCGTGAGTTTGTCATTTTACAAAGACAAATGGACAGGCTAGTTGGACAATAAATGTATGTTAAGAAAACGAATGTGTACAATTACAAATGAGAACAGTTGAACCAGAGATTTACAGCATTTAAATCCACATTGGCAAACACTTTGGCATGAAAGATTAATACGATGGCTTAAACTTGAGTGTCTATGAAACACCCTGTGAAACTATTCACAACTGTACAATCATAATGAAAATCTGTTGAAATGTTTTTCGAATTAAAATAAACTTGACTCAAAATGGAAACTTGAAATGATTTAAAACACGATGAAAAAAAGAGTATCACTTTGGATACTTTAAGTAAATGTTGAAAATGGTTATCTTTGCAAGTGTTTGTTTGATGCGATAAAATTACGTCTATTTTCCTGGCAAAAATAATAAATGCTTTGATATGGTGTTGATGTTGTTGTTGATAGGAATAAGAAAGAGAGAGAGAGGAAGAAATAAAAAGGTCTTAACAGTTAGCAACGATCACTTTTGATTAGGTTACCAGGGTTGAAGTTGCTTTAGATGTTGGTAAGAAAACGAGTAAAGCGAAAGTAGGAATAAACTAAAGGCAAGGAATTAACATGGAAGTTGGTTGGTGGCTAATAAAAGGATAATCATGTTGCTTGTTGATGTGGTTTGTTGAAAAGGTTTGCAATAAGATAAATCATGAGAGAATGAAATTGAGAAACAAAAATGTTAAATAAAAATGTCGACTGAAACCGTTTAACTTGAAAATGGTGAGATGAAAAGACAAGAAGAAAGTGAACGATGAGAGGCAAAAAAAAAGGTTTGAGAGGGAAAAGAAGCCTAAAGAGGGAGTCTCACTCAACTCGCTTTGCCGATCAAATGTTGTACTGTTTCCTTTTTTTGCCATATTCAGTCCAAATGATCATTCACTTGAACTAATCTCTCAACTTCCTAACCATCGTTTTTTTTCACATCAATTGTCCTCATCATTAACATGTTATGAAACTCTGAAATTACTGTTAACCATAAATTAACTCTGAATTCACCAGAAATCGGAATTACTTGTGACCTTACAGCCAACCTGGTAAGACTGCTTGCAATGGATCAGTCAATATGATTTCAATGGTTAAAAGGCATCTTGTATTGGATGGATCTTATTGTTAATTGTTGCTCTTTTTTAGTTGTTTAATTTCTCATGCAATTTCAACAATTAGCTCAAGGATAATGATGTTACTTTTTGATTGCATTTACTCGCTCGGATAAACTCAATCAACTTTAGTTGATAACTGACATGCGGTATAAATAAGTGAACAATCAAAGATGACAACAAAAGTAATTAACAGCTTCTGACTGTTCTCGATGTCTTCATTTTTATTGATGAGCTTCAACTTTGAATTAAATTGTTAATTTCACCTAATTGTTGGTGTCACTTTAAATGGTTCAACCAATAAGCTATGAACCAGTTTAATACAAAAATAAAGATGTTACTCTTCAAGATAACCAGAGCATTTGATTTCAACGAGAAAGCTAATCAAGGCACAAATTAATAAAAAATGGATTTTGATAAAATAATTGTTGAGGATCTGTTGAAATAAAATGCTTAATAATTAAAAATTAATACATTGGGTTGAATTTGAATGAACCGCAATTAATATTTTACTTTCAAAGGTTTAGCCAATGAACAAATGAGTATCATTTTCCTAATTGATACTTGTACTTGGATCCATAACAAGAAACAGTGTAAAATTTAGATTGGAGGTTGAATTGTGAATTTTTAATTTATTTTAAAGTGTTTAATTAAGTGATTACAAAATGACAATTCACATTGACTCTCTTCCAAATGAAATTATTTTAGAGATTTTCGAATACTTATATGAATTGATGGACATGATTAACTGTTCTTACGGTGAGTAAACTATCAATATTTCAATTTTTTCATCACAACTAATTATTTCCATTTTTCCCTCGCTTTTCTCTCTCTATCCGTTTCTAATACTTTTTAGTGTGTAAAAGATGGCGGTGTCTAGCACTCTACAGATTAAGCCGAGTTAAAGGTCTATGTGGTCGTAAGTTAATACACTCACCTACTAGAATTTACTTATTGTCACTGATTTGATTTGATTCTTTAGCTTACTGTGAATACACAATATGTTCTGATATTATATCGGCGAACGTTAATGAAAGCGAATACAAAATTACAAAATTATTACCCAATTTAAAGGTAAGCTATGATGGTCAATGAACAGAAATAATAAATGACTTGGAAATATAATTAATTGACTTTTTTCGTTTTAGATTATCGATAGTTTATTTGACGGGAGAGGACTTACAGTTAGATTTACTCATGCTTTAGTGCACTTGAAACAATTACGAGCAGTTCGTTTATACTATCCTCATTTGCTTGCCAGAGCCACGGTACTTCCCACTAAGATCCACAGCGTCAACACGCACTATTCTCGACGCTATTTTGGTCTTATAGCATCTCAACTTGGTCCACAGCTCAAGCAACTGTATCTTATGATATTTCCTTTTCGTGAACTTGCTACTTATGCCCACTTGATGCCTTTATTGATCCGATTGCACTTGCAACTTAAACCAGGTAAAGCTAAAACTCGGTTGACAAATCAATCTTTAAACTAACCCCTAATCATTTTTAAAATTTAGTTGAGCCTGACGTTTACTACCATGGACCCGAACTGAGTAATTTGCAAATATTAGAACTTGTAGCAAAAAATCAAAATGGAGTCATTTCACTCAACCTCGCGTTGTATATGCTAAACTATTGTCCAAAATTGAAAAGTGCTTATTTCTGTTTACGAACTGAGAAATTTTGTAAGAAACTTTACCCTTCAAGAATTGACAGACACACTAATTTGGAAGATTTGGTTCTGATATTTCATGTAGGTCAATTGATGAATTCAATTCATCCAAAATTTGATAATTTGTATCGATTTGTAATCTTTTTTAATTCACGCTTTTACTATTTTTTTACTTGATCCAGACAAATAGACAATGGAGAAATCCCGATTATTGGAACTTCCTGATTGTGGCATTGACGAAATTCCCCAATTTGAAACATCTTGCTATCAGAGATAATTGTCGGCTTACTGAAGGTGTAATCATTCAAATCTTGGAGCGACTTCCAAATTTGAGAATATTAGACGTCCGAGGAGCATTAGTTGATTCAGAAACTTTGATTCAAACTGCCAATTCTAAGCGCGAAAAGCCTGTTGAAATATTCCTTGGATTTTATCAAATGCGTTACGTTCCGACAAATAGAATGAATCCGAAATTAGATTTCATGAGACATTGTTTCTTTGTGAATGAATTTCCAGGTCTTCCCAGACTATTTGATCTTGAAGAAGAAGAAGATGATGAATGATAGAATGTATGATTCCCCTAGACTTTGATCTGAGTATTTTTTTATTGGACAATTAACTTCATCCCAATGCTAATTTACATTTACACCAAAAATTATTTATGACTTCTTAAAATTAATTAATAAATTATATGCAATTGAAGTATCAATTTTAGGTACTTTTAATTTCCATCTTCAATTGTAAACCAATTAAGGCTCATTATTACAACCATCAATTGCTTTTTTGATTTTTAATTAAATTGCCTACTATTGTTATATCTCCTTCGAGGATTATTTAAATTCATTGACAATCGTAACAATTTCTAAATTGTTAATTAGACTCCATTTTAAGAACATGTTCATCAGTCAATTTTAACAACTATCATGGTAGATTTTAATCACTTGCCTGATGAACTTTTGATGAAAATTTTCCAACTCGATTATAATTTAGACAACCTCAACAATTATTCAAAAGGTTTGTTGCCATTAACCATTCATGGTTTAACATTAAAAGGAATACAAGTCGCCATCTCTTGAAAGGAATGGTTAACTGTTTTATTAAACTTTGTTTTTCTTTGCCAATATGTTATATCATCTGTCAGTGTATGTCGTACTGTTGAATGTATTTCCATTAATGATTTGTTTTAATTTAATTAACAGTTTGTTGTCGTTGGAGACCATTGATTTTCTCAATTCTGCACAAATTAAATTGCTTAAAAGGTAAGTTGTACAAATTTTCGACCTTCCTCTGCCTATATTAATTCATATTTATTTATTTTCTAGTTGATACTCATCTTACAAAATATCATGTTGGATTTTATGATAAAATACCTTTTCCATACCATGGAGCGATTGGTAAAATTGAGATTCTACAATTTATGCCCAACTTAAAGGTGATTTATCATCTATTTTGAAGTGACTTTCATTTTACTGACGTAATTTATTCTTCAGTTTCTAGTTGTCCATGATCTGTATTCCCCAGCTGATGATAATGGTGAAACTGGTCCCAAGTTAAGAATGGTGATCGATATTTTAACCAGTGTAAAGTCAATTAAAGGAATAATTTTCGGTAAAAATCAAAACGAGGCTTGTTTAGCTGAATTTTGTGGTAATGTTGAAATGTTATCCTTTGAACACTCTGGTGAATTTCCTGTGAAATACTTTGATTTTTATGGATATGGTGCAAATTTGAAGCAGCTACATGTAAACTATTTCAGTTTTGAATTGCTTGGCACTTTTGCTAATTTTATTCCCAATTTGGAGAGACTTCATTTACGTTACATGAGATGTAAGTGATTGAATTGGCAATTATTTTATTCAATTCGACATTAATCAATGAGCTAATTTTGCCAATTTTTGTATTTAGCTTCAAGCACATATAATGGACCAGTATTAAGGAATCTTAAAATGTTATCATTGGTTAATATTGGAAGATTCGGTTTCGATGGATTCCGATTTATTGATTTTTGTCCGTCATTGAAAAGCATATTCATTTGTCTTGACAATATTTATGAGTTTGACGTCTATCAACTGGACGAATCTTTGAAAAATAATCAAGTGGAGGATTTAGTCATGGAAACTGCTGTAAGTACAGTGAAGCATCGTCTTATGATCCATTACTAATTTGCTATTTGTTTCATTTCTCATTCAGCACCACAATTCTCACAATATTGATACAATCAAAAAATTCTTGTCAAAGTTCCCTAATCTAAAACATTTTGCCTTTCGAGGTGGTCCGAAGGTATATGAAATCTTACCTGAGGAGTTCGTTGAAATGTTTCCAAAACTTGTTTTACTTGATGTAAGAGGTGCAAAATTCATTGCTAGATTTAAAGACCATAGGACAAGAATGGCTGAATATTGCAAAAAAGTGAAAAGATCAATCAAATTTATCCAAAACCAAGAAGATTTAGATCATTTGCTTCCAGATGATCATTTAATAGTTAAAGAATTAGATTTTATGAAATATTGCTTCTTCAAGATACACTCTAAGCATCCTAAAATTATGGACCCTTCTAACTGATCAGTGGATTCTTGATTTTAATCTAAGATTATCCAAAAGAAATATATTGATGAATTTTCCATCAACAATATGACCAGGCCATAACAAAGGCTTTTGTGGAGCAACAAACATCTTAAGCTGTAGACTACAACATGGTGAAAATTGTATAACTAATTGTCATCATCGATATTTATCAAGTTGAAATTTTTGTTAAATAAACTAGAATTATCATAAATACAAAAATTAAGTCAGGTTCAATGTGGTTGACTGTTTTTCAGCTATGACCAGTAAGCATTTCCCGATCATCAAGAGCGAGTTCCGAAAGTTGAGGACGATTTGGTGGATGTAGTAGATGAATTAGCCTGGTAGTGAGCAATGGGGTAGGGAAAGCTGATTCTAGTTTGCGTACAAGTGATGGAATCGTCTAACAATGTGAGCTAGCGTTTGAAGTATCATTTGGATGATAGGTAAATTTGAACCTTTGACCTCTTGACCTGTTGACTTATTAACTCGTTTTACTTTGATAACACAAATACCAAACAAATAGTTACAAATAAAACAAGAGTTTAAAAATACAAATATGTAGATCAAATAAAGAACAATTGATTAATTATTTTTACAATAATGTAAAGATAAAACATTGAATTAGATATTAAATTGTTGAAAAATTGAAAAGTTTCAAACAGTAGCAAACACATAATACACACACATACATTAACACATAATTAATCCGAACTAATTTTGAAGGAAATTTTGACGAAAATGATGGCAATTCATATTTCTATTCCTTATTTTAATTCTCATAAAGTTGGAGCACAACCAGCGGCAATACACATAGTCATACAAAATCCCTGTGCAGTACTGCAAGCGAGTACGGCAGGTGGAGCACTGGCACCAAAAGTAACACCCATTGTGGCACCAGCAGCAGCGTAACAGGCAACAGCGGCGGCATTACATCCAGTTTGACAAATACCATAAGCTGCTGGTCCAGCTTCAATGAAGCTGACCAACATGAACGAAATCAGAAGAAAGTTAATAAATGTTCGCATGTCTCGAAACTTACACAAAAATAACTTAACAGTTAACAAAATTACTGATGTAAACAGGCAGAAAAATGTTTATAATAAAATGATGTTCAATAAAATAAGAAGCAAGTTGAAAACTAAAACCTGAATAGTAGAAATGTACTGATTTTTTAGTTTGTTTACTGTAGTAAAACCAGTACAGTAGTCTCTCCCTTAAGTGTTTTTTGTGTGCTCTCCGTCAAGTTTTGTTTGCCGCCATCTGTAGTACCTGCGAGTCAAGATTGTTAAAATCGCTTTTTAAATGTATAATAAACTCAAATCTCACTCTTCAATTCACTCAATTTGATCGATATGACACTTAGTGCCTTTGGCTCGTTACAGAAACTTAAGGGAGAGATTAGACCTGAAATGATCGCTGTTTTTTAGGATCGATCCGAGGATCGGATCGTTAGGCAAAACTTCGATTCAGGATCCAGCTTTAATCGATCCCAAACGATCCTTTTTCGTTAAATAAACTAGAATTATCTAAAATCCAAAAATTAAGTCAAGTTCAATGTGATCGACTGTTTTTTCGGCTATAACCAGTAAGCATTTCCCAATCATCAAGAGCGAGTTTCGAAAACTGTGGATCTAGTAGATGAATTATCCTTGGTAGTGAAAAATCTATAGGGAAAGTCGATGCTAGTTATTTCCTTCTTGAGTAACTTCCTATGTTAGTTTTTTGTTTCCGTCACTTATTTTCCTTTCTGATTTGTTGTGCTCTGTCTATTGAAGGGATGATAGGAACCTAATCAAGCCTGTACCTTGACAATTCTTGCTTGTTTTGAATCATAACTTAACCCTCTCAAGCGAGCAAGCCATGGCCTTCGGATTGATTTAACCAAGTTGGTTGACATCATAAGCTAGACAACTGTTGCTGTAATGAGCTCGATTCAGACATTAATCATCAACAGGTGTGTGTTTCAAGAGATATTTGTTTCTAAAAATGACGAATATATAAACTTGTATTTAATTTCACAAATAAATGGGCGATCGTAATTCCAATAATACAATTCATGTTTTATTGAATAATCTGAAATACAATTTGAGAAGCAATTTTTGGCTGATTAAACAGTAAATACAAATCACAGAATGAATAAGTTGTCCTTATGGAATCGGAGCGAAACCGGCGGCAACACAACCAGCCATACAAACTCCCAATGCCGCATTGCATGCGAGTACGGCAGCTGGAGCACTTGCACCAGCAGTGACACCCATAGTGGCACCAGCAGCGGCATAACATGCGACAGCAACAGCATTACAACCAGTTTGGCAGATACCATAAGCTGCTGGTCCAGCTTCAATGAAGCTGACCAACATGAACGAAATCAGAAGGATGTTAATAAATTTTCGCATTTTCTAGAAACTTTCACAAAAATAACTTAACAGCCAACCAAATTACTGATGTAAACAGGCAGAAAAAATGTTTATAATAAAATGATGATCAATAAAATAAGAACTAAAAATCAGTTGAAAACTAAAACCTGAATAGTAGAGATGTACTGATTTGTTGGTTTGTTTAGTAAAGCCAGTAGTCTATATTTTCATATTTATAGCTAAAGACTAAATCTCTGATTAGATATTTTTGAATGCAGTCATCTAAGCTAACTACATGGGAAAATAATTAAAGCTTAAACTAGACGATTAGTCAAATCCGATGATTTCCCTCTGTAACCCTTTGATAAAGGGCCTTTACCCTTGTTTCCCCTTTTTGCAGGGAAAAGCATCAGATTTGACTGATTGTTTTAAATGTAAAATTGAGCATTTTGGTCTATTCGCTTAGACTTCAGCATTCAAAAATAATTAATATCAGACTGTTAATCATAGGTTACACTGTAACCGGTTATTTACAAAGTCACACATTTTACAATGCTCAAGATTAAATTATCATTGTCATTGCAATTCAATTATTCATGTAATTGGCAGAAACAATGTTTAACAAGAACGTAGTTGAAAAGCTAAACTTGAATACGTATCTACCTTTTGGATGATAGATTTGTGTTAAACCGATATGAGTATCGATACATAATTTGCTGATAACACTTGATTCTTCAATCATCCAGGCATTCAATAGTAATCTGTAGAAACTACATTTGAAAAACAGACTTTCATTCAACTCATGATGATCCTCAAATACTCGATATTTGATGGATTTACAAAAATATCTTTTTACTGTTTTTATAAAAAGTTTTTACTGTTACTAGGCTGTTGCTTGATTCACCACTTTGACAGTCTATTCTGGTAGTCTCGCTTAAATGTCACGATTATATATCAGTTCGAGGTTTATCAACTAGATGAATCTTTGCAGAATAATCAAATGGAGAATTCAATCATTGGAATCACTGTAAGTATACAATTTTACATCGCATTGCATGAGAGCTTTGTTAAGTTTGTTTTTTCTCGGTTCTCATTCAGATTTTTAGATGAATAGACAGAATTAAGTAAAGTAATATCGAATCAACATTTCAAATTGAATGAAAATATTTAATCGTTTACAGTGATAAGACTGAATTGACAAATTGTTTTAAATCTATAAAATCTTTGAAAATAAACTAATAGTAAAACGCAATTAAATGCACAAAAACCAAGAAATTGATTTACAAACCATCACACAAAAGAGATTATTTGTTAATTTGTTACAAAATCACGTTAAGAGAACCCGTCAATTGTAATTGAAATTATTAAATTGCTAGAAAAATTGAATAATTGGATAATACAGTTGCAGTCAAATAATTATTTCATTTTATTAATCTGAATTCAATTTTGAAGGGAATTTTGACGAAAATGATTACAATCATATTTCTATTTCTTATTTTAATTCTCATAGAGTTGGAGCACAACCAGCGGCAATACACATAGTCATACAAACTCCCAATGCCGCATTGCAGGCGAGCACGGAAGCTGGAGCACTGGCACCAAAAGTAACACCCATTGTGGCACCAGCAGCAGCGTAACAGGCAACAGCGGCGGCATTACATCCAGTTTGGCAGATACCATAAGCTGCTGGTCCAGCTTCAATGAAGCTGACCAACATGAACGAAATCAGAAGGATGTTAATAAATTTTCGCATTTTCTAGAAACGTACTTAAAAATAACTGAATAAACAGTAAACAACAATAATTGGTGTAAACCAGACAAAAACAATTTTTATAATGAATGGTGTTCAATGAAATAAGAACGCAGTTGAAAACCCAAACTCGAGTACGCATCTACCTTTTTGAAGATAGATGTGTTTCACAGATATTAGTAACGATACATAAACTGCTGATTATACTTGATATTTCATTTCGATTGTTCAATTGTGGCCAAAAAAGTTATCTGTAGAACAGAATCATGGAGAAATGTATTACAGTAGTGGTTAGGGTTAAGTTAACAAATGGGGAGATTTTTTTCATAGTCGCCATCTAACAATAATTTAAAGTACCTTTAAGATCGAATTTAATTTTGTCCATTTCTCCATTGTCTAGTTTCTCTGAAAACTAATTATTACCGAGATGGCGACACCTGAAAATTAACTTAAGTCTGGCCCTGTTTTGTTAACTTAACCCTAACCACTACTGTATTTTATCATTATTTTGTTATGGCCTGATTTTTGGGTTATTCTGTACTAGATTGTGTTAGTTTGGTTCAGGTTGAATTCAATTTGATTGGGTTGTCATAGATTTTGTCAGTTGTTAGTTTGGTACCTTAATTCAGGCTTTGAATGGAAATCGAGTTAACAGAATCTCGTTCACACCCATCAATATCATGCAGTGTCATTTAAAATCTAATTGGCGATGAAAACCTAAAACTTTAAAGATTAACACTGGACGGAACTTGGATCGCCTTTTGTATAACCATGGAGCCAGACTCATTTTTCTGGTAAAACTGGTAAAGTATAGCCAATTGAAAATAGATTAGGTTAGAACAATAAAGGCTGGTGATAAAAATCAAAATCAAAATTTTTAATTGTTCGAGTCCCTAGGCTCTAGTATCTTACATCTGATCAATAAAATTGATTTCAAGTGTAATTTCCTGAATTGTGTGGCTAAATATGAAAAGTTTGATAATCTATACTGATAAGTATTCCTTGGTTTTTATTAATTTATATCAAATTGCAATATTGCAAGTAATACTATCTAAATGCCTACTCAGAAGAATTTTTCAATACTTGAAAATTGCAATAACCTTGATTGAATTGAGCTTAATCCATGATAATTAAAACTAAACTGATAATGCAACGAAATTAAATCTCACTTCACTCCCATATTGAACCAATTCACTTATCTTGTATGAAATGAATCTGTAAATAAATTCCTAAGTGAGATTGGTCTAAATTTAAGTTTGAATTGTCAACAAAAGCCTATTTTTCAGTTAATTTTTGTCATTATTCAGCATTACAAATTTTGAATTTTGAATGAATAAAAATGAAAACTAAATATCGAATCTTTATTTCATCAATCGACGCGTAAGTACTTGTAACCATTTTTGCCATCATTTCATTTCATCCAATTGTTATCCCCATTCCTTACAGATTTGGTCACATCAATTGTACATTGGGTTTTGGCGAGCTTCTTGCTCAAGCAGGACATGAAGTGACATTTGTTCATCGTTTACATCATGCAGAAATTTTTAAAAGTCATGGTTTCAATTTTATCCCCTTTGATGAATCAATCTTCAGTGCATCACCTTTAAGTACTTTTTTAAAATGGGTTGAAGTAAACTTGAATAAATTCCGAGCAGATGCCTTGACACGCTACGCTGGCTGGTCTGATGAGGATAAGATAGTGTTTGCATCAATGTTGGACGGAAACGAGACGATTAATATAGCACTTGAAAAGATATTGGAAGAGCACAAAGATTCCTTTGACATCTTCATTGGTGACTTTGTAACTCGTTATCCTGCTCTTTACAAGCTATCCAAACCTTATATACCATTATTTTCAATGAATCCTCTGTCGCTTTATTCTGAAGGGCCGCCGCCATACTCAGGATATTCCGTTAACTTTGACCAACGAAAGGCTCGCCAATTCATGGAAACTTATTATGATGCTATTACAAGATTTGAAGAGAAGGCGATTGCTTGGTGGGAATCATGCAAGGTACCAAGTATACCAAAAGAAGCTAGTTTTATAGATGAACCCAAACATTTTGGGTTTTATCATTATCCTGAAGGCCTTGACTATAGAGAGTGTGGACCTAAAATATGTGATAAATGGATTCGAGTTGATGCAAGTATACGTCAATCAGATGGTCCGCAAGTATTTACAATTCCTGAGTCTTTGGCAGATTTACCAGGAAAATTGATTTTCTTTTCACTTGGTTCACTTGGATCAGTTGATGTTGATTTGATGAGAAAGTTGATTGATATTTTAGCCAAATCACCGCATCGTTTTATCGTCTCAAAAGGACCAAGAGGTGATGAATTAACTCTTGCACCCAACATGTGGGGACAGAATTATGTTGACCAAATCCCAATCTTGAAAGCTGTTGATATGGTGATTACTCATGGTGGTAACAATACATTTATGGAGACACTTTATTTTGGTAAACCAATGATTGTAATTCCTTTTTTCTTTGACCAATTTGATAATGCTCAACGGGTTGTTGACTGTGGCATTGGTAAACGCTTGAACAGCTGGGATCTCGATGAAAATTTACTTGATGCCATTGAGGAAACACTGGATAACTCTGAGTTTAAAAAGAAGATAAATGAAATATCAGTCTCTATGAGATCAGCTGACAGTAAAAAGAAAGCTGTTGAAATGATTGAAAATCTATTGGCAAAATGTACTCAACTGTCAGCGAATCAAGCTTAAGTTTTGTAAAAAATTGTCTTAAATACCATTATTTACCATAAAATCATTTGTCCAGACAAACCTTTGCTAGAGTAGTATTGTCCATGCACTGTTTGTTTTCATTCCAAACACAAATATGTTATTTACATTAAACAAACAATAAAAAAACTGCACCAACTGATTAAATTAACAATACAGTATCATGAAATTCATTTAATGCATTTTGAAATGAGTTTCAAATGATAATTTAAGATAATTATCTATCAACTAACAAGATAGCGAATCATGAAATAATGTTGATGAATAGGGACAAACAAGTAAACAAAAAATTAAACAGTACCGCTATTCTCATAGAGCGCCAACTTATGAATTCTGACTTTATCTTGACTAATAAGATACTGAAGCTGGGCTTGGCTTGGGTCAGCTCGATCTACTTAGTTAATTAATCTGATGATTTGACTGACGCTGAACGACGATCGCGAGTTTGGCTCAAATTTTTCGAAAAGAATCAATTTTAGAAGAAATTGAAAGATTTCTTTAAAGTTTTTAAAAGATGTCATCAGAAAGCTATTGCTGGCTATAACTTTTCTGGCTCGAGCTCAATTTTGCTGGCTCGGTATCCAGTGCTGACTAAATTCAAAGTTATTAACATTTGTTGGAATGTACAACGCATTCAGATAATGATCCTACAGGTGTAACTTTATTATTATTTCCTTAACAAGGAACTTCCTATGTTAGTTTTAGTGTTTAGTTTTCAATTAATCATCAACAGGTGTGTGTTTCAATAGTTTTTAGTTGTTTCTAAGAATGACGAATAGATAACTTTTTATCTAATATGTTCATCGTTAATTTAATTTGATTCACAAATAATTGGTTGATCGTAATTCCATTAATACAATTCGTGTTTTATTGAATAATATGAGTTACAATTTTTAAGCAATCTTTGGTACATGATCTTTAGTGTATTAAACAATAAATAAAAATCACATAATCTGATATTCAATGAAATGAATTCGTTATCCTTATGGAATCGGAGCGAAACCAGCGGCAACACAGCCCTTCATGCATAATCCCGCGGCTTTATTGCAAGCGAGTACGGAAGCTGGAACGCTTAGACCATAAGTAACACCCATTGTGGCACCAGCACCCGCGTAGCAGGCAACGGTTACGACATTGCAGCCCGTTTGGCAAATCCCATAAGCTGCTGGTCCAGCTTGAACTACGCTGACCAACATGAATGAAATCAGGAGAAAGTTAATAAATGTTCGCATGTCTCGAAACTTTGACAAAAATAACTGAACAGTAAACAAAATTATTGGTGTAAACCAGGCAGAAACAGTGTTTATAATAAAATGATGTTCAATAAAATAAGAACGCAGTTGAAAACTCAAACTCGAATATTAGAGATGATTTCTTGGCTTTCCTATTTATAACAAGAGACTAAACCTCTGACGATTAGATATTTTCTGAATGCCGCCATCTAAGCGAACTACAGGGGAAATAAATAACAATTATTGGTTAAACATTTGTCGGAATATAATCAATGATGTTCCTACAGGTGGAATTTATTTTATTTCCTTCTTAAGGAACTTCCTATGTTAGTTTTTTGTTTCCGTCACTTATTTTCCTTTCTGATTTGTTCTACTCTGCGTCTATTGAAGGAATAGTAAAAAGCTAATCAAGCCTGTACCTTGACAATTCTTGTTTGTTTTAAATCATAACTTAACGCTCTCAAGCGAGCAAGCCATGGCCTTCGGATTGATTTAACCAAGTTGGTTGACATCATAAGCTAGACAACTGTCGCTGTAATGAGCTCGATTCAGACATTAATCATCAACAGGTGTGTGTTTCAAGAGATATTTGTTTCTAAAAATGACGAATATATGAACTTGTATTTAATTTCAAGAAAAAATTGGGCGATCGTAATTCCAATAATACAATTCATGTTTTATTGAATAAATCTGAAATACAATTTGAGAAGCAATTTTTGGTTGATTAAACAGAAATACAAATCACAGAATGATTGTCCTTATGGAATTGGAGCTAACCCAGCGGCAACACAAGCGGCCATACAAACTCCCAATCCTGCATTACATGCGATTACGGAAGCTGGAGCACTGGCACCAAAAGTAACACCCATAGTGGCACCAGCAGCGGCATAACAGGCGACCGCGACAGCATTACAGCCAGTTTGACATATACCATAAGCTGCTGGTCCAGCTTCAATGAAGCTGACCAACATAAACGAAATCAGAAGGATGTTAATAAATTTTCGCATTTTCTAGAAACTTACACAAAAATAACTGAATAAACAGCAACAAAAATTATTGGTGTAACCAGACAAAACAATTTTTAAAATAAATGGTGTCGAACAAAATAAAAACGCAGCAGAAGATTTGAGCCAAAAGAGTTGAACTATTCCTCAAAGAGTCTTTGTAACAAAGACTTTGTTTAATCTTGAGATCTTACAATGTATGGGATGTTGAGAAAGTTTGTGCAAGGGGAAAAATATCCCTCAACTGCGAATAAACAGAAAATTGTGTTTTTCCCCTCACTTGTACATAAACTTGTTCACGTCGCTGTTATCAACTACATCGATACTAATCGATTAGTTCGTGAGTGAATCGATAAGCTTTACTTGAGCTAAAGGCACACATTTACGATTTCATGTTTACTCAAAAAATATTTACCAATGACTGTTTCCTAAAGCAGGGAAATTGCTGAAAAAGGTTCAAAATGAAGCAAATTTTTCTGCAATTAAGGCCCGATTCATAAAATCAAAGTGTAACAATAACTAGAGCATTATTATTATAGACAGCATTATTAACTTTCTCTGTTTTGTTGATTTACTTTTTATGTTGAGTACTTTGATTGATGTAAATCAAATTTTCGATAATTTACTTGCTCATGGTAACAAAATGATTATTATCTTGTGGATAAACAACTGATTATTAAGATAATTATTGATGCGAAAGGGAATGTTTCTTGTTTTTAAGCGTTGAAACTTTGGGTAAGAGTAAGGTTTTACGGACTAAGGCGGGACTTAAAAATCACACACTTTCGCTAACCAATGGTAAAATTAATAATGAATGTTTTTTATCTGAAATTAATGATTAACCAGAATTTTCTCATCTCCTCTTTCAGTATTCATGGATTTGCTGTAATATTAGTAATTAAAAATTAGTTCAATCATGATTAACCTTAAATTTAATTTTAAAAGATTAACCTGATTGGATCTCAATTTAAATGTCCCATGTTGCCCCTCCTTAGTCCGTAAAACCTTACTCTTACCAAACTTTGTTATTGCGTGATGAGCTGCAGACGAAACTTTTACCATTTTTGGAAATACTATAGCTGATAGATGGCGCTCTTTTTACTAGCTTCAAATTTCCGTTGATTTAAACGTTTATTTTTGTATTTTTTGTTGCTGCTCATGAACTTATTACCAACGGTTTTTAATACATTTCCCTCCTTTTAAGACGTTAAATACGCTGGTTATTTTCAAAATATTCAGTGAAAAGTTTAATTTTTTACTCTTTCCTTGTTTAAGTGACTTTTTGTGTTTTAGCAAAAATGGAAAATAATAAAACCAATGGAAAACTTAATTCTCTTCGAATCAACTACCAAAGAGAAGATTTTGACATTGAAGCTGGATATTATCTTCACAGGGAAAAGCTTGGTGAAGGTAAGTTATTTGATTTCGATTTTTTGGGTTGTATTTTTGCTCAGTTTACTCTTTCTGTTTAACTCGATGCAAAATATTTTATCTTTTATCTCTAACATTGTGTTTGCTTTGGATAGGTGGATTTAGCAAAGTTAGACTGGCTACTCACTTATTGACTGGCCAAAAAGTTGCAATCAAATGCATGGATAAGACAAAACTTGGAGAAGATTTGTTTCGTGTTAAAACTGAAATAAATGCTCTGAAAACCTTGGATCATCAACATATTGCCAAGCTTTTACAAGTTATTGAAACAGACCAAATGATTTATCTCATTTTAGAGGTAAGAAAGTATTTATTGACCGCACCAAACACGCAACTAATCCTTGACCATTTTCTACAGTATTGCAGTGGTGGTGAGCTTTTTGACTATATTGTATCAAAAAACAGATTAAGTGAAAAGGAATCTCAAGTGATCATGGGTTGTTTGGTCCATTGTCTTGCTTATTTACATTCAAACGGTTTCGCACATCGTGACCTTAAGCCTGAAAATATACTTTTTGATAAAAATCACAAAATTAAACTCATTGATTTTGGATTAGCTGCTCAATCTAAGGTAAGTTTAGTCATTAGCAAAGTATCTCAATTTATATTGCAATATCATTCTCTTATATCTTTTTCTTTTCAGGACAATCCGCAAAGCCTGCAAAATTTACGAACATGCTGTGGAAGTCCTGCTTATGCAGCTCCTGAGCTTATATCAGGTAAGCCATATGCAAGCACCATTTTAACGACACCAATGTCACCTTAACAACTTTTGCTAAATTCAATTTTTCTCTTTGAAATAGGTAACATCTATTCCGGTCCCGCTGTTGATGTTTGGAGTGCTGGAGTTATTTTATATGCCCTTCTTGTTGGCCAACTTCCCTTCGATGATGATAATATGGGAAACCTTTACAAAAAAATTCAAGCTGGAAAGTTCAACATGCCTTCGTGGCTTTCTGCTGAAGCTAAAAGTCTTATTCAATCAATGATTCAAATTGACCCTAAGAAACGAGTCACCGTTAAAGAACTTTTAGAAAATCCTTGGATCAAAGATTACTTACCAAATAATAGTGTTGAGATTCAGAAAAATATTTTTGATGAAGAGGTAATCAATCAACTAACTTTCAAACAATTTCAATCTTTTTTCATGAACATTTCTTAATCTTACATTCTTTTCTTTATTTTTAGGTCTTGTGGCAAGTTCATAAATATTTCCCAACTTTAAGTTACACTGATTTGAGATCCAATATTATTCGTAAATTTGGTTACCAAACAGCTACTTATTGGTTACTTAAAGAGAAAAAATTACGAGGAATTAAGGTAAAGACTATCATTTTTTTGGTTTCTTTCTATTCTAACAATATTTCTTATTATTCGCTTTACACAGAGTCCTAATGCAAATTACCCAAGAAACTTAGCTATAGCTACTCCACCGCGTTCAGTTATTCAAACTCCAACTACTCCTGTTACTACCATACTAAATACACCAACTCGTAAAACACCTAAAGTCATTGTCAAAGCTAAAGCCGATGAAATTCAAGTTTTCAAAACTCCTAAGCTTTCAACGTTTAAACCTAATGGATCTCAAGATTCTAAACAAAGCCCTGCTGAATATGGCTCCGGTTACACAACTCCTAACTCTAAAATACCAATTTACCTCAAATCTGGAGATAAAACTTGCTCGCCACTTTCAGTGGCAGGTAATAAAACACCAAACTCAACACGGAAAAGAAAACTTTTCGGTGATATCGTTCCAGGAAACGATGACAATCAAAATGAAAATTCCAATGGTAATGTTATATTCAATTTTTCAATTCTGTAACTTTTATTAATCTCATTTCTTTCCAATCTGTTACAGCCAAAGAAAATTATGCTACTCCACCAAAGCGCTCTGTACCCTCTCAGACGCCCAAGAAGAGTTTATTAAAAAAGATTATTGAATCAGCAACTCCTAGTAGAAAGTATCCTAGAAATATAACATCGACAGCTCCAACTACCACCAGAAATATAACTATGACCAAATTTTCAGATCCACAAATGTGTATTGAGAAACTAATGCAAGCTTTGATTCAGAAAGGAATTGACTGTAAACGAAAAGGGTAAGTTTTTTTTAATTTCTTTATAATTTTCAATGGATATATTTTTTACGAAATTTATCGTTTATTTAACAGATTCGTGTTAAGCTGCGCCTTGAACAACAAGTATCACTCAATGTTAACATTCAACCTGGAAATTTGTCAATTTGGAGACAAATGTGCTCTTCAAAGGAAACGATTAAAGGGTGATGCATGGCATTATAAAAAGATCTGTGAAGAAATATTGAGGATCAGTAATGAGATTTATCAATGTTAATAAGAAAAATTGAAATAATTTCGATTGACGTGGGTGCCCTGCCTGAGATTGCCAAAATGAACTTTACAACTATTTTTTTATTCTTTTCTTTTTGACCAGATTTATAAAATCTTGTGACATAAGTATTCACACAAATGTCTTATATTATAATTGACATAATTCACAATTATTAAAAAATATAAAAAAGAGTTATATATTCTCAAGAACAATTTAATGAATCTTTTACGTATCATTGTTTTTTTTTATAAATTTCTATTTTTCATCGTAACAAAAAGTGCTCAATTTAAGTTGGTTTTGGTTAATAATTTCATAGGTAAATAATTTGTGCGTTAATTTCAAAAATATATTGCCAACCAGAAACGTTAAATCTGTTTCTCCATGAAACTCATTTAAAATATTCTTATTTTCAACAATCAATTCCTTCGAAAGCTTTGACTCCTCTCAAGCCAGCATTCAATGTCTTCAATAGAGGCCATTTTGTGGAGCAACATCGACCCATGAAATCATCCAAATCAAGTGCCCAAACCATGGCTCCACCAATATCAAGTGATTTAATGAAATCAGTCTTCTTTCTCATCTGTTCTGTGTCATCATAACCAACCCATTGATTGCCTTTGTAAGCAAAAGGTAAACCAGTGCTTGGATCGCGTGCCTTTGTCCAACCTTGGTTCTTTTGGTATTCACAAATCTCGTAAAAGGCTAAGTAACCTTTTTCACGAGTATAAGTACCTGGTTCCCCACCTTGTAAAGCAGCTGCTCCATAACCTTTAAGTGGATGTGATTCAGCTTGTCCTTCAAGAGCAAACGATCGACCATAGAAAGGAACACCGAGAACAACCTTTTTCTTTGGCATTCCTTGGTCAATCCAGTAATTAACTGTGTAATTAACGTTGAAAATGCCATCATTAGGATCAAATGATTTGGAGGCTTCCCGTGAATACAATGGTGCATGATGGGCAGCAAATTTATCCCATTGACCGTGCATATCATAGGCCATAACATTGATGAAATCAAAGTCTTTAGCCAATGAGGGAACATCATAACCAGCATCGATAACTTGCTTGGAGGGAGAGACTGCGGCGGTAAGTAGCCATCCTTTAGGCTCAAATGCTTGTCTTAACTCTCTAACGAATACAGCAAAGTTTGCTTTATCTGATTCAGGTCCATCTTTACATGCCGTTTGCCAGCACTTTGGATATTCCCAGTCAAGATCCAAACCATCAAAACCATATTTCACCAAGAATTGCATTGCGTTTTCAATAAAACGTCGTCGAGCTGAAGGATTATTGACCAATCTGGAATATTTATCGCCAGCAGAGTCATTCCATCCACCAAGAGAAAGTAACACCTTTAATCGTGGATTGTTTCGTTTCAAGGCGACAACTCGTTTCATAAATCTATTGTCAACATCGGCCCATGAATCGTGAATTTTAATGGTCAATGAGCTATAATCGAGAACAGCAAATCCATAATTGATATGAGTACAATATTTGGCATTTGTGTCTTCTGGAATGTATTTGGCACCTTGAGGTCGATACCAGGCCCAGTTGGTGAAATAGCAGACAATCTTGTAATCATCATTGAAACCATCTGCTGGATCAGGTTCGGCGGTTGTTGTTGGTCCAACTGGTGGATGCCATTCATTTGGATTTTCAGTTTCAACATCAATTACATTTGATGGTAAAGTTGTTGTTGAAGTTGAGGTTGAGGTTGTTGATGGCGAGGGAGTTGAGGGATTTGAACTAGAAGTTTCAATCGAATTATCGGGAATCTCGTTTTCACCTACATGTGGGATACTTGTTGAAGACGAGGAAGATTCAGAGTTACATCGAACATTCTCTTTCCAATCGCAAATCTTTAAATCAGGATTAAATACAGAAGTACCTCCACATTCATATCGATGGACTATTTTACCACCAGAACAGAAGAAAAATTTGGCACAATTGGATGGATCTTGGAAATAACCTTCACTTGATGGACAATTTTGACAGTTGATTGCTCCAAAAAGAGCCAAACAGATGATTAAAGATGGCAACATCTCTTTACAATTTACTCTCTTCTTTCCAGTTAGATTAATTTGTTAACTACTTCGAATGATTATCTCTTGCCTTATATTTATATTGGCTCATAATTGGTGAGCGTCTAACGCAACTAACCAACTCCCATATGTTAATGACGATGATGATGACTACTGATGAATATTTAAGCTAAGCCTAGGTGTAATAGAAATGGAAATTAGTTTACCTTTCTGATTATTCTGTCTAATTTGGTAATTCTCACTTTCCCTCGATCAAAGTTGCACCGTCATTACGACTCTTGGTTTCTCGTTTCAAGACATTAGCCATCTAGACTTATTATTGTCTAACGTTTTTCACCGTTAATTGCCATCACCTGCTTACAATGTTAACTGTCACCTTTGCTGTTGGCAAGTCTATCTGATTAATAATAATGACAATAATAATATATTGATCCATCTAAATCAACGGAATATCCTTCATACAATTAGACCGATTGTTGGCTTTTGTTGCAAATCAAAGCACAATTTAAAGGGAACAACAGGAAAAACTGAACTAGATTTTGATTCGGAATTTAATCTACTTTGCTGTTAAATGTTACAATCGGCATGAAAAAATCAATATCTTTATGTAAGTCCTAATTGTTGGTGGGCTAAACTTGACTTACTAAAAGGTGTTTATTAAACAAAATTATAGCGTTAACATTTAAAAGTCAGTTGAATATCTTGATCAGCAGTAAATTATGTATGAGAATCAATGAAATTTCCCAAATTTAAATCGAGTATAGTATTGGATACAAATTGTTGCCCTTGATAATGTATAACGAAATTAATTTATACGAGATTACAATTCAAAAATGATATCGCTTTTTGATTTCAACTTGAACTCAATATTTCCATTTTTTACCCGAAAAGTGTCATCAACTTTGATTTCAAGACATTAACCAATGCGGGCAACTCCTTTATTTATATCCTCAACCTTGATTTCCTGATAATTTGTAATTGTAATCACAATAGAAGCCAATTTCCTTAACCATTAGTGTTAATAATAAACATAACCCGTTGCAATAAATATGAATAAAGAAATGTTATTGTTTTATGAATTTCATTGTATAACTTTGTTAGTAAATATTTGGGTGGTTTATTTGACTAAAGATATATGGGTGTATATTAAGTCACCTAAGTTAATTGAAAATTGAATATTCACCGAGCAATGGTAATATTTTATTAACGATTAATAGATTACAATAAAGTTTAACCCGTTCTTCAATGAAACGCCATTTCAAATGGTTTATTGTAAAGCTTTAAACATTTTGAATAATTATTTTAGTCTCTTGTATAATTTGGTCGACCGAGTCTTAATCAAGTGAAACTAATCCACTCAATTTATCTCATCCATAAACATATTAGATGGAAATTTTTAAACTTCAATGTCTATGTCACTGATTAGCTAAACAAATTACAATTAAAGGTACAATAATTGACCGTGATGACATTGATCATCAGTTGAGTAGATAATTAATTTGTCATAAAATTTTCACCAAATATTGATGATGGTATTAATAATTTTTATAGACCTTGATATATTCACTACTCACTCAATGGCCATTTTTGAATATATTGTCCTAAATTCAAAATCATGATCCACATAATGGACTCAGTTATTATGTTGCTTCAAATCTACAAAGTTCCAACTCTTAACTCGAAAGAAAATTTTTTTGGTTTTCCCTTCAATGAATTGAATATTTGCTGGTTTCATCAAAATTAGCTATCGATATATCGATGTTAAACTGGCAATAATTTTTCTCATTTTAAAAAAAATTAAGTCTAAAAAGGGTCTTCTGTTTTGATTAATCTTTAACATTATTGTTACATGATAATTGATGTTATGAACTAGTAAATCTATCTCCTACAAGCATTCAGATTTGATTCATATATTGATCAATGATCATTGTAAAATTAATGTGCCATTGATTTATACTTTCAATCAACCTCTTTTGTTTCCAATTGTTGTGATTATGAAAATTAAACAATCTTGATTGATCTCTATTAATGCCAAGTAACAAGAATAACCGTCAATAGGAATGATTATACTGACAGAATACTTTGATTTCTACTGGAATTAGATAATTACAGTAGCAATTACAAATTCAATTTTATGTAATTTTCCCATCACACTTGAATAGATATCAAAAAATAGGTATGTAAATGAACCGTTAATGATGCTGTTGGTCTTTAGATGGTCTTGTTGTACCAAATTAATTTCCAGATCGGTCTCTAGAAAAGACTAACTCTGGAATGATTGTCTGAATCAAGGTTACTACAAGGTGTATATGATACTGATGAAAAAATCTGCGTGATTAAAAATTCTGTGTAATAATTTCGCTTCTTCAGCAGCGTATTCTGTCACTATGACATCTAAAGCGGACACATTCGCCAACTCAGCGGATATTACAAAATGTAAGAATAAAATGTGTAAAATCGGACACAATTGGGTCAATTAGATTACAAAAATAAAAGATCTATCTAGGTTTGCCCGGGTTCGAACCGGGGACCTTTTGCGTGTGAAGCAAACGTGATTACCACTACACTACAAACCTAACGATGATAGTAAGGAGGCAAATTGTCACAGAGTGAGGAGTAATGAGTAAACATTAAAAATTGTTTGTGATCAAACAATTATAAAACTGTTCACATGTACATGAGATTTTGGTTGCAAATACATTGAGTTGTTGTTTTTACAGAGATGAGTAATTTGCATTTGGTAGACATCATCAGATCAGCTCTTCGGAAAATATGTTCAATATGTGACGTTCAAGAATTATCTGGACTGTTTGGGATAATTAAAGAAAAATTTTGTAAGAATTAGAAAGATTAGTCAATTTTTGAGATCCATATGTTGGGAAATTTTTTGATAAAAATCAATACCTTGTTTCGATTTTCTGGTCGCAGCAATACTGAATGCAGTTTCTAAATTGATATTTTGAATGGTTAGGTCAGCTTTAGCCTTCAACAGTTCGTGGACACATAGTGTATGATTATTAAAAGCTGCATACATTAATGCAGTGTTTCCTTCCTAATTTGAGGAGAGAAAAATGTATTATTAGTATTTTCTCATTTGAACATAACATTGTTACATTTAGTCTAGATGACTTTGATAATTTATATTTATTCAAGGACCTAATCTTTATGGCCACATTGTAAACAAACCTCATCGTAATCGTCAACATTAACATCTCGAGCTAGTAAATACCGAAGAACATGAATGTGTCCATTGGCGGCAGCAAAAGAGAGCGCAGTTTCACCATTTTTCCCTTTAATTCTTGGATTAGCACCCTCAGCAATCAATAGTTTTACAGTAGGTAACTGACCATATGCTGAGGCCCAGATTAAGGGTGTAAAGCCATTCTCGTCAACTTGATCAACTCCACCAGCACCAAGATGACTTAAATAGAGTTCTCCTTGAGCAGCCAATTCAAAGACTGTTCTTTCTGGTATCTCACGTATACTTTGAGTTTTAATATTCCCTCGCTGAAGATTTGTCAGTATGGTTGAGGGCTGAAAATGCATAGGGAACAATTAGTAGAATCTTGCAGTACAACAAGGATAAACTGATGAAACAATAGCTGATTCAGTTACTTACTCTGTAGGGAGTGAAAGCACTTCTACCATCTCTATTTAGACTGAGAAATTTCATTTGGTATCCAGTACTTGAAGGTTGCTCCTTTCTATTATTGTCACCCATCATAATCAGCAAGGAAAAATGAGTTAAAAACTGGATGAGATAAAAACAGTTGTATTGATCACCGATCAATCAAGACGTTTTTAACCTAAATTTCAAGAAAATGATCAGATACATTAGGAATTATGTTGGATCGTAATTAATAGCTACGAAAGGGTAATTTTCAAGTTTTACAATAAATAGAGAAAGAAAGAAAGTCAAATTACCCAATGTTTACGTTTGGAGGCATAAGATATAATTTTTACTTTTATGTTATTGCCTTGACAAACCATATGAAAAGAGTTTTCAAAAAGACTTCGTAACATCTAACCAGCTAGATGGCGCGATTCACAAATCAACAATTTATAAAGAATTAACTTCCAATTAGTTTAAATTTTTATAGATTTCAGTTAAACTAAATCACCGATTTTAACAGATTTAAAGACTGAGGAATCTAGGAGTTGAAAATATCCAACTAGAATGCGAGTACAGAAATGATTTAAGACTAATTAGATTGGTTTTGATTATTCAAACTCATTTTTTGACTTACAACTGATTGTTAAACTTGGTTACTTTGAAGTTAATTTTAGCGATAATTTTGCTATAGACTCTATAATATAGAGTTCATTTTAAAGGATAGTTAAAAATTTTAGAGATAAAAATTCAACAAAATTTTGTCTTTTTTATTTCACTTGATTTATGTTTACCGTGAATATTTGAATGTATCAAAATATTTTTATGTCATGAAGAGTGACAAGAAAAATGGCTACTGAGTTTTTGAGAGTTGAGGCGATGATCACAGCAAGAAAACCACTCAAATCAAAATATTTGATTGAAATGGCTGAATAGAAACAAAAAAATGTTTGGACATTGATTAATAATCATTTGATTAGGTTGAAAATAAGGGCACAATTTCTTATTCCTTCTTATCTTGCGAAATTTTCTGGAAACCCGTTTCATCTACTGATGGTAAATGAATCAAATCTGTTCAGGAGACCATTTTTACGAGATACTTTCTTCGAACAAGGAAGTTCAATTTTGAATTCCTCAGGTTGCGATTCTCAAACGGAAGACTTTTCGATGGCTTGATTCGTTTATGGTATTGCTTTCGTATTCACTTCAATGATGAGAATTAACAATAACAATGATTGTTTTAAATTGCTTCCAACATCCTCAGCAAGCTATTTGAATTGAAATTTGTTAAGGACAACGATGAAAAGCTTTTAATCAAGTGCTGAAAGTACTTGAAATTAATTGAAGATGGCGACGAATCCATTTGGATCAACTGGAAAAATCTATCAGCAATTGATGAATCTATGAACATACGAGAGGAGATAATTAAAGAATAGGTAAGGAGAAATTGTTTGAAGTGAGCAATGCAAGCTAAGCTTTAGTGAGTCCATAATGGTCAGTTTATGACAACAAATCGATTACTATTAAAATGAAATCCAATAAGTAATGTAAAAGAGAGGTAAAAAATGTCTCTTTTTCACTTTCACTTTCGGGCTCTTCTTCTTCGTCAGGCTTTCGATTTTCTTCGTTATATGCGGCTTCTTCTATAGATTGGATTAATCGATTAACCTCAGCTTTGTCAGTTAAATCAATTGAACCATTTTCATGAGCACTTATATCTTCACCTTCGGTGTAACTGACAATATCTAATTGATAAACCGAATAGTCGAAAGATGGATGACCATAAACACCAATAGTGAAATCAGGGCCAAAGTTGTCTGGAATATCGACAATATCAATACCACAAGAGACACTTTGCAATTGATAACTCTCTAAATCAACGGTGGGCTTAACACGGTCCTTGGCTATGTAGAGATCTGCATCACCCTTCAGCGTAGTTAAGATGACTCTCAGGCGATTTGTTGATTTGTACATATAATAACTGTAATTACCAGCATAAACTAGGCTTTTACCAGAAACAATCTGGTAACCATAACAATTAGAAGTCCAGTAAGCTAATGTTAATAGAGTGAAGAAGTACATTTCAACGGAATAAAAAAAGGGTCAGAAAAAAACCATCAAAGGTAACCAAGAATTAAAGAACCAAGATCAATGAAAATAAACAATTTTGAACTGAATTTATTAGCACAAGCTTCTGAGAAAAATGTGATGATAATGATAATTATAGCACTGATTAGAAATTAGATTCATCTTGATATTATTGTGTGAATAGGTAAGAAAACCAGTGAAAGTTGCTGTGAGATTAGCACCATATGTTGCTAAACTCACTGTAAAACATGATAATGTGATAACATTCTTGTTGTTTATACTTTCCAAAACATTGTTTTGCTCAATCTATCAATAAATTGGTAAATTTTTATTTGAAATTATTGTTAATATATCAACATGACTCAATCTGTGTGTTGCAAATCTTTAGCTCTATTGTCTAGGAGAATGCGGACTGTTTACAATGTGCCGACTAGACATTTGGCTTGGTTTAAGTCTAAATCATCTGAAACCAATAAAGCTTTATCAACTAGAATACAAGTTGTTTTGTAAGTTAATTTTAATTTTTGATTTCTTTTGTACTTTATGTTATTTCAAATTTATTCTGACGTTTTATTGTTCTCCATTTTCAGTGCTCCTGAGATATTACCAGACGAATCTAGTGATAATTCTGCATTAATTTTACCCAAGGGTGAATTAGAAACGATACCATTTAATGATATAACTCCAATTCAATCTCTTCGCGCATTTATTAAAAATGTCACACTCTTTGATACTGCTCTTGAAAGGCTTTATAACGGTTCGTATTTTAATATTTTGTATCATATCATCTTTCCGATCACATCATTTATCGAATATTTATTTACAGAATCTGATAAACTCACATCTCAACAAATATTCGAGGAAATCGATTTTCACCTCGCCTCATTGAAGTACAGTCTCAATCTTGCTCATGTTTTGACTTACGCTTACCCGTCCGATTACAAGTTTGGTGTCCTCGATGATATGTATAATTCATTCTTGAAGCACGAAGTATCTCGATTTAATCCCTTATCATACCAATCAGCCTGTGACATAATAGAAACAACAAGAGGGAGCACAAGTGATAACGATTTAAAGCAGCTTGCCCAACATTATCGAGCCCATGGAAAACTTTATGGACTTCATTTGCGTCCTTCAGTGCAAGAAGAGGTAGCTGATAATTATAGGAATATTAAAAAACATGTAGATAGCTATATTCGCAACGTTAAAATGTGTATAAATCGTGAAGCAGTTTTAGTATCGGACGAAAATGTGATCAAAGCATTACCTGACAATTTTGCGGCTAACTCATTTACGAAAGTAGGTATCAAAGTACCATTGCATCCTACTGCTTACGATATTTTCATGACACATTGTCCTGATAAAATGCTGAGACGCCAATTTTGGGCAGCATATAATTCGAAGCCTCGAATGGGAGGATCAGTAAACAACTCAGTCGATTTTGAAAATATCCGAGATTATCGTCATAAATTGGCAAACACTTTAGGTCACTATAATTATGCTGAGATGATAGTCGGGCGTAAAATGGCTGGTTCTGTGGCAGTAGCTAAAAATATGATTGACTCCATACACGAAAAGATAAAGCCCAAGTATAATGAAGATTTGCAAGAACTGAATGATTCCAAAAGTCATAAAAGTATTGGTAAAGTGGAACTATGGGATTTAAAATACCTCAAAGCAATTACACAGAAAGCAAAATTTGGTGGCAAAATCGATGTTTCGCGTTATTTCCCAATGGAAAAAGCTGTTTCTGGTGCTTTCAAGTTAGTTGAAAACCTCCTTGGACTACACATTGAGCAAGTTCAATCAGACAAAGTTCAAACTTGGAGTCCGGATGTCAAATTTTATCGCTTACTTGATTCGGATGGTCAAGTACTTGGCCATTTCTACCTAGATCCTTACAACCAAAAATCAAATAATCAATTTGGTTCCAATATAATTGAATTAACAAACAGAACTAAAACATTAGGCACTACTCCACTTTGTGCAGCATTTTTATCCAAAAAGCCACCAATTGTAAAGGAACAACAAATTCTATTGTCATATCCTGAATTTCTCAGTTTCTTATCAATGGTAAGTTCATTTTATTATTTTATAAAACCAAACAATTCTCATCCATTACTATTGAATTATCTAAACTTTTCTTCAAACCTTTTCATTATTATTTAGATTGGTCGTATCATTACCATACTGATATCAAGACAAAATTATTATGAACTTTCATCAATTTATTATGTTTCTAAAGATCGTTTAGACTCGTTAGGACTGGTATTGTTATTATATGGTCTTCATAATTATAAAGCTGTACAATTATGCAGTGCAAATATTACGAATGGTGAACCATTACCCGAGCAAACGCATCAACTTCTCAGACAGTGTATGTTGACTGTTATTAGTTATTATTATTTCAGTGAAACTTAATAATTTTAAATCTTTCTTTTACAGATATTTTAGATCATGAAAGCATTGGACTTACAGAGGATTTATTCTTATCATCATTGGATCTGGCTTTCTATACAAACACAGAATTTTGGGGAGACATTTTACAAGAAATATGGCCAAGGTACATGGCTCCGTTTGATTTGATTAAAGAATATGCTTATCCATTATCTTGCATTGAAATGGTTTCAAACGATGGTGCTGCATGTCATTACTCTAAAATTTGGTCTCAGGTAAAATGATAGCTTTTTTTGAAGTACTTTGAAATCTTTTATCTTCATATATTTAATTTTGATCAATTTCTTGTTTAGATGATTGCCTCTGATATTTGTTCAAGGTTTTTGGAGTGTGGTTCCGAGGCTGAAACAAAAGAAGTCGGTAAAAATCTCAGAAACACTTTTCTCTCATCAAACTCATCTTCATTAAGTGCTGATCTGTTTCGACAATTCCGTGGCCGAGATCCCTCATTTCAACCACTTTTAGACTTATATAATTTATCAACTCAACCTAAACTAGCCTAGTCAAACGTTAACAAATTGCGTGGAATCACTACTTGTACAGCTTAGTTACCAATATTGACGGTAATATCTTAAAGAGATTTGATTTTTTCTGCAAGAAATTGGTAAACATTGGTATTTTTTGTTAGTCATTGTTATCCAATTTTTACATTTCCTAGTAATAGCAAATATTAATATTGGTAATTGTCCCACAGTTACAGGTTTTATTGTAACCTGTGTAAATTATTGTATTTCTTAAATTCTTCCGGAATTCGATTGAAATCAAATCAGCTTTTCTAAATTTGTCGATATGTTAAAATGTTTTTGAGCGTCTCAAGACCAACCATCTTTAAACTACAATGAAATGGTTTTCTCAGCTCAACCATGAGCTTGATAGCTTCAAATATAAATAAACGCTTTAACGATCATGATGCCAGAAAGAATCATCGCCCAAAAATAATTGATTATCCAAAGGAATTCGGAAAATGAATAAGATCTTCATAATTGCGAAGGAGAAGAGTTAATGTTGAATGGGGAAGAAAAAAATTACTGAAGATTCCATCAATAATTTAGTTTATTCAGAGCGTAATCAAAAGATTGGACGATGATGAAAACTAATGACAATGAACATGATAATGATTATCGCCATTATAAACAAAAGATGGCAAAATTTTATGCAAGTAATAGCTTCATTGAGGTGTAAAAAACTCACGCTCACATGAGATTGAAAAACACACACACAACTAACATGAACATTCAGATACAACAATAACTATCACGTCATCCAAAAAGCTCACCGGTTACACGTACTTATCGTTTTTGTGATTGTGTTTGTTTTTTTACAGTTAAACAAGAATAAATCATTCTCATTATTATCATCGTCACCATCATCATCATTATAATCATTATTTTGGCAGTGATTTTATAAATTGCCCAGTTGGCAGTTGAAAGAGAGAGAGAGAGAGAGAAAAAAACAAATTAAAATCAAGAAAATAAAGCAATAATTTGACTCGTCTGCTGATAATCAGTGTTAGTAGTAGCAAAAACAGTAGCTATTTGTGTGACAATTTCATGCAACATCAGTATCAACCAACCAATCAAGTTGATCAAACAAAAGTAGATGAATAAGTGGGAAAAAATCAAAGCTAAATATAACCAAACAAGCAAATCGTTTCCCTCTCTAGCTTCAACCTACCCATACCATTACCACCCATCCACCCACCTCACCTCCTACTCAATCAGATCTCTTTTATTCAATGCGACCGTTTTTTGTCCCTTTAATTGTCATTTTCAGTCAATCATTCACCAGTTGAATACAAAAGAATCGGGAAAAACACAAATGAACCAAATGTTGTATAAAAAAATTATAATTGCTTTTCTTAAATTAGATTGTAATTAAGATTTTTTATTAGCGCTTTTTTTGTCAATTTTTCTAGATCAACTCATCTAATGTGAAAGTGAGAGATTGAAATAAACTAATGACTTAACCCTGATTGAATGAACCAAAATTGGGTTTCTCTGCACCTAACATTTCCTGGTTAAAGCAACCTTTCAAGCTAAACAATAACATTTATGTGCATAATTAGTAGCTGATAAATTGATTACAATTAATACATATTAATATTAAGGAAATACAAAGTAAAGTCAATAATAGAGTGTTAAAAATGGTAAACATTGGACAATCTAAATAGCAAGCAAAATATAAAATGATGTAAAATGTAAACACGAAAATCAAGGTAATCAATTGACTGTTAATGTTGTATTGGTTGACCCAAATGTCCATCATTTGATTACAATAAGATTCCATTAAGAGAAACCACTTTCATGATTAAAAAATATAATGATGAGCATAGAAGAGACAAAAAACCTGAAAAAAATGAGGCACTTATTACATTCTTGAGGTCCAGATCAAGCGATGGTCTGAAATCAATTCAACGGGAAAATACCTCTAATCATCATCATCATTTTTATCATCTGTTAAAAAAATGAATTCAGTTGGTAAATCCGGTTATCCAAGAAAAAATGAAGCCTGACCCAGTTACTCGTTAATCAATGATCTCAATTTGTCTCTAAGAATATCTCATCATCATCTTTCTTCTTCCCTTTCATGAGGCCTTTTCCGTTCCAACATTTGGTTGGCATTAAGTTTACCTTTGAAATGGGTATTTGATTGACCAGAAAAGGTTTAGAAAATGAAAAGTAATCTCGATTTTTTTCCTTATCCTTTTCACCAAATCTAATTCACTATTGACTCGATTAACTGTACCGTTAGAGACATTAATCACGACTATAATTGACTTTACAATTGTTACTTTAAATTGCTTGGGTGATGTTATTGTTGGACGTTAACTGTACATTGTTGTGGTTTGTTCAATCTGCCAACTCTTTTTTTTGGTTGTTAATTTTGGATAACTTTTGCTTTTTTTGTCACTAAATTAACTCATTGTTATACATTCAATTTAATTTGCATTTACCAGTTTCGCTTCTTAGTATCAACAATTTAACTCTTCCTTGACAAACAAGGTAACAAAAATGATTAAAAAATGAATTCTTGACAGCTTTTCAGTTTTAAATGCTAACCATGTTTTAAACAGTTTGTCAAATTGTCTTATCAAGTAACTAAATTCAGGTAAAATTGTCTCTAATTTTTTCTACTTTTTTGCTAAATTGATTCTAAATCAAATAAAAAAATGATTTAGAATGATGATGTTTAAATTAAGATGAATGTTTATGGCATGACATGAATTGAATACTTTTTTTCGAGCTTTCATTTTGAAGCTTAATTTTTCATTTCTGGATAAATGGTACCATTAATTGAGTAAAAATGATTTGTTCAGTTATAAATGTCTGATAATTTGATAATTAAATCAGTTGACAAATGTCTTTATAATTAAGGATAGTTTAACAAAAAAGCTCATCTTTCCAGATTAAAAGGTAAACATTATAAATCCTTAAATCTGGTAATCACCAGTTTAATGGTAATCTAACAACAGTTTTAATGAGAAAACTGTAAATCAATTGAATATCTGGTTGAGTTGAAAAAGTCCTTTATTACCTTTGCCGTCTTTACCTCGTTTTTAGGCAAATCAAAGGTTTACTTTTAATTGTAATCACACAATTGTTAATATGGTAATTGGTTGATTAACATTAGTTAAAATAAAAACAACAGGATCTCAAATTGAATCAAGTTGACCTCCATCTTGAAAAATATAAACCTCAAAACACTCTTGGGCTTTACATATTGCAAGCTAAACGCCATTCATATGAGTTAAGCCCAAAAGATTATTTAAAATGTTTTGATGACGATGACGACAACGACAACGACGGTGATGCCAAAATTAAAGGTGGAGATGGTGAAGAAGGCCATCAACCTGAAGAGGCCAAAACTTCGTAAATGAATAAACTGGGCTACTAAACTGTTAGCAAAAAACGACCAGCAAGAAAAAAAAGGTAAAGGAGAAGAAAAGAAGTCAAGAGAGAGAAACATGATGATGAGAATGATGATGTAAAAAAATGGCTTAAAGGCAAATGATCTTAAGGAGAGAAGAGAGACTGTCGAAGAATGTATCTTCGCTAAAATTAGGCCAATTGTGTGTAGTGAGCCCGAAATACAGTTTCGGGTTCTGTTGATTACCGGGGAACCCAGAATTGGGTTTCTCTCTCTATCTCTCTTTTCCCTCACTCTCTCACTGATACCCTCATTTCTCACTCTGGTTAACTCCTCTGACATGATGAAGATAATCATCATTAGAAAATTATCATCTCACCCACAATCACATCGTCCCTCAACTCCGCCTGAAGGGAGGATGAAGAGGCAAGACTATCTTTATTTATCCTTCATTTATGTATATATTATTATTGTACATAATAATAACGTTAACAATAATAATAATAATAATAATATGTGACTAAGTGATAATAATAGTAGCTACAGTTAAGATGTAACCAGGTAAAAGCCTAAAAATCCCTTTTAAACCTGTTTCCCATTATAAAGATAAAAGGCTATTCTTATTTTATTTTTATATTTATATTTGTATAAAAATTTTCTTCCATCTTCTTCTTCTTCTTCTTCTTCTTCTCCTTCATCATCATCATCATCTTGTTTTCTTACTTTCGAGTTTCCATTTCTTTCTTTTTACCTTTTTTTAGATCACATCAATTTTTTTAACTAACAAACGAATCATGTTGATAATGCCTGTTGATGATGATGGAAATGATGATGATAGATACTCATCAGGGCCTAATCTTCTCTTTCTTCTGTCTTTTTGGGTGTATGGGGGTGAATTGAGGGGAGGTTGGATGATAAGATTCGAGGGGGTTTCTGTTTACAGGTAAACCCCGCTTCGATGATCGGTCAACATACAAAAGCTTAATATAGTTTACCCGATTTTTCACTCTTACAACAGTCAACTCACTTCACTCATCACAATCAGACATTTTACTTCAGATTCAGATACTTCATTTGACTTAATCTTGTCTTTTTTCTTCTTTTCTTGCCATCATTTTCATCTTCATCTCCATCACCGTCAACAGTTGGTCATCAAGGTACAATCCAGCCAATCCAAAGTACAAACTGTTTGTACTTTTTCTTTCTTTTTGGGTAAGTTTAAGTTTCTTTTCTGGTTCCTTTTCCCTTTTTGGTAACTTTCCTTGTTCCAGGTTTCATTTGCGGAATCCTCGATTTATAGCTCATCGGTTCAACTTTACATTGTAACATCACCGTTAAAAATGACCATCTACTTGGTTCGTACAAAATTGCTTGCTGGTCTTCCTTGGGATTCGGGTAAAGTGCAAACGGATAAATATTCCACCGATACTCTTGATTATTTACCTTGAATCGGTGGGATTTTCGTCCGTCTGCAAGTTGCTCTGTTTATCTAATCATCACCGAAATCACCGAAAATCCCATTATCCAAATATTAAAGTTCAACTCCGAGGCTGGATTCCATTCTTCAATCACTGGCTTGGTCAACTCTGTTGTCGCCTTTAAAGTCAATTCAAGTGGATAACTGGAGTTAATCAACCTGAAATGGAGAAAAGAACAAATTAATGTGAATTTGAACACAAGGATTAATTAATCACCTAAGTTTATTATCAATAGTTGATTTTATAATCTGTAATGTTTCACTTATATTTTTCATCATTTTGTCCATTAACTTGTCAATTATTGACTATTTACAATACATTATAACTTTGCATGCGAACCAGCAAAAATACTCTACTTTTAACAAATTTTATTGGGTCATTGATGAGATAAATCATCAGAGTCTAAAGAAAATTGTAAGAAATCAAACTCTAGAGTTGTAACAATTTATAACGGTAAATATGATAAATACTAATGATAACTATTCCATTATTTGAAGAAATGCTTGATTTGTAGATAATTATTATTTAAACTTATCATAATTGGTTTTGTGTTAAATTGTCTTGATTATTTAATGCTTTTTAACACTTCACAAGTGTTGCAGATGAATTGTCTGTGAATTTGAAATGTTGAATAGACAAAAATAAAAACAAACATTTGCGTGAAGCTTTGCGTTGATTATTGGGCCTTTTCAAATTGGAGGCCCATTCATTGAGTAAAATGTATTCGCTTAATTGATATTGAACTGCTCAAAAAGTTAATTACAATGATTATTCATGTGTAAACTATTTTTAACTCAACTGTATTGTAAAAACAACAAATGAGCTGGAGCAGGTTGAAATGTTTACACTGCTTGAGCATTAGGTCAAGTCTGATTCAACAAAAGACAAGTTAATGAAAATGGCTACAATTGCAGTGTAAAATTTAAGATAATTACTTGAGATTTGAAGGAAATCAACAAATTAGATTAGACACTTGACACTCAATAAAACAGAAGAATCAATCACCTCAATCTACACAAACTGTAGACATTGTTTACATTGAGACCAATGTTTGTTGTGAGAAATGAATGAGACAAATGGATCATCAAGTTTTGTTGCTCGTAGAAAAATGTAAATTATTTCTTACCTGATTTGGAAATCCTGGAAACCAGAAAAGTCGAATTATCAATGAACAAAAAGTAAATTCAATCAAATCAACTATCGTCATCTTGTGGTTTGAAATGATTTGTACTGATTAACCTTAAATATTGAAAATTACTGCAACTTTGAATCTAGTTTCATTTCTACTCAATAGGTGGTGCTACTAGTATTAAAGTAAATTAAAGAGTTATTTTTTGGAGTAAACTCTGACAGTTGTGAGTTTAGTAGAGATTATTAATCAGTTCAATACAATAAGACATTTATCAGTTAATTGTTCAACTATTATTTTGAAGCCAAATTAAGGCCTCACTATATTGGGCCTATTGTCCACACGTTATTGTTCAAAGCTTCGATTAAGTGTAATGGTGTTTGGATTGCCATCTAATCAGGACTTTACAGTTTAACTAAAGGTTATTCAAAACTCAATGTAATCCATTCATTAATAGGAAATGTTGATCTTTTCTCATGAACTGGATTAAATGTAAACATTGTCATAGAGTCATCGTTCTTTAATCGGCGATGTAATTTATTTTATCAATTATGTTAGCATCATCAATCACCATAATCAAGCCTTTACCATCGAATGCATATGTTTAACTAAAATCAAACCGTTGGTAACTTGTTTATGTTAACACTTAAACCTTTTGATGAACGTTTAATTCAAATAATTTCATTCATCTGAGTAGTCAATTGATCAAATAAAAAAGCATAAAGTAATAAGTTTTGCTCTGATAATCAAATCAATTGTAAAGGTTTAAAATAGACAAAATATAGAAATGTTGATTGATTAAAACAAATTGTGCTTCCGTTAACAATGATATTGACTGTTCAAAGGGTAAATAACACAAATTCAATTGTTAGCGACAATAATTTGATCAGTTATTCAATTTGCTTGCCAAACTGCTACTCACTGTTTAATCTCGATTAAAGTGAATTAACGTTAAAAATAATCTTGCTGATTACAGACTACAACAGTAATGAAAGGATATGATAATCAACCGAGCAGATCAATTTCATTTTTTGTTAGCTTTTTAATAATAGTTAATCACTTTGCATTACCAATTACGCATCCCAAAATGAGTCTAACATAAAAAATTAGACATGATAACTACCAGTATTTAGTAACCTTAACTCGCCAGATTACCATCCATTCAATCATATTAACTGATTTGCTCATGTAAAAATGCATCCTTTCCTTAATCTGCTTTCCAAATCATTGATAAAGTGAGATGAGAAAAAGTGAAAAATTGTTTTTCCTTTACTATGATCATCCAATTGAATCAAAATAAATACAAAAGGAAAGCTTAAATTGTACATCAAACGGCAGGTTAGTTTTTTGTGTGTTTCCCTGTTGACAGTAATTAACCATGTGTGACTCCAAGAATCATACAATGTTGAAACATTGAAGATGTTGATGGAAAAGAGTGATGATAATAGTTAATTGTGAGTTTCAATGGTTGTGAGAATTGTTGAAACAAAAACAATAATCCAATGGAGAGATTGAAATGTTGCTGTCAAAATTGAAAATCAGCTTATCTTTGGTGAGTTGGTGAAACTACTGATTCCATCTAAAATACTGGAAATATTAGTGCGATTCAAGTTGACAAATGATCAACTGTTATAGCAATCTGACAAAATGAAAGCTAAAAATGGATAACAGATGATTCAACTTTCCCAGAAGCTTATATTAGTCAATTTTGCCAATAGCAATCAGCCTGCAAGTTTTACTCATTGATTTGAATAGCGATGACGATGAGCATCTCTTTATCACCATTAGCCTCCAATACCACCACCACCATCATCATGCTTAGCCTTTGTAAAACAATCCGACCATTAAAAGAGGCAACAGAGTTGAGCGAGAAATACAAGAACAGAAATAATGATAAAAATGTGGCTTTTTTAGTGATCTTGTTGTGTATTCAAATGTTGTCCTAATAGTCAGGTAAGTAACTTGAAAGTGTCGATCAGTTGTTTTTTTGTCGTTTCTCACTTGCATGAGCTTGTAAATGGTGAAAGAAGAGGAAGACACATGATAATGATTGTTGAGGGGCAAAAATTTACCGACCATGACTTCATTTTTCATTTCATCCTCTCAGGTAACCTTTTCACAGAAATGGCAAAAAAGAGACAAACTTGGTAACCTTTTCTGGATGTCAAAATTTTCCAAAACAGAATTGATTGTTGTAAAAAAAGATGACGAATATAGTCAGGCAATTGCCATTTTCCTTCATTAAATTAAAATGTTCACTTTTCTTTGATTCTACAACAGTTTCTTTATCTTTTTCTTGAATTTGATCTTTACTCCTTTCACTGTTGTCATGGTTTGTTACATGTATGATTATAGCCTGATTCCTTTTCCTTTACTCATTGTTTTATCCGATTGACATTTTCCAGTGATAATGTTAACCTCACGATAACCAACTGAATGAAACAAAACATGAATTTGCTGGAGGAAGCAAAAATTGAAACAAAAATTGACTTCTTTTTTCAACAATAATCAGTCTATTTGGTTCTTTTATATACATTTATGTCATAATCAATATTAATTCGCAAATTATACAATTAATCGTTGATAAATTTGTTCCATCTTGTTATTTTCGGGCAAATGAACACTTTTGATTTTTTTTATCGTTCAAGTTGTGGAATCAACAGTTGATTTTGTTTGATTGGAGCCAAGAGTCTATCTCTTTATGTTGCAGCATGTTTCTTATATTGTAGTCTCGTCCTTCCATGTTTAAATTGTACAATGAGCATTGTTTGCTCTTGTTAAGCGTTCACAGAGTAATTGCTAGATCAACAGGCTTTATCATCCCAATAGTGTCGAGAGAAGAAGTGTAATGTCAAGGTTTTTGGAATCAATTTGGATGATAAAAGGTAAATAACAGTAAACATACAAATGATGTTTGATTTTACAGCTAAATTGTCAATGGATCCTTTTCATTCAGATTCATTGGAGTTAACAAGTTGTATTATTTATCCAAAAAAAGCAGGGATAAAGTAAAATACAAATTATTATTGACGTTACAGAAAAGCTTCCCTCTCGTGTTACTTTGTTTGTACATAACGAGTGTAAAAATTGTCGTTGAGTTGTAATTAACATTTGATTTGACAAAAGATAATTTTTTAAACAATGAAAATGATATTCGAAAAATGAAAATCAATGGATGAGAGAAGGAGAAGGGAAGAAAAATACAGGAAAAAAGGAAGAGAGAGAGAGATAGTAGATAAAAGGAGAAAATTACAGGAAGAAAATAAAATCAAATTTGTGTGACGATGGCGAGGATGATGAGGAGAATAAGGATGGTAACCATGATGACAATGATAAGAAGATAAATTATCATCGGTGCATGAAGTTACTGTATCTTTAAAATAACGGTGGCAATGTCTCTCGGTCAAAAGTCCTTTCTGACAGGCTTAAAACACCCATATTGGGAACACTTAATGTTTTACGAAGAAGAGCTTCACGGTAGCTTCCCTTGGCTGCTAATAATTCTTTAATTGCAACTTCTTGTCTTAAACGATCTAAAGCAAGTATACTTTCCACTGCGGAAACACTTCGGGTATATTTTTCAATGTAACTTTCTCCATCACAAGAATTATTATTATCACAGGATGCAGCCATTAAGGCCAATGATTCTCTGTCTTCAATGTCTTCGAAAGCTTTTGGAATGTTGGAAACAATTTCATAAGTAACACCAGTAGCGGTAAGATTATCATAGCGTTTTAAGCTTTTCTTGATTCGCTCAGTCAGTGATTGTTGTTTATAAACATTTATGGCGAGTCTTTTTCTTAATACTAAGTCCATTAAAGCTGGATGACTTAGTCGGACGGAAACTTTAAGAATAAGGTAAACTCGATCATTTGCACTGGTTGGTCGATTAAGGGCTGGTGAATCGTGGACGGATGAATCCCAAACGGCGGTGGCTGAGCAAACTTCTTCGGAAAATTTGGTTATTCGTAAGTCAACAAATAAGTCACTATGTTCTTTGGGTATCGTTGAGTTGACTCCAGCGACAAGAACTGAAGATTCACCTAAATTGGACATTAAACTACTACTCATTTCATCTGTATTTAAATCAAGGAATATCACAGGTATATGTCTTTCCATTCCTGGAAGTGGTTCCCATGTTGGGGGAGCACCTGGAATCTCTGAACCAGCGGGTGGATCATTGGCTGCTTTCCTTTCCTCTGTTAAGCTAATCCATTGACCGACCAAATTTTTTTCCCTCTCACGTTCTTCTTCATTTTTATTTGCTTTATTAACTAATTCTTTCATGTGTTTATTAAGATACTCTTTACGCTTACAAAGAGCATCAGACCATTTCAATTTAAGCACAGCTAGGTCAACCTCTTGATAGGAATCTAAAGATGTTTGCACTCTATATCGATGACATACACAGCCAATTTGAATCGCAGTGATTGCTTCACAGATGACTGGTAAAGAGCCTGAATCTTGAGCAGGAATTACTTTGACAACAATTCGTCTCTGTTGTCCTTGGCGCAACTGGTAAACACCGCCAGTGTAAATGTCATCTTGAGGAACTACTTCAACTGGACTATATTCACCTTTTTCATTTAACTCGTGAATCTCAACCCACAGTTCAATCTTTCTCTTCAATTCAGCCCATCGATCAGCTAGAGATCTAGACACAACTTGTTGAGCAGTGGCAATATCCCAATCAGATCGGAATGAACTGAAACCGGAACTTCTGTGTCCCCAAACTTCAATTGATAAGGCACCTTCAGAACAATATTCAAGAAATTCTTCTGTAACTTGGACGGTAAACTCTTTTTCGTGAGCAAATTTAAATGTTGTTCCTTCATGAACAAATTTAGGAAGATTGGATTCATTTGAGTCAACGGTAGGAACCACAATTGCATCTGGATAATCCCAAAAAGTGTATTGACAGAAAACGTAATTGGAAAGAGTTAAAGGTATTCCTCGAGCTGCTTTAATGGCAACCTTAATGGTAATCGTGTTATTGGAATTAACATCCTTTTCACTAGTAGAACCTGGTTCAGAGCTCACTTCGGACGATGCGTCAGCAAATCTTTCACTAATAGAGCCTGAAATACGGCTAACCTCGATGTGCAATCGGCCAGCAACTTCTCCCTGTTGACTGATGATGGGAACTTGATAGTCCAAGGTAACATCATGAAAGAGCACTTCAAGGAAGATGTTTGCCACACCAATTAAGTGATGCTTTTCTGTTGACTCGTAAAATGGATCAATTATGAGTGAAATGTTACTTGATGAAGTACTGGATACATCATCATCCACTGAAGCGTTTTTCTCCTTCCATTCTTCATAGAGATCCTTCATGTCAATTAATTTATTTTCTAATTTTTCCATTGACCATACTTGAGGAGCTTTGTTTTTTCTTTTCACTAAAATTGCTGGTTCACTGACAAATGCCCCTTTTTTACGATTAGGACTCAGGTTAGCTGCTGGTATTTGAAGGGTAACCTTGAATTCAGTGTTTCGTGACATTTCTTGGGCTAAAAAGTTTGCCTCCATAACAAGAGAGTTAGCTTTAACAATATCTTCCTTCAGTTTGGTTAAACTTCTCTTGAAAATTTCATCACGAGCATCAGCAGACCATCGATCGATGCGAGCACTGACATTAGGGCTTGATAAAGGTGATCGATTCCATGTCATGGTTAATGGATCGTAAAAACCACTTTTTTGCAAATGCCCATGTCCATAAGGGGATGAGGTGGGTGACATTTGACTTCGAAGAATTTGTAATTGCCGTTCGTACATTTCTCTTTGTTTTTCCAAGGCACGATTTTTATCTTCTTCCCGTTGACGTTCCAAAGATTTCATTGCATCTTGAATAGGATCATTGCTCAATGCTTTCATCATTAACTCTTCACGAGCAAATTCATAATCTATTGGTCGTTCTTGTGGTGGTAAGTTATAGTCACCACCACCATTACTAGCATTATTTCCGTTGCTTGGACTGGAACGGTTGTTGCTGCTGCTTTTGGGACAAGCTACTCGGAAGAAATGATTGTTTCCCCACAATAACCTATCACCATGATGTAATCGAGTTCTTTCTTCTATTTGTATTCCATTGACAAAAGTCCTTGCACCTTCTAATGGAGTTATAGATAACTCTTGAGTCTCGTCATCAATCTCAATAACACAATGTTCCGGCATAATACCGATACCGGATAATTGAATATCCTGTTCCGAGGCAGCATCAGCACGACCAACCAAGGTACGATTTTTTAGGTAGTAAACTAACAATTCATTCAATGAGGGATCCGCATTTAGATTAACCAAATAAAATTTATCAGTTTCAACCTTGATTCCAGATGATTTAACAGAAATACCCATTTTTTCCAATGCTTGTTGTCTCTCTTGATGAATTGCTTCTGTTCGTCGAAGCTTTTCTTCCCAAGTTTGTGTCATTTCTTTAATTAGTTTCTCTGATTCAGCTAAACGTTCTCTCAAATCTTCTGTTTGACCTGATTGTTTCAACATTTCTTTCAATTGTTCATTTTCCTCTTTCAATTCTCGTATCATACGAGCATTTGGATCTTCGTTGACAACTGCATGGTTAACAATCCTCTTTGCTCTATCAGCATAGCGAAGAGTAGAAAGAGTTTCTTCATAGTTATCAGCAGCTGGGCTAACAGTAGCAACCATGACTGTCTTTGAATTACCACCTAAATTATCCTTCAATAACCAGGTTAAAACAGAATCTCGGTAAGGTATAAACTGGTCACCTTTAGATTTACCCGATGCTTGATCAGCTAATTTTGAAATAACTAGACCCAAGGTAGTCAGAGATTTATTAATATTTGAACCTTCTTTCAATCTCTCGCCAACTGCTCCAGTTTTAACAGCTCTTTCCGAACCAGCTAAATCAACGAGACTCATTTTGGAAACTTTTTCACCAAAAACACTGGAGGAAGGGTCATATATTGTACATGTGAGAGTTATTGTGAAAACTGCATGAGATCTACTAGATTCTGAGTTCATTTTGGTTGCAGCAACGGTACGAGATTTGTTACCTTCAATCATTAAATTGTCAATTTCTTCGTATGAAGAAACGGCTAGAGTTGACAATCCATCGACATAAGGACCCAAAATATTGTGCTCGCGTACACGTAAGTTTTGTTTCACACCTCTTGGATCCAGTAAATCATGAACTTTTTCATTGTATATTTCCATATAAGAGACTTCCACTTTGAAACTTTTATTGGGATCTTGGTTGCTTGCAATGGTTTCAAATATACTATCACATAATCTTGGTATAAGACCTTTGGAATCAGATGAACCCATCATAGTATACGATTTACCAGATCCAGTTTGTCCATAGGCAAAGATACACGCATTGTATCCTTCAAAAGCACTTTGTAACACATCTGAGCCTAACTGATTGAAGACTTTTTCCTGGTTAGCAAAATGTGAATCTTTCTCGTTAAAAGACCAGAAACAGTTGTCAAAGGCAAAAACTTTTTGTCCACGACGATTAATTGAACCATCTTTGGATAAATCATTTGGATTGAATAGAACAATTTGTTCGTCTTTAACTTCAATAACACATTTAGTACCAAGTTCTATTTCTCGTCGATTGAAAGGCCTCACACGAATAGCAACTTTAACTTTATCTGTTGCCATGTTTGCTTTAAAAAAACAAAAACAAAAATGAAACTAATTAGTGTTCAATCAATCACAATCTTTGTTATCCTCTCTATTTCCTTTCCCTTTTGCTTACTTTTCAGTCAATGTGTCATCCAATGATAACCACGATCACTGATAGTATTGATGATGATAATGTTGATGAGGTTGCAGTAGTCAAGTTAATAGTGGTGGTGGAACTGATGATGCTGATTGTATGATGATGGTTTTGTATTGGAATGAAGATTTTTGTTTCAAAATGGCGAGGAAAAACAGAGAGATGAAATACGGATGATAATTTGTAGAGTTTAAAAAAGCGGAACGATTGTCAATTAGAGTATTAACAATTGGATAGAGCTTTTGTTTTCTTGATGTTCAATGTTGAAGATATCAAAGAAACTAACAATAATGGTAAAAAGTGAAGCAAAAAAGTGAGAAGGTTGATTTTTCATCTGCTAGTGGACGTACAAAACTCAACTTCCTTGAGTTAGTAATATTAGTCGAAAGACTTCAAGTGTATTCATTATGTATAAATATATATATATCAAATTAAAAATAAAAAACAAAAACAATTTTTGACCTTCGAGATCTTAATAACTCATTGAGAAGAAAGTGGAATAGATAGATGTTGAATGTGATGTTAGTGATTCAGGTGTTGGTCATCAAGGACATGAGGAATAATTAAAGGTATCAGAATAAACGTGAAAATCTTTGTAGATAAAAGGATCCAATGGTAAAGCAAAATATCTAGCACTGATTTGCATAAGCATCAAAGATGATTAAAGTTGAGATGCAAGTTAGGTAAAAGCTGGTCCACATTGACTTGGATAAGGTAAAAGGGAAAAGGTGTCTTGTGTTTTTTTCATTCACCAAGCGAAACAAAACAAAAAAGAACAGAGAAAAAAAAGAGGAAATTAAGTTGGTGAGATTGCGTGCGTATATAGTGGAAGAGTAAATGGTTGTGTGTATGTTGTAAATTTACTAATGGTGTAATATTAAGTTTAAGCTGAGAACAATTACATCTTGAGAAACCATCACATGAAGGTTTAGGTTTGTACCGATTGATGAATATTTGGTTGTTTTGACAAATTTAAACAAACAATAACATTTAACATGGTTAGATATCACAATTTTCTGGAAAATAATCAACAAGGGAATAGCACTTAAATCACAATTAATTAACTAATAATAATGTAAAATAATTTTATAATAAAAATAAATTAAACAAACGGCCAATGAAAACACACACGATTTACCTTACTTTGCAAGCTTAACTTTAACTCAACCTGAGCTAGGCTGTGAGTGAGCATCACACTTCTCACTCTCTCCCTCTCCATTCTTATGAGCGGGTTTTTCGGTTAACCGGTTATCCATCCGTATTCGCTCTTTTAATCACAGTCATTGTTTTTTTTTATAATTTTATTTAATTCTAATCAATCAAAAACCTTTTTTTAAATATATTTCTTGAACTTCAACCTATGTACTCATCATGAATGGATGTCAACAAGATTGAAAAATAAATAAGCTGAAGCCATGTGATAATAAATGGAGTTGGATTTTACGTTTCATTGTTGGTCTAAAAAATAGCTGTAAATGGTTTGAATTTGAATTGAATTTATCTCAATTTCACCTTATAAATTTAAAATTTAAACGCTAAAAGAATATCAATATTTTTACGGATCGAGTCAAATCGTGAACTTTTCGAACTATATTCCATTTCAATAATCAATTTGACTTTCTTTTTGGTATTTGGGTAAGTATCGTAAACTCTATCGTGAAAACAAGTTGTAAATGCTAATTTTTTGTTTTTCTGCTGAAGGTTAATCTTTGTCATATGTTCACTTGTTGATAACAATTCAATTTGCTTTCTGTTATTCAGGTCATCACTGGTTGATCATTTTTTTTTATCACCATTACTAAACATGTTGGATTACAACAACAACTTATGTGATGGAGAGACCGCAAACAACAACAAACGAGCCACCATCACTATAACAATAATATCAACTGTTACAATCCCAACAATCAAATGTTAATCCATTTTACTCTGCCACACAATTGACAAAACAAAGTGATCTGCCAATTCGTAGTTGCTGTCTTTCACTTTTTTCCCCTGCCTTTCTTGCCTCAAATTAATTGCGTGTTAAACCAATTTTATAGTTCGTTGCGCGACCCTTAAACTCTGAGTTTGGACAAAAGCAGTTATCAAAGTTAATCGTCAAACAGGTAAGGAACAGAGAAAAGAGAAAACGATGATGTTAAAGAATAAGAAGAATAAGTGAGCAAAAAAGAGTAAATTAAGAATCAAGCTCAGATTATTCAGCTAACAACATTTAGGTCAACATGCGAGGTCCGCAGAAAGATGGTGAAAGGAGAGAAAGAAAAAGCTTAAGAGCTGAAAAAAAGAGAGTAGAGAGTAAAAATTTTTGTTGATTACTGTACCAAGTTTTTTTTTGATATAAGGAGAGAGTTAATGTGAATTACTGTTGTTTGGCTGAATCAAGAGTAGCCCTGATTATTAATGATGATGAAAATGATAACAATGATTTTAATGATACTTTTAATGGAAGATGAAGGTACCAAAACTGGTTCCATGTTTTCATCATTTTCGTATTTATATTTTATTCCAGCATAATTTTCTCTTTTCGCTTCTGTTTTGTTGGTTCAAATTTTAATTTTTTTTATTTCTTCTACAGATCATCTTCTTTATAACAATAGCAATAATCACCGTCATCATCAAATCATTATTCCCATTTGGTTCAATTTATTACGTTAATGTTAATATCGTAAACAGTCTGAAGCGTTAACTTTAAAGCCGTTTGTGTATTAATCAAATACAGTTTCAGTTAACCTTTATACTTGTTGCCTTGTGGCCGTACGTTTGTTTGATTTACAACTCAAGGTATTTTGCCAGTTTTCAATGTCAATTTACTCATTCTTTTGATCTAATTAGATTAATTAATTCCTTCCTTCTTTCTTCTCCAACAGCTTTTCAAAGACGAGATTCATCCCGCTATCTTCAATGGACGCAATACTTGAACTATCGGACTGACTGCAGACATCAATGGATCAAATAAAAGTCAATTTAAATGTATAATGAATCAATGGAAAGCATAATTGCTGTTGAATATTCGTCTATTTGACGTTAATGTTTTACATTCAATTTTGAATTGTTTTCAATAATTTGCGAAACAGTTGTTTATTGTAAACGTCTGTTTAGTCAATTAATTTGGAATTGAATTGATTCCCTTTTGTTCCTTTTTTTGCTTAGTCACAATTATTATTATAATTAGAAGGCAAATTAAGGAGGCAACATACGATTGAAATAATTTAACCCTCTAGCTTAACTTAATTGACAAATCAATTGGCGTTAATGGTTGGTGTAACATGGCTTTTACTTGTTTACCGTATTTCACCTTATTAGAGGAACAAGCTGAGCTTTTTGATTACCAACCGGAAGAATCCAATTTCAATTTCATCTGATAACAAGAGATTGATAACAATTGTCTGTAAATGACAATAATTAAGATGATTAGCGTTCTTCCACTTTTTGTATGAATGTTTGCGCTTTTGTAGTGATAGAATGTTGACACAAATCAACTTTCGTATTTGACCTTAATAATCATTTAAATTCTCTTTGATTAACCACCTTAAGATTTTAATTAAACCCCCTTCTATCTCAAACAAATTTAACCATTTTAAAGAAGAATAAAAGTTAATCAGATTTTTTCTTCCTCTAGAAAAAGGCAATTAAACCAATTATAAAATTACAATTGAAGGTAATTGAACAGATAAACAACAGAGTTGACCTGCCAAACTAAACAAATGGTTTCCATCTCGAGACAATTGTGACCCCGGTTATTCAACAAATCATGACAATTTCAATTCTTTAATGTTGATTAATTCTTGTAAAGAAATATCAAATTGAAATTCATCCAAATTTTGCTCAATATAACCATTGATTTAGATATTAATGTCAAGTTTCCTTGCAAACAGAAACATGGACTTGAATTGTCATCTGTTAATTAATCACCATTTTATTGTCATGATTATAAATAGTGAAATTGGGTTTTTGGTATCGATAGTGATCATGCAAGTGTCATTGACTTAGTTAACGTGGTTGACAAGTGCAAAGTGAAAAAAAGTGAAACATATCGAAGGTAATTGTCGACGTTTGAAAGACACAATAAAAGTAAAGGATATAAATAAATGAGGTCAGTTCATTTCTCCTGTTAACTTAGCTTTCTGTTGTTAACATAACTTATTTGACCTAGGCAATAATACTCTAATCACATTAATAATCGAATAGTCGAGTATCAAAATACTCACTATCAGCTCTACATTACACTTAGGCTTTAAGTACAAATGTGTTTATCAACAATTTTTACATGCATTCATGTTTTTAAATGTGGCGCCTGAAACATTTGAGGCATCCTTTTAGGTACTCCAAGTGTAATTGCTTTTGTTATGGTTTCCAACAACGGTTCATGAAGTAGCCGAAGAAATTTGTTCTTGGTTTTTTCAGTTAAAAGCCTTACATGTTCAATTTTAACCATCAATCTGTAATGATTGTCTGAAGCTTCACAATCAGATTCACAAACTGTCCGCAAATAACGTCGAAGCAAATAAATGTATGAGAATTGTTCATGTCTGTGAAGAGATATCAAATTTATATCAACAATAAATACGATTTACCTTAAAAGAGCAATATCAATTTGAACAAACCTGATCATTTCGGGACATTTCAATCCGGTTGTGTCACCATTGAAAATAACGATTAGATATATGAGAATAATAACATTTATATCGTTTCTGAAACGATCGGGAAAGGTTTCGATAACGTAATTAAGTCCATCATGGAAGGATCGATTGAAGATGAATGTGTCTCGTCGATCAAATTTGTAATCAGATGCTGGATACTGCAATTGAAAAAAACCAACCGATTAATGAACAAATACAATATCAATAAAGTGAATGTAAAGTATGGCTACTTACATCCCAGCCGTCAATTGTAGAGTCATAGTTAATAACACCGTCCATTGTGTGAAGATGATAATACATGTTGAATAAAAGAGTTATTTTATCGCTAGTTAAAATTTTTCTGTAGCCTTTGATCTCATTACATATCGAAATGAGTTTATCTGGACATGCTCGCATCCTGTCATTGTTAAGTGCGAATAAATTCAAGTATCTTTGACCTTTAAATGCGGCATATGCTTCATCCATTAATAGCGATTCAAATCCATCTAGTTTTACATCATCAGGCCAATATTCACTTCGCAAACTTAATGTAGAAAAATAAACGGACAAGATTTTTTGACCAACATTAGCATTCCAAGGCTCATCAATTTCACTATTTGTGTTTAATGACAAGCTCATTTTATAACCATGTTTAACGAGATGAATAAAATTCATTTTTAGATTCTCGTAAGGGTTGTTAAGCTTGAAATGGTAAAGAGGCTCAATGGCCAGTGGATCAGTAGATATGGATGATGAGATAGGAGTTGCAACTGGAGCTGGTTATTAATGAAATGTGTCATGATAAGAGATAACCTTAAAAATCAACATTAGCAAGATGGACTTACATAGGTTTTCAATTGTATCTAAGTCAAGAGTTGTTATCGGTGAATTTAAAAATTGTAGTCCTTCATAGTTTTGGTTATTAAATTCATCATCTAGTAAGTAACTTTTAACAGTATCTTCATCGGTGCAAAAGGCTTTCAAAAGAGCTAGACTTTGGTTTGAACACGGAGATTGAGGAAATGGTTGACCAGCTAAAGTGTCACATTGCAAAGCAAAATCTGTATCCAGTGTCGATGGATCTGAAACAAATTAAGGATTTAAATTATTATTTGATACTTTACAAAAATTTATTTTCGCGCATCAATAAAGTAAAGCAATACGTCAACTTACTTAAGCTTCTAATAGCGTACAAGCTATCGGATGGGTTGTTGTGATCATTAGAACTGGACCAATTTCCTATTGATGAATCAAAAAATTGTCCTTCATTGTTTTGATTAATAAATTCATCAATATCTAGCAGGTAAATTTTAACGGTATCTTCATCGGAACAAGCGTCTAAAAGAGATAGGCTTTGGTTTGAACATGAAGGTTGTTGTAATGGTTGAACACCTAAAGTTTCACCTTGCGAATCATAATTTGTGTCCGGTGTTGGGGAATCTAATGATGATCTAAGAAATGAAATTATTTGTTCCAAGTCCATCTTTGCACCTCAATAATAAATTCAAACTTTAATAAAGTATTAGGATACATTGATAACTAATGAATCAGAGATCTCATTACTCTTAAAAAATTGTTAGGTAAACATTTGTTATCGTTTAACCATGTAATGCGCATTACTTGTTTGAAATACAATAACGATTATTTTATCTTATTATTTTATGATATAGCTCTTTGTCGTCTAATATTATATCGCCGCGATATTATCGCGGATGAAATGGTGGATTTAGGGTAAAGATTAAAGCAAAGATTAATCTTTGGATTAAAGTGATATCTCTTGACAGAAAATCATAATTTTAACAGGTTATGATAATTGTGAAATGAAAATGTTGAATGTAAAACAATTGAGAAAGCAAGAGTTAAACTGAATTACCTGAATACCATAATAATTTTGTTATTCCATCTGACTTGAATGCGAATGCAGAGACGGTAAATGTTAAGCACCCGATTGTTCATTGCTTGATGGGGATAAATAAACAACTAAAACATATTTTACTTGATTGTGAGTTAACCTGAAACAAAAAATGCTTTTCTCTTTCATTTCAAATACTTATCATAATCAAGCCACATTTTAAAGACAATAAAAGAGCCCAAATGATTAAATTGAGTTCATTTTCTGTAGTTAACAGAAAAAAATGTTAAAATATATCAATACGAAATGATTCAACAGATGAATTGTTTGAATATGAAAAAAAGGTTTCAAGTGAAATCAGTTTCGTTGTCTGTTGATTCATTGTTTCCTTACTAATTGGTGAATCTTTTTGTGTAAAGGCTAGATTATTGAGATGGTGAGGTTATTTTTCCTGACTGTCACAGTTTTTACCATCATCAACAAAATTATGTCTCCTCTTGATTAAAGGTTGAACCTGATCAAGAGAAAGTCAAGCTTAAATGACTAAAGAGAAAAGAAGTAAAGAATGATTTGTATTGTCGATTATTTCAAATGAGTACAATGAATCTTTAATTTGTCAAACATTAAGGCGAATAATAATTAACGATTTCCTCTTTTAGTTGAATAACTTTTCAACCAAGGATGATCCATCACCTCATTCATCACCAAACGTTTCTTTGTATCAGCTTCTAACATTTTCCAGAGTAAATCTTTACAATCTTTGGATGTTGACTCTTCAACTCCGGGTCGCCATTTGTAGGAGTATATTCCTTTCATATCTCCATCTCCATTCTCCATCAAAATTTGAAATCTTTATATTTCTTATTGGATTTACTGGTATCTTGAACTTTTTTCCTCTTCTGCCTGGCCGCGTGTTCGGCAACCATATCACTCAAATCTTCTTTGGCTATGCTAGCTTGTTGCTCTTTCAATGATTTTTCGTATTTAGCTGCTAATCCAGCAACAGGCATTTCCAAATCATTTGGATCCAGTGCAACCTCGACTCCTTGTCCTTTCTTTAGAGACCCTGTCACATCATAGATATGAGTGGATGCCAGCATTTCTTTGCCTACTCTTTCAGTTGTCTTCTCAGGAATAATGGTATAAAGAGTAGCACTCTCATTGCTCTCCATTTCAGCTTCTATCTTTCTTTTTCTTAATTCAATAATATCTGGTGTTTCCATTCCGTTAGGCATTGAAGCAAAACCGGAAGGAGTTTCTGAACCTTCTGACGGTGTAACAAGTCCACTGTCGTCGGTTTCACCAGTAAATTTGTCATTTTCTGCTTCTTCCTCTTCTTCTTCTTCATCCTCTTCTTCTTCCTCCTCCTCGGATTCAATTTCACCCCATAATGACTTGTCTACTTCTTCCTCTTTATTCAAGTTATCTTGAGCTGTACTCAAACCGAATACATCACCATAAAGCGGCCGACCATATTCATCGACTGGAGGCTTACCCCAACCACCAGCATGATATCCAAAAGAGCATCCGTCAGGTATTTTTGCATTTAGACCAGGAATTTTCAGGTTTGGATAAGATGGTGGAGGGCCATATCTCTGCATAGCAATAATCCATGGAGGTGGACATTTATGCCCATTAGGACCAGTTGGCATTCCCAATGCAACTCTTAATTCAACACTTAAATCACCGGGTTTTTTCTCCTTTAATCTTGTTTCGAATTCTTTTCCTTCATAATAAATGTCTCCATGAATTGTCATTTTGGGTTTCGTTTGCCACTTGAAAAATGCATCATGAAGTTTCTGGTAATCAATATCGATTTTACCAAGTTTGGGTCTTATTTTTTCTCTTTGTCTTGCTTTTAAAGATTTGGCATCCTCTTTTTCTTGTAAAGCTTGTCTTATTTCCATGATTCCAGTTTTTCTGATGAAATCAGGTAGTTTGAATGCTGGCTTATCGAAACCTCTTTTGCCTTGAAGATACTTTCTTTTATAGCACCAATGACGGGGAACAGGGACAGAGTTTCTAGTTGATTTTAAATGAAGCAATAAGATGGGATCCCTTGCCGTTACATCATGCATTTCAACTAATTCTGGATGAGAAACTTTTTGTTTAAGGTCGGCCACGGTCATCCTTGTGAGCTGTTTAAGCTTTCTTTTAGATAATTTTGGTTCACCATCATTTTTTTCATGGTCTTCTTTCAATTCCAATTCGACTGGTTTTTTTCTCTCCAACATTTGCTTGGCTCGATCTACAATCTCATTATCGTTTTTGGGATATATTAAATCTTCACTACCAGACGTTTTGAACTTTTCGAAGACTTTTATATATTGATAATAAATTGGGTCCTTCGGCACTTCATCTTCAATATACCTGAAAAAAACAAACAGAATTTAATTATAAATGAAATCATAAATTAAATTAAAAAATCTAATGAATCGAATAGAATGAAAATATACTTACTCAATATCAAGATTATCATCATCATCTAATTCGTTTGTCGCCTTTTTCACTTCATTTGGATGACTTTTTTGTTTTTCAATTTTCTTCTTCTTTTTTCTCAACCTTTTCTTTTCATTTCTTGAAAGATTCTTTTTTTGTTGAGCACTTCCATTGATTTGATTTGAACTAGTGACGTTCTTTGTTTCTGCTTTACTAATTTCAGGTGCTTCTTTTTGCATCTTAGATGGATCAACAACATCAACAACATCAACTTCATTTTGGCTTTGTTTTGCTTGTAAAGCTTCTGTTAGCAAATTTTCCAGATCTGAAATTTCTTGAGGAGTTCCACACGATTGTTCACCTTCGTTTATACCACTCTTTTCTTCAGAATTGGATGAATTCTGTTCTAATTGTTTACTACTAACATCCATCGTCTCAACAGAAGGAATCGGCGGTGACGGAGCTGTTTCTTTCTCATGATTTGAAATTGAATGAAGAGTTTTAAACGTTTGTTCACTTTCTCCGGCACGATCAATTTCTTCAGAGTCCAATGTAGACATTTCTGTTTGATTAGTACTTTTACCTATAACCTCCGTTGAAGAAATGGGCAGCGCAGGAACTGTTTCTTTTTCTTCTTGTGAAATTGGCTGGGTGGTTTCATACGCTTTTTCGTCTTCTTTTTCACGATTTAATTCTTCAAAATTTGATGATTTCTGTTCGGTTATCTTAGCACTTGTATCTATCATCTCCATAGATGGAGAAACTGGTTCTTTTTCTAGGAGTGTAATCTCACTAGGATTTCCATAAGTTTCGGTGTCTTCTATAATACCATCATTCTCTTCAGGATTATTTGCATCTTGTTCAGTTTGTTTGTTATCATCAGTCATCTCCATGGAGGCAAAAGATGGTTCAGATCCTTCTTCCTGGTGTGATATCTCATGATGAGCTTCATAATTCTGTTCAACTTCTTTTACACGATTGAGCTGTGCAGAATTTACTGTATCCTGTCCTGTTTGTTTATTACTAGCATCTATCATTTCGTTGGGAGGAATTGTCGGTTGAAGAGCAGATTCCTGAGCTACAACAGGTTTGGCTACTTCCATCTTTTGTTGACTTGCATAATAATCAGACAAGCGTTTTATTAGATCTGCTTTCAGCCCTAAAAATTAGATTAAAAAACGAATATTAGGTTTCAGATTTTACTAGATTGGAGGTACAGTCAATATTCTCAAAATGAGACCTTGTCAAGGTTACTAATTAAATAACGTTGTTTTTCAGAAAAATTTACAGAATTATTATTAAAATTCAGTGTTATCGGATTCAATGACGATAAATTAACAAAAATTATAAAATTTGTAGCAATTTGATCATTAAATACTTAAAATCGTTGAGTGATATAGGACAAAGTGCTAAGCCAATCTAGTGTCATTTTGGGAATATTGACTGTAATTTTTAACTTACCATTCAATGGATATCCAAGAGCAGCTAGTTTCTCTTTAAGATCTACTACTCTTAATTTTTTGAGCTGTGTTGGAGTCAAAAAAGGGTCCATGATGGTAATATTCAGGATATCAATCAGCTGAAACGTATGATCAATTGAAATAATTGCAATAAATCACTAGATATAAACAGTTTAAATTAACATGACACAAGTAAAATTGCATTGCAAGTTAACACATGCCCATAGCCCTGCATTTCCGAAGGCCGCATTTTTTGAATATCATTTATTTTCAGAGATGATGCTAAGAAATACAGAAAGATGATTTTACTTATCGCACATTTTTCTTGTAAACATTGAACAAGCGTTAATTGTTTACTGATTCCTGTTAAAATAATTTTATAATAAAAAACATTAAACGGCCAATGAAAACACACGATATACTTTATTTTGTAAGCATAATTTTCTCTTTTCGCTTCTGTTTTGTTGGTTCAAATTTTAATTTTTTTTTATTTCTTCTACAGATCATCTTCTTTATAACAATAGCAATAATCACCGTCATCATCAAATCATTATTCCCATTTGGTTCAATTTATTACGTTAATGTTAATATCGTAAACAGTTTGAAGCGTTAACTTTAAAGCCGTTTGTGTATTAATCAAATACAGTTTCAGTTAACCTTTATACTTGTTGCCTTGTGGCCGTACGTTTGTTTGATTTACAACTCAAGGTATTTTGCCAGTTTTCAATGTCAATTTACTCATTCTTTTGATCTAATTAGATTAATTAATTCCTTCCTTCTTTCTTCTCCAGCAGCTTTTCAAAGACGAGATTCATCCCGCTATCTTCAATGGACGCAATACTTGAACTATCGGACTGACTGCAGCCATCAATGGATCAAATAAAAGTCAATTTAAATGTATAATGAATCAATGGAAAGCATAATTGCTGTTGAATATTCGTCTATTTGACGTTAATGTTTTACATTCAATTTTGAATTGTTTTCAATAATTTGCGAAACAGTTGTTTATTGTAAACGTCTGTTTAGTCAATTAATTTGGAATTGAATTGATTCCCTTTTGTTCCTTTTTTTGCTTAGTCACAATTATTATTATAATTAGAAGGCAAATTAAGGAGGCAACATACGATTGAAATAATTTAACCCTCTAGCTTAACTTAATTGACAAAGCAATTGGCGTTAATGAATAAATAAAGGTATAAATAAATGAGGTCAGTTCATTTCTCCTGTTAACTTAGCTTTCTGTTGTTAACATAACTTATTTGACCTAGGCAATAATACTCTAATCACATTAATAATCGAATAGTCGAGTATCAAAATACTCACTATCAGCTCTACATTACACTTAGGCTTTAAGTACAAATGTGTTTATCAACAATTTTTACATGCATTCATGTTTTTAAATGTGGCGCCTGAAACATTTGAGGCATCCTTTTAGGTACTCCAAGTGTAATTGCTTTTGTTATGGTTTCCAACAACGGTTCATGAAGTAGCCGAAGAAATTTGTTCTTGGTTTTTTCAGTTAAAAGCCTTACATGTTCAATTTTAACCATCAATCTGTAATGATTGTCTGAAGCTTCACAATCAGATTCACAAACTGTCCGCAAATAACGTCGAAGCAAATAAATGTATGAGAATTGTTCATGTCTGTGAAGAGATATCAAATTTATATCAACAATAAATACGATTTACCTTAAAAGAGCAATATCAATTTGAACAAACCTGATCATTTCGGGACATTTCAATCCGGTTGTGTCACCATTGAAAATAACGATTAGATATATGAGAATAATAACATTTATATCGTTTCTGAAACGATCGGGAAAGGTTTCGATAACGTAATTAAGTCCATCATGGAAGGATCGATTGAAGATGAATGTGTCTCGTCGATCAAATTTGTAATCAGATGCTGGATACTGCAATTGAAAAAAACCAACCGATTAATGAACAAATACAATATCAATAAAGTGAATGTAAAGTATGGCTACTTACATCCCAGCCGTCAATTGTAGAGTCATAGTTAATAACACCGTCCATTGTGTGAAGATGATAATACATGTTGAATAAAAGAGTTATTTTATCGCTAGTTAAAATTTTTCTGTAGCCTTTGATCTCATTACATATCGAAATGAGTTTATCTGGACATGCTCGCATCCTGTCATTGTTAAGTGCGAATAAATTCAAGTATCTTTGACCTTTAAATGCGGCATATGCTTCATCCATTAATAGCGATTCAAATCCATCTAGTTTTACATCATCAGGCCAATATTCACTTCGCAAACTTAATGTAGAAAAATAAACGGACAAGATTTTTTGACCAACATTAGCATTCCAAGGCTCATCAATTTCACTATTTGTGTTTAATGACAAGCTCATTTTATAACCATGTTTAACGAGATGAATAAAATTCATTTTTAGATTCTCGTAAGGGTTGTTAAGCTTGAAATGGTAAAGAGGCTCAATGGCCAGTGGATCAGTAGATATGGATGATGAGATAGGAGTTGCAACTGGAGCTGGTTATTAATGAAATGTGTCATGATAAGAGATAACCTTAAAAATCAACATTAGCAAGATGGACTTACATAGGTTTTCAATTGTATCTAAGTCAAGAGTTGTTATCGGTGAATTTAAAAATTGTAGTCCTTCATAGTTTTGGTTATTAAATTCATCATCTAGTAAGTAACTTTTAACAGTATCTTCATCGGTGCAAAAGGCTTTCAAAAGAGCTAGACTTTGGTTTGAACACGGAGATTGAGGAAATGGTTGACCAGCTAAAGTGTCACATTGCAAAGCAAAATCTGTATCCAGTGTCGATGGATCTGAAACAAATTAAGGATTTAAATTATTATTTGATACTTTACAAAAATTTATTTTCGCTTATCAATAACCATCCCAAAAACTATGTAACGAGTTAGGCAACAAAGCCTTTAACAGTAAAACATTACGTTAACTTATTTAAGCTTTCAATAGACAAGCCATCGGGTAGGTTGTTGCGATCATTAGAACTGGACCAATTTCCTATCGATGAATCAAAAAATCGTCCTTCATTGTTCTGATTAATCACTTCATCAATATCTACCAGGTAACTTTTAACGGTATCTTCATCGGAACAAGCGTCTAAAAGAGATAGGCTTTGGTTTGAACATGAAGGTTGTTGTAATGGTTGAACACCTAAAGTTTCACCTCGCGAATCATAATTTGTGTCCGGTGTTGGTGAATCTAAAGATGATCTAAGACATGCAATTATTTGTTCCAAATCCATCTTTGCACATCAATAAAAAATTCACACTTTAATAAAGTATTAGGATACATTGATAACTAATGAATCACAGGTCTATTTACTCTAAAAAAATTGTTAGGCAAACATTGTTATAGTGTTGTGCTCGATCGATTCGATCATCGATTTAATTGATTATCGATTGCCATTACAGTGATCTCTGCCTTAAGTTCCCCTCAAAGTTTGAGGCTCAAACGGCAGTAGTTACTAGGCAACTCAAGGCTAGAGAAAGAGACCTTCTTCTCTGTCTCTTTCTATTTCTCTTTCTTTTTCAAATATGAGAGGAGGAACTTAAAAGAGAGACTACTGTACATGATTAAACGATAACAAATTGAGTTTATCTGGACTTGCTTTTGCTCTCATCCTGTCATTTATATTTGCAAATAAATTCAAGTACCTTTGACAACCACATTTTAAAGACAATAAAAGAGCCCAAATGATTAAATTGAGTTCATTTTCTGTAGTTAACAGAAAAAAATGTTAAAATATATCAATACGAAATGATTCAACAGATGAATTGTTTGAATATGAAAAAAAGGTTTCAAGTGAAATCAGTTTCGTTGTCTGTTGATTCATTGTTTCCTTACTAATTGGTGAATCTTTTTGTGTAAAGGCTAGATTATTGAGATGGTGAGGTTATTTTTCCTGACTGTCACAGTTTTTACCATCATCAACAAAATTATGTCTCCTCTTGATTAAAGGTTGAACCTGATCAAGAGAAAGTCAAGCTTAAATGACTAAAGAGAAAAGAAGTAAAGAATGATTTGTATTGTCGATTATTTCAAATGAGTACAATGAATCTTTAATTTGTCAAACATTAAGGCGAATAATAATTAACGATTTCCTCTTTTAGTTGAATAACTTTTCAACCAAGGATGATCCATCACCTCATTCATCACCAAACGTTTCTTTGTATCAGCTTCTAACATTTTCCAGAGTAAATCTTTACAATCTTTGGATGTTGACTCTTCAACTCCGGGTCGCCATTTGTAGGCATGGCCATACTGTTGTTTCAACATGACCTTTAAATCTTGATATTGATATGGAAATCGGTTGTTTAACATGGCGAAAAGGACGACTCCAGTGGCCCATACATCGGCCAAGAATGGATTATAAGGTTCTCTTTCAATTATCTCAGGAGCATAGTAGGGTTCAGTTCCACAAAAGGTTTCACTGAGGCGCAATAATCCGGTTGAAAGGTCAAAGCAAACTCTGGCAAAACCAAAATCTGTTAATTTACATTCCAATTCACTGTTAAATAAGATATTTTCAACCTTCATGTCTCGATGAGCGATGCCCAGGTTGTTATGTAGGAAGGTCAGCGCATCGGCAATTTGGTAAAACCATTCACGAGTCTTTTTCTCGGGCAAAGCTCCGTGAGCTTTAAGGTAATCTGCTATGGTTCCATTAGGGGCAAGCTCCATGAAAATGTAAATCTTGTTGTTGGCCCGGAAAATGTCAAATATTTGGACAACATTGGCATGTTTCACTTGCATCAAGATGCTCAACTCTCGAGGTAAAAATTTTGAACGAAATTTTTCGGAACATCTTTCTAGGTCCATTATTTTAACTGCACACATCTCACTCGTTGATACTTTCATTGCGGTAAACACTTTACCAAAAGCGCCTTCAGATATTTTGTCCAGCACTTTGTATCCTTTCCGGGTAAACAGAGCCTCTGTCCGAGTGTCGAGTTGAGCCTTTTCCTTCTTTTTGGACATTTGGGACAATATTTGATTCAGAAACAAATTTAATAGCTTTAGACTCCAATTGATAATCAGTATTCACTTTTTTATGAGGTAAATTAGCAACTGTCTTACTAATTAAGTAGCAACAATGCAAATTAATTTGCAGTTTTATCACAATACATACTTTTGTAAAGATATTAAAAGATTTAATTAAAAGCTCATTGTTTGACATTTTGACTTTGTTGTGGTCATTTAAATCACATAATCTTCGATTCGATTAAAATGGAATGCTTTTTTAAAAAGACATTTATTTGATGGTCAAAATACAATGGCATGTTTCGTATTTTTAAATACAAAAAAGGAACGAAATTAACGAACTGAGAAAACTGAGCAAAATGGTATGACAGGGTTTGATTATTTCATAAATTTAGCATCAGGTCTGGATAATATGACGGCAGATGCTTTGGCATCATGGAACAACTCACTTGCTTCCCTAATCATTCTTATCTCAATGGAATTGGCTTTATAAATTTTTGCCAAATGACTGGCTGGGTTTAATAGCTGAACAGCGTAACGTAAAGTTGTTTTAACACCGATATCAGCTAAAAAGTCGAGAGCATCCTCTTCAATCATCACTCTTTCCGTGGCAGCTCTGATTATAACAATCTGTTGAAAAAATTGTATTAGATGAAAAGAAAGCTAACAGATGATAGATGATTAATAAAATTACCTCTTTAATTTCTTCCACTCTGTATGGGACCGTCTTAATTATCATTATTCTGTCTAGCAGATCAAGCGGGATACCATGTGGTGATACGATATCATCGGTACCTCTGTAAGCAAAAAATAAAAGATGTATTAAAATTAAGAGATGATAGCATTAAAAATAGCAGTTTTTATCTACATCGAGAATACTCGATCTTTTAATAGACTTACCTGACAACACATTTTCCTCGATTAGTGGCAAATATTACAATAGGAGCAATAGTCGATTCCAAAGCGCGATGAAGATAAGTGAAACATTCAATGTCTAACATGTGAACCTCATCAATAAACAGAACACCGGGTACAAGTTCTGCGATCCCCTGATCAATATAATTATTTACTATCTTGTTGATTTCCATTCTTAATTTATCAGTAATTTCAGTTTTTCGCGGTTTCAAAAGTTGTCCCATCATAGAGAGAATATCCTGTCCACCCTGAGGACGGGCATTAGCTGCATCGAGATCATGTAGAGTGACATCTTGAACGACTTCTTTTTTCTTGTGAACATCTCCTTTAGGTAATGGAACGTACTCTTCAGCTTCTAAATCATATTCTGTAGCATAGGTATCACATCTTCCTTGCCTTTTCACAGAACCACTGTTTGCTTCAATGTAAATTACATCACCAATCTCAACTCGTTCTCTCTGTAAGCTTTCGTAGATACTAGGATCGAGTTTAAGCTGTTTGGTTCCTTTCGCTGTTTTCAAACCAATTATTACATGGCTAATGGTTTTACCATAACCACCGAGAGGATTATCAGTTTCGGCTGGTGTAATTTCTAGAACTTCTCCTTCAAAAACTTCTTTAACTTCTTTAACTCGTAGGCCAATAGCTCTTCGGAAATTTTCCATTAAAATTTCGGTTTTCTTCACCTCGGATGAGTATACTTCAGAGGCAACCATTGGACAAAATGGTACTTTGGTTCCTAATTCTTGTGAAATGGCTAAGGCTATCGCAGTTTTACCAGTTCCTGGTGGGCCAGCAAACAACATTGCTCGACCAGACATTTTCTTCATTTTAATTAAATCAACGATGATACCGGCAGCCTAATGATTTGAAAGAATTGTAATCATTGAAAAATTGTCAAATCGCAGTCTAGATGAACAGACTAAGCAGTCTAATTAGTCAATCAGCTAGAAATTAATAGACTTACCTCTCGAGCTTCTTTCTGTCCAACTAAACCTTGATGTATCTCCTCCGCAATACCCTCCTCATTTAAACCAAGACCTTTCACATGACTGTGAGCGGAAATTCTTTGAGTCTTGGAGTTACTCTTGACGTCCTCAATATTCATGTCCATAATAAGCTACAATTAAATTAGATCACTAGAAATTATCAAAAATAAATAGCTTTGTTTTCAATATAAAAAAAGGATAAAACTTCAATATTCAAAAACAGCAGCATGCATTTACCGCACAGGGACCGATTGCTAATTACCACTTGTATATCATTTCTTTTTCAAAAGTTATTTTTCTCGTTTCGTCATTTAATATTAAAATTTAATTTCTTGAGCTTGGTTAAATAATTTATGATATTTAATAAATGTAAAAAAGACAATTACTAATTCATCACGCTTTGAAAGGTTTAAATCTATTTTTTACCAAATTATCAAAAGTTAAGAACTCTTATGAATAATTAATTTCTCTGTCTTCAGAATCATAATTAATTTCAAATAAATGAATTAGGAATGTCATTGAAAATGATTTTCGCTGGCTGATAGTTGATTAATAAACAATAAGCTTCTGTTTGCGCCTAAACATCGGCTGATGCTTTCTTTACACTGTCATGTGGCTAAAAAATAATCTGGAATTACTGTTTTGTTATTTTTCTTAATTAATAAAATCTCTTTCTTATCAACTAATTTTTAATAGATTTAGAATCGTAAGTATTGATAAAATTAAATTCAAATCAACTTGGTGAGTGTATTATGCCTCTAAAGCCAGCTAGTTGTTGTCAATTTATTCATCAATTTGAACCTGATGAGTTATTCGGGTAAGTATTAATACAATCATTTTTCTTTGTCTCTGCCAACATTGAGGGTAAGTTTGATTATATTGTTTTGAATACATTATCGTTTAAGATTTTGCTCTTGTTAATAGTTATTTATATATTTTACGAATATAAAGCATCTCGAGTAATCAAGTTTTATACACAATCCATAGGTAATTCGAGGTGAAAGTATTCGTTATTTACTGAAGGAAACAAAATGAAGGAGGAACAAGAAGGAACAAAGAGCCAAGAATTTCTCTAATCCTCATTGGGATCTTTTTCTTTTGATTATGGATGAGCTGAATTAATGATAGTCAATAAGTGAGAGATGTAAGTATTATAATAAGCTCAATCTATTATATCATCTGAAGAAACTTCAACTCTAATTAACAAGTATTGCTCTTTGTTATTTTCACCTTATTCCAAGTTTGTTATTATTAATACCCTTAGGGTTGTTATTAATTTGCTTGGTTTGGTGTGAATCATCTCTCTTCTTTTTTTCAGGCCTAATAAATGTTCATCTTGGTGTCTCTATCGTATTTTCAATCCCAGAAAATTTGGTGTTGATTGTTAAAATTGAAGATAAGTTGTGGAAGAAATGAAACGTTAATATTATTTTCATCGGAATCTCAAGTAAAGCTATTGGAAAAAGGTTATACTGGAAATTTTACCTCAAATTTTTACGAGTGATAAACGTAAGAATGCTTATTTTGCCCACTCTCATCATCATTAATATCATTTCACTTCATTTTCAAGAGCTACTTATTTAAGGCTGAAATATTTCCAAATTAAAGAGGAAGTAATAATACATTTGATAGGAAGGAGACGAAAAAGAGACAAAAATAAGCTTGCAAATTGCCAAAAGGTACGTTGACTATAGACTATCAACAAACACAAAGGTTGAATTGCAATAAAGTTAACATAGTGTTATATTTATTAAAATTTTACACCTTTATCACTTTCATTTATTGTTCTTCTCACTGAAATAAAAGATATTTCATGGATATTATTTTCTCACCTTCAGATTTACGCTATTTTGACTGGTGGTAACACGAATTAATCAGAGATATCAAGAATCCAAACTATCATTTTAGGAAGGATTAAACTGGCAATGTTCTAAAGCAAATTGACAACACAAATTATCATCAAAAGAAACCCCATTGGTCATAATGGATTCTAGTTGCAATGAATGCTGGAGAAGAGCTGTTTTTTACTCTACACAAGCAGGAGAAAAATTTCAACGCGAAAGTCTAGGAATTCAGCTGTCATAAAGTAAAAAAGCGGAAACATTCAAGTTAATCATAATCAATATGCATTATAATTAAAAAAGGAATAAGAAGAAAGAAAAAGGAAAAAGAAATAAAAAAGAAGGAAAAAATGTGAAAGACCAGAGTATCAAACATGAGCCCAGTGAACCTCAAACAAATCAATGTTGGTGATGATGATGATCACAGAATGGTTTACAGGATATTGTGTCGTCAAATTTTATTATTATTATTATTGCTATGTATTGTTAAACTGGAAATAGTTTAAGAGGATGATAGACAGAAAAGGAAAACTTCCCTGTTCCTATGAAAGAACCAAGTTACACATCATACATGAATATCAAAGGATAATAGCAACATTGTAACCAGAATAACGGAAAAGGATTCATCGTTTGCCATAGAAATACTGGAAAATTTAACAGTATCATTGATGATGATAATTTTACCTGCCACCCACTACTTTAAAACCTCAAAAAGCTGGACTTGTTAATAGTTTTATCGTAATCAAGGCAAAAATGATATGGAACCTGAATAACTATCAACTGTGACCATAGGAAGGAAGGAAAAGTGGAAAGAAATGTGGAGAAAGAAGTTGAAAAAGAAGAGAAAGAAATGATTTAGGAAACGTTTTGTGATAAAAATAGGTATAAATCTGCGCAAAATTGATACTTTGCTTGAGGAATAAAAAAAAATGTCTAAAACCATTACATGGAAAAAGAAGGACATGGAGAAAAAGTGAAAGATGAAATGATGAGGAAAGATGAGATGTAAAAGAAGATATAATATTTCAACCTTATTGCCCATGTCTATTCAAACTCCAGTCTCCCTCTGATTTCATCTTCACCTACCATCTTTATCATCCAAAAGTCCCTTTTGAAGAAAAGTTTATAATGTTCAGTTGAAGAAGAATCGCAACTAACCAAAGTCTATCTTCTTTACTCTTTTTGTTTGCCTCTTCACTCTTCTCGAAGGAACACAAAAAAATGAGTTGATCCCCATGAAATGAAGTTAATACCTTTTGATGTTGTTGATCAAAAAGAAACCTTCATCTTCTATTTTTTGTATCCCTTCTCCTTTTCCTCCTCTTCATCATCTTATCTCGTTAACCTCTTATCTGTTTCCGTTTTTTTCATTTCATTACACTTATCATCTCATGTGTTGTTAGTTTTTAATTAATTTAATGCAATCTTCCCGGTCAGTTGCCATGCATCAATATATCAACTTTACATCTTTTGACGGACCCACTCATTTAACAGCGGATTAACCCTATTAATTTGTTTCAACTGGTTTCCAAATTTTAACACAATAGTGACATTAACGGCATCATCATAACCATTGTCATCATCAGTGGTGAAAGTTTTGTCCAATGTTTCCTTCACAGCAATTTGAGTGAACTTTTGTGTTGGCAACTGAAAGAGTAAAACAAAAAAAGAATTGGTTAATTCATTTGTAATCATCATATTTACTGTGATCAGTATTGTATTATCATTATAATCATTGTAATTACCAATAATTTGTCAATATTGTTTACTCTTGTTTTGTTACAATAAGTGTAACATCAACAGAATCAACAACAAAATCACCAAAATGTTGGATACTTTCTGTTCCAGTGAACCTTGTAAACTATGGTTGAAACGAAATTTGATGCCAATGAACCAAATCACTCTTAATTTGATTGTCACGTTGACACTTTGTACATATTTTATCTCACAATGTGACTGTAACCAACATTTAACTCACAATAGTAAGTTAACTCTTTCACTATTTCAATTTCGTAACTAAAACCCATTCAACAATGAATTGATTCATTGTTGGTGAAACAGTGAAACACCATTGCTGATTATTTTGTCATCTACTAAATCTATCAAAGCTTTATTCTTAATGACATTAGAGTTGCTTGATTAGATCACGAATAATAACGATATAAATAACAAGGAATCACCTTCAATTCAATAAAAGCTTTATTTGCTTTTTTCCCAATTAGTTTGATTTATTATTAGCCGGAATGGGGTAATATAAAGCGAAAAAATAAACAATTGATTAAATGATTTATTTTAACCATTATATTTTATTCCAATGTGTATCACTTTCCCTTGTCCTTTCCATCCATTGAATAGATGTTCCTGCTTACACCTCGTAATTGAATTAAATTCATCTATCCATTCAAAATAATAACCATCAATAATTAAATAATAAGGTGTAATATTGATTGAATATTGTTTTTATCCAAGCCAACAAAGGTGAAACCTGAAAGAGAAAAAAAGAAGAGAAAATAAATAAATAAATAAAAATAGTTAACATGTTATACCTTGTTAACCAGAATGTTGATTTATAAACCTGTGAAGACACAGTTTGCAGTTTACACGGTCCAGAAAGGTTGATTTAGATTTTAATTGACTGAAAAGATTGAATGATAACAGTCAGGGGAAAAGGTATCCATTTCATTTTGACCACTGATTGAAACACTGTATTCATTGAATACCCAGGAGAGGCTAATTAAAAGGTAATGTTAACAGAATTAAAGGTAAATTTAATCACTCGTCAAAAAAGTCAATCATAACATGAAATGCCAAACGATTCATCCTTTTAGCAAGAGTGAAAAAACAAACCTCTAACCGTCGATTCAATCAATTAACTGAACTGTTGATAATTCAATCTATTGATAGGTTGATTATTACACCAAAATAAGTTGATATTAATTATAAATCACTGTTGATTGTAAAATAAAACCAGTAATAAATCAAAAGTCAAATAACAAGCCAAGAAACACACAAAGAAACAAACGATGAATAAGCCAAAAGCCTAGAAACAGAAAACGGTTGATAATAATTAGAGCACTAGAATTTTCTCGATGATATTAACGATTTAGAAGAGTTTAACAAGCAATAAAAAAATTATGAACATTGAAATTCAATAAAACACAAGAAAAAAACGTAAAAAAATACAAAAAAGACAAAAAATATCAAAAATTATGTAAACATTGAACCTTTTGTCACCGGACATTAACACATGTTTTATTGTTTCCTTTTTTCCCACTACAGTAGGTGTTAGGGTTAAGTTAACAAAAAGTGGCCAGAGTTGTAATGTAATAGAAAACTGGACAAAAAAAGTTCGATTTTTAGCGAATCTTCTCTCCTTGAGAGAAGACCATACTATTACGTATGCCCACCGCAGGGGACTCCTACGGCATGTCTTTTCAGAGAGACTATTCTCTTACTAAACATTCTGAGTTCAGGACCCAGATAGGGATACCATTAAAGTGATGAGGGTAAGACGGAGCCTCGAACCCGAGTCATCCGGGTGAATGCCGGACGGTTACACCACCTCGTCGATTCTAATGGTACTTTAATTTATTGTTAGAGGGCGACTATGAAAAAAATCTTCAATTTTGTTAACTTAACCCTAACCCCTACTGTAGTCTTTTGTCTTTACAGTTTACTTAGTGTTTTGTTGATTTATTTAACTCTTTACTTTGTATTGTTTCATCTCGTTTCTCCTCAATACATAAGATAACTTGTTGCATTCCCAGTTAATGGAGACTGATGTTGATTGTTATATAATAATACCAATCCAAGTTTAATACAGTTAGTATTGTTTTCATCACCATTAACTTTCTCCTTGTTTTTACGCTTCCCTTAAATTGATCATTGATCATTAAAAGTTACTACTTTCAATCTATTTTCATCATTATCTCAGTGTCTTGTGATCATCAACTGTTCACATGTAAGTTAACCAATTGTCATGTTAAAGGTTCCATTCATCTTTCAGATTGTTCAACCGAGCAGAAGAAACAGCGACAACAAAAAAAGAGAAACAAAAGGTGAACAATTTACTAATAATCTTTCTCTAATCAACCGATTTGTCCATTTGACTTTAACTCCTAGCAGTTGAATAATTGATCAGTCAGTTTGTCCATTTAATTTGTGAAATTGATTTGATTCCTAATAAACTCAACTGTTTACCTAATTGACAAAAAATGACATCAATTGAAAAAAAGAGTCAATTTTTGTGAATAGCAAAGTGAATGAAAAGTGAATGTAAATCAATTCAATTTTTGTTTCTGTTTGTTTTATTTCTTATCAAAACAATCACAGCGAATAATCAAGTAAAATAGACAAAAATTGAGGTGAGTTGGCAAAATATTCAATTGAAATTGAAGGGTAAAAATGGAGTAAAAAACAAAAGCAAAATAACAGCAAATCATTCAAATAATGCAATTGAATGTTAGTGCAAAAAGTGATTGATAAAACAATGGTAATCCAAAGCAACAACAAAAATAGACCTACAATTTGAATTGAATTGAAGTTGAAATATGCAAACAAAATCAACTAATGAAAACTACTCCTAAATGAAGTTAAAATAAAATTCAAAGTTGATATTAAATGCGTAATTTTTTCAATGAAATAAACAACAGAAAACTGGTTTTATTGATAAAAAAGAAGAGTGTTAAATGAATCATTTTATTTAGTATATACAGGTAGAGAAAAAAATCATTTGAACATTTTTAAAATGGAGTCACAAGTCAGGTTTTAATTTTTTTAAGTAGATTTTTTCATTGAGAGTAAATTCAATTCAATATCTTTCATTTGGTACCATATATGTAGTGTTAATAGATAGAGCGCGATATTGTTAGTGGTGCCGAAAAACCAGTCGATATGGGTGTAGATACAGATTTGCCCCAGAAAATTTTACAAAGAAAACCTGTTGAATTAGAATTCGTAGAAGACAATGAACCAAAGGTATCGAAAAGAAAATCCAAACTGCACAAAAGAATGACTGTTGCCGAGCTTAAACAAAAAGTGGCCAAACCAGAAATAGTTGAAATGCATTATATCACTGCTAAGGATCCACTTTTGCTGCTTAATTTAAAATCAACAAGAAATTCTGTCCCTGTTCCCCGTTATTGGTGTTTTAAAAGAAAGTATCTTCAAGGCAAAAGAGGTTTCGAGAAGCCAGGATTCAAACTACCTGATTTCATCAAAAAAAACTGGAATCATGGAAATGGGACAATGTTTGCAAGAGAAAGAGGATGCCAAATCTCTGAAAACTAGACAAAGAGAAAAAATACGACCCCAACTCGGTAAAATTGATATTGATTACCAGAAAATTCATGACGCAATTTTCAAATGGCGGACAAAACCCAAAATGACAATTCATGGAGACATTTATTTTGAAGGAAAAGAATATGAAACAAGATTAAAGGAGAAAAAACCCGATGACTTGAGTGTCGAATTAAGAGTTGCATTGGGAATGCCACTGGTCCTAATGGGCAAAAATGTCCACCTCCGTGGCTTATTGCTATGCAGAGGTATGGTCCTCCGCCATCCTATCCAAACCGGAAAATTTCGATGGACGACCATTGTACGCGTTTCGCGCGTGCCAAGCCCCCATTAAATTCCTCGCAAGCATCTAGAATTGTATGCAAAGACATTGGAGTTTTTCATTTCAATTTTTTGATATTATAATACATTGCATAGAAAAAAATTGTTGTTGTTTATTATTATTAAACTTCTTATTAAAAAATACATCAGAAAAAATATTCTTATCTTTCTCAAAATCAACATTCATGGCTTTACAGTGCAATTTATAAAACTGACTCACTGAGATCTATCTTCAAAATAATCGAAGAGGAGGTAGATTTCGCGTTTATCCTTATTAAGACCATCTTATATGAAGAGTTTATCTTGATAGGATTTTATTCATTTTTAGCGCAACAATGTCCTTGATGAATTGGAGTTTGATTTGAAAGGAAAATTGAATTTCAATTGAATAACATTGAGAGGTGCAATATTTATCCGCAATGTTATTATCCGCATCATCCTCACGTGAACATGATACTGATGATACTGATGATGATGGTTGTGGTGATAATGATGATAATGACGAGGATACTTAAGCTGCGTGTCGTATTAAGTCGTCTTAGTTTTAAAGGATAAAGAAGGCAAGAAAAGATGAAGAAGCTTGTCAAACTTGATGATATCGTATTTTAACCCAACAAATGATACCCAAGAAAATAATGATAATAATATAAACTCTTTTTTAATACTCCTGTCTAGCTTAAGCTTCAAGGTAAATACTATTGTCTCAACTGTATTCATTGTTATAATGAAAATCACGAGATGACTTGTTATCCTTGATGACAGGGAGTGTTAACTTGGAGTTTGAAGCAAGAAAATTGAAGCTATTATTGTTGGATTATCATGGTTGAAACGTGTTCAACTAAATCAACCCAACTAACCATCAATATCTGACCCAATGGACAATTGATAAAAGGAAGTGTCAAACAGTGTCAAAACAGCAAAGCAAAGGAAGAAAAAAAATAAAAGTCAAAAGTCCATTTTTTGTTCTTCCATCAAAGGTTGAACCTTTCAAAAGGTTAATCAATTTTTGCAACTCAACCAAACCAACACACTCATTGATCCAACAATCAACTAAAACGACGAAACTAAATCAACTTTATTTGATAATCAAATCTCGAGCATACAATGTTAATCATAATCAACTTTACCTTTTGTTGTTGTCTTTTTAAATCTAATATTAACTCTGTAATAATAATGATAAGAAGGTTAAATTTAGTTAAGATTGTTGCTTAAATCCAAAGCTAAAAGTAGAAACCTAAAAGTCTCATTGGCTATTAGTCAATTTTAGGTTAACCATAACTTGACCAACAGTTGTAAGAGTGGACCCTTTTAGTGAACCCATTATAATCCTTTATCTGTCTAACCTTTCCATTTTAATATATTATTACCTTTTAAGATTTATTAGATTCTTTATTTGTTTTCTGTAAACAGGCAAAATATCATCCAAAACAAACTCAAATTGGTTATTTCATTTCATCGTCTTACTATCATTACCATCATTATTATCATCATTATTAGCATTAATACAAGTTGATGGTCAATGATATAACCTTTTATCGGTTTAAACAACACTAAAAGCAATGAGAAAGATGACCATTTTCTTGAAATTATCCGTTTAAACCTGCATTTAATCACTCCAACAATTGCGAGATTCCTGATGATTTCATCTAGTAAAAGGTAGAATCATTAAAAATACAGTTTTCACTCTTGTTACAATCAATAGATTTTTTGATTATTTTCAATATTTTCTCATGAAAATCAAATATTGATTTGTTTTCTGTAAATCAGATGTTTACTCAATTGTCAAAAGTCTTCATTTTCCTTGTGATCATTAAACTGATTATTGTAATTTGCAAGCAAATTTATGGTCAAATTAATGACTTACAAATTGATGAGAGTTCAATTGCAATTTAAAGTTGAACAAAATAAATATTCAAATCGATTGATTAAACATCTGATTAACCTTTTCCGATTGAAACAAGTAAATACAATGTTTTTGTGTATAAAATTGAATAAGGAAATGTCCATTTAAATTTGGAAGTTTGATGAAAAATTTTCATTTCTTGTTTCAATTGCTATTCAACATCAGTGTCAGTATTGCACCTGAAAAGGTTAGATGCAAGTCTTGTGAACACACCCAAAGAAGGTATGATAATCTTAATAATGACAATTGGGTGTTTGATTTCAAAGGTTCTTCAGCTAATGTTGAGGTTGAAACCTGAGCAACACCTAGATTGATGATTGTAGTGATTATGTTTTTGAAGGTAAAGAGACTAGAGATTGTTTTGCAAATGATTTTTCAATTCTCAACGATTAGCAGTTAATGTTGACAATTTATTTTCACTTTTCCTTTTGTCAAGAAGATCAGCTTGATTTGATTGATTGCTCATTGATTTTCATTAAAACACACATTCCATTTCAATCTAATTAATTAGATTAACCTTTTTTTCAAGATTGATTAGTTAAACGTGACTAGTTAATGAGGAAACATGTTGATTGCAGTCTTGTTACCTTGCATTGTAAACCAGCTCTTTGCTGATCATATTAATTGAATTCATAATTTTACATTACCTCAGTATTTATCTGCTTTTATATCTACTGGAAATAATATCTGTTAATGAATGATTAATTAACCTGGAATCACAGAGGAAATGTCAATATAAATGATTTTAACATGTGAATAGATGAATGAATACGGGTTAAATCAGGTTGAGTTGACCAGTTTTAATCAATCATACTTTCTGTAACTTCAAACATTTCAAGTCGATTTAAAATTGAATTGAGCTTTTTTCAAAGGTTTCAATAAAAAATCTAATCAGAGTTGAATTTTCAGAGCTTTGAAAAAGTATGAAAACCACCTAACAAGGAATTTGTTTTGGTATGAACATGTAAAATTATATACTGAACTCATAACTAAAGGGCATTTCAGCTATTTTTATCGGCTTTGAACGCTTAATACTCGGCCTGTGCGTGACCTAGAGACTAGAAAATTTTTATGCGAATCGCGCGAAAACTTGTTTG